ACAGCACGGTTCAAAGCGTTGCCAAAAAAGCCTTATGTCACAGGTGATGCTGCTCATGTCCGCTGGCCTGCATCCTCCTGAAATGACTTACAATTGAGGAGTAAGTCTTTCAATTCTATTCAATCCATTCTTGTATAGCCCTGAATCACAACAGTATTTATATGAGAGGACTTTGCAAAACTGTTCGCCAACACAGATCAGAGAATCAAAAGAGTTAAAACACACAGAATAGAGAACACATTGGTATTTGTCATTATAGGGGGAGTTGACCAATGGCCATAAGTCTAGATAAATGTTCATAAATTCTATTGAAAGTTGAGTGATTTCAAGTGGTGCAGGAGCTTTGGAAGTAATATTGTCAAAAGTATCGGAAATCAGATTTGAGTCAATACAAGGCCACACACACACAAAAACTGATACATTTATAAAACGATATATTGAAATGTTTTGTGGCACTAGTTAAAGCGGAAAGAGAAATTTGGAAAACTATTTCAAATTTGTTTTTATATTGAAAGTCATTAGTTGTAAGACGCAAACATCAGATAAGAAGCAACAATTAGAATGCTATAAAAGGGATTCATTTGGCTCGGATTGTATTGTGTTATACATTAAATATTCTCTCACTATTGCAAAGGAAATGTGAATGTCATAAATATCGGGCCGCAAAATATAATATTCTATCCATAATTTATTGAGCGATGAGTCAATAGTATTGGACGTAGATACTCATTCTAGTAAGTATGTATACTGTAAAAACACATGACAAAATGTGACTGGCTTTCCTCTGTAGTTTTAATATCAACTAAAACCTTGTGGGACCATGAAAAATTTGCTATTTTGTTGTTTTCCGAATTTGTGATAAAACTGACTCATTTTCCCATTTGTTATGGACAAAAAATACCCTGTTTTGTTTCTCATTTCAAGTGAGAATCTTAATTGGAATCATCCCTCTTTGTACATTTTGCTCAGGGTTCAGAGAGTGACTATCGCAGGGATATGACTTTTTGTCACCCAAAACAAAATGACCTTACTGGTATATTCGCTGACTCATGTCTCCTTACCTTTCACTGTAATTGGATTGTATATTATGCAGAAGTTTGGCTTGAGAAATTGTTTTTGTCATATCAGTTTGTTTGTTTTGCTTTTAAATAAAGTATTCAAAAGTCCAATAAAAAAATATCTATCTACAAGTATATTGAATTTTGATGTTGATTATAATGCATCTTACATTTCTACCAAACCTCAAAGTGCTAATCAGAGCATCATCAGCACCGCATAGTTTGATGTAAAGTGCAAAAACCCAGTATCCTCCATGAAGAAAAACCCAGTATAACTTTTTTTATTTACAATTTGGCAAGAGCACAACAGTAACGCAGCTACAGATACACCGAGTGACAGAATGAATGCAGCGATGCAAAGTCTAGTTCCGAGCTATTGTTGGTGGGTGTGCTTAATGTCCATGGGAGGGGGGCAGAGAGAGCAGGGGGTAGTGTTCAGAAATCCTATAGCTTGAGGATGCAGGCTGATGGACAGTCTTGATGGGTCAATATGGGGGAATAAACAAAACGACATGCCCTATCAAGTCTATTCCTTTTGTGACTGCAGAATTTGAAAGCAAAACTGTCTGAGTAGTAATAATGGATTTACATGACATTTATGGACAGACATTGTTTATCCCACTACCCTATGGACCAATAGCTCTTATGTAATTTCACGGTTTGCATTTCCTGTCTTCTGAGCTGACTGCTGTTGTGATTTAGGGCCATACAAAAATAAATGGAATTGAATGAAAAAAAAAAACCTCATTGTCAACTGGAATTGTAAGGGTATATCCTATTGAAGAAAATGCACATGCAATTATTATGTAAGATTCATAATTGTATTGCTTTAACAATTTCCCAGGTGAGGTTATAGGTGACAAATTAAATTGGGCTTATTAGGAGGCAACAAGAGACAGCCTGTAGGAACATGCCAGAGTCGACATCCCCTGTGACCCTCATGTCCTCATGGCGCATCAGCGGGGGAATGGGAAAACAGAGGATGAGCCTCGCCATTAACAACGGACAGAAAGGCAACATGTTTACTCAGCTCAGATTGGTTTGAAAAGAAGAAGAAAAATCACCTGTGGTTTTGCACTGGCACTGGTCTGTGTTTGCGCGTGGCTGTGAGACATGAGCCGTCATTCAGTCTAAGAGCAATGTCCTGTCACTTAAAATCCAAGCTCTGGCAAACACTGTCTGCTTTTGAACCATTTCTCTGCGTGTGAGAGAGAGATGTGTGTAGTCCTGATTGGCTCAAACGTTTTGTAACAGGAGCACAGTCTCATTGCTTTGATGTGTTAAAGAGCCCACACCACAGCTATGTTTTAGTACGAGCAAGCATTTCTGCACTTCTCATCATTGGAATCAATAATTCGGTTTAAGAGGGAAACCGAAGCCTGGACTTAATTGAATTTACTGTACTCATACTGTACACATTTCCGGGAATATGCTCTCAGGCTTGAGGATCTCTAAAGTACTGCTGAATGAAGCAACACTTCCTCATTGATTGGTTTCTGCTTGTTATTCTTCGTGGGACCCATTGTCTTGATTAGCGTGCCGTCATGATTTACAATTTCATATGAAACGGCATGTTAGCATGCATACTAAAAGCCTTTTGTGAAAGCAGATCCAACTTTTTAATAAACATTACACTGTTGGTCTCAACAGAACAAGTTTTTAAATGTAACCTTATGTGAACAAAACAGTCCACAATATACATACAGTACATACTAATTAAATTAAACATGTCACCTTTGCAGTGGTTAGCCCTCTCGCTTCTCAGCAAGCCGGCCCAAATTCAAAACCCAGTTGGAGCCTTTGTGAGTGGCTTTTGCATGTTCTGCCCATGTCTGCGTTGGTCTCACCCTGTGCTCCGGTTTCCCCTAACACTAAAAAGCCAACCATCAACATCTTGAGATGGGTTCACGGTGGTTACCATAGCTCCTGAACATACCCATATTAGACGTGACAGAGGCCAAACATGCATGCATGTGAAAACTACTGGACTGTTTTGAGAGCAAGGAACTGTTAACATGAATTTCATTAAGTTAATTCAGTTGTATTTGAAATAATAGATCAGATCAGAAATAGAGAAAATGGGGAAATAAAAAGTGATACATTTTTCCTCAAATTGACCTGCCCTATCAAGTCAATTTTGTATTGTTTGTATTGTTTGTTTGTGACTACATCATTTAAAAAAAAAAAAAAAAAAGACTGCATGTGTGTTAATGATAGTCACCCCATCTTTAATACGATATCATTCAAAGCTGTTATAAATACATTTCGTTTAAACTCGCAGGCCAGCACAGACCTTAACATCCCGACGTCAAAAGAGGAGCAAGAGGAGTACCTGCGGTGGAAGCAAGAGCGTGAGCAAATCGACAGAGAGAGAGTTGCGCGTCACAAAAACGCCAAGGGCCAGTGGAGACGAGCCTGGGACGTGGATAAGGCTGACAGCATGTAAGAAAGTCCTCCTCTATCACATCCTGGTGTCACATATGCTCTCCTAGATACCAATATGTTCACCGTGTCCATTGCCATGCTATAAATCATAAGGTGTCTTTCCAGTAGTAGTTATCTGAAGAGTCACTCCACACCGGCACAAGTGGCAAGGGAAAAAGCAATGACTCATACGATGTTTTGATGTCAAACATTGATAGTGCACTTACGCCATGCTCGGAAATATGAAAGGCATTCTTAAACAATCATCATCGGAGTAAAGATTGTGTGGCTTAAGAAACATTAATATACAAAGACGAGAAGAGTAGAAGTAGCTATTTTTGTCCAAGGATAGAGAATGACATACCTTTCCTTATTTGGAAACCCCCTTGAGTCTAACTGGAAGAGGAAATGCAGATTTGAATCAACAATTATTCATTCAGCCGGTGCAAAATGTACATGTGAATCATAAAACAGAAGTCTCAAATGTTTGGGCAGTCACTGGTGCAGATGGGGGTATTACGGCACAGGACAATAAGGTTCAATCATGGAGCTCATGGAAGCATTAAAAACATGTCCTCTGCTTGCTCCCCGTGTTGGTTAGGGCTAGGAGTCTTTCAGAGCCTGCCGATGCAAATAATCTATAGATATATCTACAGGAGACTTCAAGTCAATACGATTGGATACAGCATCCCTCTAAAAGCTGGGGGAAAAAATGTAGGTCTGGTGTGTGACGCTCTGCCCCATTTAAACAACACTGCAACACTACTGATGCATTCACATTTATATATAATTTATTGAAAATTAAATGCAATTAAAGTCAAAATATATGAAAAGAAAACATTTGTAAATCTATATATGTATTTTTTTCTATATATGCAAAAAAAAAGAGGGCGGGGGAACAAATTAAAAAAAATATAATATTACTAATTATTTGCATCTCATTTTAAAATATCAACAGTTTTATTTTAGTACACCCTTGATGTTAGTTAAATGTATTTTTTACTTTTAGGTTTTTGGACAAGTCTGGAGGAGAGTGGTTACCTTCTAACAGAGGTGAGACTAACACACACAGCACATTCACAAGTGTGTATTGCCTCTAATTAGTCAGTGTCGTAGGTGGACGGAATTCTAGAAGAGGTCAGAACAGAACGAGCTCAGATTCAAAAGGTACAAAATTCATCCATTTCTAATAATACATCATGAAAATAGCAGCTCACATGTGCACTTCTTATCAAATGTCAAGTGGATGCTAAAATGATATGGTTATTCTGGTTACAACCCAAACGGTTCTTATTTTTAGTGTTTGTTTACGTGACATTTCAACATATTGATGAACTGGGCCTGTTAGAATTATGTGGACACATCCTCTTTATGTCGTATTTTGGGTTAAATGCATTGGTTTGCCATAGGTGAACTATCTCTGACTTGGTTTGTGGCTATCATCTCTGTCTAACAGCTTACTCATCATTGATCCAGTATTTAATATGCTGTTTCTTTATATTTTGCAATCAATTCCTATTAAAAAGGTGAATTATCTTTTGGAAAACAAAGAGGAAACCGTCTGAGGCATTCTGACTCAACATAAAAATCCTTTATTGTTGTTTGGATCTTTTCCTCTTTGTTTTCCGCCTAATTTTCCCACGGCTCCTTGAAGAGCATGATTTATTTTTTGTTAACAAGGTCAAATGAGGAGAGGCAAAGCGAAGGAGGCAAAGAATGTACAAGCAATGGGCAGTAAAGCAAAAGGAAAAGATCGCCTCACCGGCCGGGCCAGGAGGTCAGTACATTGTAAACAAATCTAGGGGTCTCCAGCCTGTGGCTCCAGAGATACCAGTAGATTCAAGAATTTAACACATGATCCTTAATTATTCAGTTTTTAGTCATGATGTGTGATTGGCTGTAGTTATTATAGACTACAATTGTATTACAGCTGCTGAAAGGAGTAGCTCTGTCATTTCTGTTTTAGAAAAGTATCTCTATAATCAGTAAAGGTTGGATACCAAGGCCCTAATATTCATTTTGATTGATTTTTATAGCAGTGACTCTAAAAGTAATGTCCAATCTACAACATACTAAAAAACCACACAAAAGATTTTCTTCTCCCCTGTTGAAAACCAGGCCACTGTGTTGGTTGATGAGGAGGCTTTCAGAGCGTAGTGTTACACAAGCATTGCTCATAATGTCAGACCACAGAAGTAGAAGAGGCCCTTTCCCCTCTCGATATGGCCCAGAGGATTACACAAACTTCCTCTTAACATGACTGCTTTGATGAATGAGGACCAGTGTACTCCTACGATCTAATACATGTATTTACTACTTAAAGAAAGGCAGCTGTTATCTTTTTCAGATGGGAATCTAGTGAAGATGGAAATGCACAGGTAAGCTAGTATCTTAGATTTTATATTGATGGACATTGCTAACCTGCTCATCCAACAGCAAATCCAGGGTTTAGCACTTGCTTCGATCCTGTTGTTTATATTGCGACATTGTCCTAACAACTGACCGATCCTAACTAACCAGGCCTTCTGTTGCCGAATTTGGCTTTAGCGAGCAAGTACCTGTTTGGGCTAGTTCTAATCAACCTCTTTCGCAATAACGCAAGCACAATGGGTGACAATACAATTTAGCACTAAAACTCTTAATATAAACAATTAAGTTCTTTCTTATTCTCCTTTCTTTCTTTTGTTATGGTAAAATGTATAAGACCTTTGAAAACATGTGATCTAAAATCTAAGAAAACTAAGAAATAAAATACTATGACTCCATTTATTCTTGTGTAGCCTTAAATCACAACAGTGTTTAACTCGGATGGCTTAACAAAACCGCTGAATTAGTCCACTCCTAATATACAGATTATGGTTAGAATGTAAAAATACACAATACCAAACTTTCACATTTGAGGTTACTATGAAAACTGCTTAATCATTTTTATGTAATCTGTTAAGTAAGAATTATTTATATATGGGTCTCAATCACAGTTTAGTTGTAAATGTGACACTATATTTCACATAAATGTTTACATAAATGACATGTTATACTTTTCGGATGCATTCACTTGACAATGGTTATACAAACAATAATAGATTGTCTTTTTTAATCCATTTTTAGGACTCTGAAGCAACATTGGAAGAATTCCTGGAAGAACTTGATGCTCTCACAGAAATGGTTGATGAGAGAAAAGTAGAGGACAAAAAAGCAAAAGCACCTTATAGCCGTGAGTTGGGGAAAAACGGAGAAACAACTGCCACAACAGATATGGACAACATTAGACAAACAAAAGCGGACTCTTCTGCTCCAAAGGGCTCTGAGAAGAAAGTGCGCTTCTCTGATGAACACAAACAAGAGAAAGGAGCTTCAACAGAGTCACCAGAATCAAAGAGTCCACAATCACAGAAAGAATCCTTGCCAAAGAAAAATAAATTGCAAACGCACAAAGCGGCAGTGGACAGTTGTATGAATCGTGACGGTGGAGGAAAGTCACCAGCAGCCCCTCTACAGGAGCTAAAAGTAAATGAATGTAATATAAAAAGTGTTGTCTCTCATTCTGACAGCTGCACTCGAGCTGAAAGAGCTACCCCGTCTGTGGAAGTGGGGAAGTGCAACATGACAAGCTCAACAGGTACAACTATCAAATTATGTAAAGATCCTCATTTCTTCTTTGGGTACGGCTTAAATGTCCTTCAAATGCGACAAAGAGAGTTATTGCTTAATTAACTGACATATTTGGGCGGTAGACTCGTGCCTTTGTCAGAGGTGACAGATGATGGTGTGACATGTCTGTTAGTTGTTGTTTTTCTTTGTTACTGCAAAAAATAAAATCATACTATAGACTGGGACTAGGGCTGCACGATGTATTAAAAAATATTGTTATCGTGATATTGGTGCGTGCAATATCCATATAAAAATATCAGCAATAAAAAAAAATATACTGTATATATATATATATATATATATTTTCCTTTATTAAAAACAACAAAACAGACAGACACATCAAGATTCAACAAGAACAACAAACAAACAAACAATGAAAGTATATTAATATATGCGTTTGAATGTCATTAATGTTGTGCTTTTTTTTTAAATTTGTCTCTTCAGTTTCAATGCAGATTGCAATTTTAGGTGAAAGACAAAAATATCGTAATAATATCGTTATCGCAACACAACACTCGCACTAATTTTTCCAATATCGAGCAGCCCTAACTGGGACAATGCAAAAATAGTAGGAACGGAAGAACATAAATACATAATATGATATATGCAGGATATGGATATGATTGAAATCAGGAAGCAGGTGCACGGACCATCAACAGAGACGAGGGGGCTTTCACCTTGCCTCACACTAGGGACTCACTTCTCCAGAGCCCACAGCATGGCAGGGGGTCAGTCTGAGGAATCTGTCGGATCTGTCAGACTGCCACATCCTGTAACTACAGCTGATAAGAAACACCATCTTTGTTTCACCTCTGACGAAGGCGGAAGTCTAGTCTTTGATTAATGTTGTGGGTGAATGCTTTTTAAATAAATAATGTGTGCTCTTTGTGCAGATGAGCTGATAGACTCTGGCCTGTCTGTGTTGAGCAAGGAGTCTGGAGAACCACACCAAGCACACTCCACCAGCAGTGACAAGGTCAGCAGGGGATGGGGGAGGCACGGCCGATCGATCCGTGTGATGCAGTGAGGGATGAAAGTGCAAATGGATGATGAGTTAAATGGACTCAGGAGGGGAGAGGCTAACGCAGGCCAACACACATGGAGAATCTGATGTCACAGTGGAGCTGCAGCGTCAGTGCTTATCCACTAAATATTTCAAAGGGAATTTTTAAAAGCTTCAGATAAATTGCATGTACACAGCTTTCATATTAATTTCTGATAAACACACAAGCTTTGTTTTGACCCTTTTACAGAAGTAATTTTATCCAGTGTGAGGGCGGATGATCAACCACATCCACACTTTCATTATCTCTTTTACATTAAAGTGAATTATTCTTTTTGATATAACAATGTTTACACATGGGGCACCACTGATACCTTAAGCCAGGGGTGTCCAAACCTTTTGATAAGAGGGCCACTTTGGTTTACCAGAATTATCTAGGGAGCGACAACACAGATTGATTGGCTCTTCTGAGATTTCGAAAACTGATTCACATAAAGATAATTTACAATGGAGCTGAAGTTGGCTGAATGTCAGTGTTCACTATCCCATCAGCTATATTTGCGGTTTAGACGGAATGTTGTTACACAATCAAACATATCCAAATAAAGTCCACCACTGGATTAAAGAAGGTCTGAGCTTTACCAAACGGTGAAGCATGTCTGTATTGGCAGAGCTGAAGTTGGCTGGATGACACTGTGTTTATATGATCTCAAAGGCTACTTCAGGTAAGTAGGGAAGAGGGCCACGGGAGTGACTTTGGATACGCCTACTTTAAGCTTTCCAAAGATTTGTGCCAGTTAATTTGTGGATCTCATTCAATTCATTTATTCTTGTATTGCCCTAAATCACAATATCTCAGAGGACATTAAACTCATATAATTTTTTTCCTCCATAGGCGAGAGAACATGGAAAGATTGTTTGAGGAGGACTTAATGGACAGATGTAGACACCAAATCACAGCCTACGTTTGTGGATGTGGCAGGTCTTTCATTCTGACATTCTGTTTCGACTGAAAGACATGGATCAGAGTGGTTGTCGCTGGGATGGAGACTTCTCATCCAACTCCTCTTTTTAGTATGAAAGCACTTTACACCAATGTTACACATGTTTTGTTAGTATGCTGCTTTTAGTGCAATAACACTGAATGTTTACGAGGGTACGGACAAATCAAGTGGCGATTGTTCTTCAAGTAGCCTTATAATTAATCAGCAGCCACAACTGATTGAATGCCTTTTTCTGCCTTAGATTTAAAAAGGCTTAATTTTGAATTTGACTTCCTCATAAAATATATTTTTATTTTTATGTAATATCAAGAATAATATGTACATTATTTTTTTCATTTAACACGTTGACTGCCAGCCGTTTTTGATTATTTCACTGACTTTCAAGACACACCGAATATTGTATGTTCTGACTATGTAAAATATGAAACCAGATTCTGAAAGACTGAACTGTCTACTTTTATCAGCAAAAAAAAGTAGGTTTCTATCTAGTTTTGTTCTCCTGTAATCCCCAGTCGAATACAGGGAAGTTTGACAGAAATCACCGGTCTCAGACAAATACGTCAATGGCAGTCGATGAGTTAAAGTGCGTCATTTACAGTAAATAGATGAGCAATGCTAACCCACCCAGTCTGCATTAATTATTAAGGCAATCATATTTCTGAAGCCAATCCTCAGTCAGTGGTTCTTCAACCATTTGGATTATTTGTACTTGTTAACGGAAACGATTTTGTCATGACTGAAGGAAGCCGTTCTAATAAGCTTACACATCAGTATTCAGTCTTTGTGCCTTGGTTTTTTTGATGCACGTTTACTGAGGTAACGTTTTACAGTCCGATTATCATTTATTTGATGATCAGTGTAACACTTCAGTTTGGGCGGCTGCATAGTAAGTGGTAATTAAGTCAGTGGTTCAAACGAATAATAATAATAACTCTATAAACCCTAACAAAGCTCTAATAACAACTTGCATCTCTCTATTGTTATTTAAAAGTGATTACAGTAACTTAAATTGTATTTAATTTTTAAAAGAATGTGTATTTCTGACCATGGGGCACTGTACTTTCATGTACAGTAAGTATTTTACAAACAGCATATTGGAAATAGTCCCTTTCCTTGGCATAATTTCACCAGTGAGATTTTCTGGTGGAGAATAGTTAAACCAATGACAAGGGTCTCAAGGATTTGAATTAATGTTGACCAATCAGGAAGCTGTGACGGTGAGCATTTGTGGGTCTAACTAGTCTTTAAAAGACCATTTTAAAAGTTACTGACATGGACTTTAAGAGCCACTAACCTGTGGTCCCAATACTAAAGTGTTGCTGAGTGGTTACTGTTTCTAATGCAATATTATTTATTTTATTGTTCTAACACTATGCTGTTTTAGCCTTAAATTGAAACTGTCATAGGCAGTGTTTACAGCTCTTGTCCTCAAATAGTTAAAATAGTAAATAGTTCTGTGACTTTATATAGTGCCTGTTTTTGCTTGTGGTTATTTTAAAACATCAAGACTTGAGCAGGAGCGAACATGACATGCAATAGTCTGGTCTGCCATTTCACACTAGGACTCCATATTTTAGTTCAGACTGAATGGATTAAATGTGTTATCTAGAGGCTCCAAAATCCTCGTAATGGCACAAAGTGGTGGCTGTGCTGTCTCTTTTTACACCCTCTTGTGTGAAGAGGTGTGATGTCACCTCTTTTGTCTGAGCAATTCTAAAAAGCGCACATTTCCTTATTTTCTGTAGAAAGGAAATATCAATAAAGATTGTTTTTCAGTTCTTGCAGCCTTGTGTCTCTTCATCCTGTTCGTGCAAATGTTTACAGATCAACTCCTCCAATGAATTCCCGAGTGTTCTTTTCCAAATCTTTACTCCACAGGGAAAGTGCAGATGTAACAAAAATGTGGCAGGCTTGTACCGCACGTACAAGGCTGCAACATTTCTGTCTCTGGAGCAGACTACGGTCCACTGAGCCTGAGCTCTATTGCCAGGCCACAAGTGCGATTTGATTAATTTCACATGAATTCCCTGCAGGCCTGTTGCACTGCAAACAGCTCTTCTCCTGCACAGGTGGGACCTCCCATAGGCCATGCCATTTTAATTATGCCTCCTTTATTCTGTCGTCGAGGCCGCAAGTGACGCAGCGATTTAGTATCATGTGCTTTTAGTAGATAAGTGTGTTAATGTGACATCACAACATTCCAAAAAGCCTATAGTTTAAAAATGTGGCAGAGGGAAAACAAAGAATCTTTACTTGAATATATGGTAACTGTCAAAAATCAGATTTCAAGTCTTTTAGAGGGAATTTGCAAATCCACATCAAACAAAAACAGTCACAAAGTTCCACATCTTCTTTGTCAGATATCAACAAATCAGGGTTTATGTGACTTCGAGTGTCTAGAAGTGGTGACTATATTGAAAAAAACATATGCATGATGTTGGCCAGAGATGACTTTCAGGAAAAAACATGTCACTATTACTATCAAAGCATGACCCAGGAAAACATCGGGACATTTTCTTTTTCAGAATTTCTTTCATAATGTCTAAAAAATTGCTTTTTGGCACCTGCCTTAAAACGATCAATTTATCAGAAAAAATATACACATATATGTAAAAAAAAATCAAACCAATGAAAGAAAGATTAATTTTCACCTATTTTCAGCACCCTTAAGAAATGCATCATATTTTGCAGTTAATTAGTAGCTTTGGGCTAACTACAGGTTATAATGATGTCCCTGTAGTCCCATGAAGATGCCTTCTGTTCAGATCACAAGCGCTAGTTTAATCTGCTGCTGCGGTGCCAGTAATTTCCCCAGGTTTCTTGGATCTAGAGGTGTTTCATTAAAGCTGATGGAAGGGTTAGGGTTGGGGAACTTAAGAAACCATGGGATCGCTCATGCTCCAAAACCTCAACCAAACCTTCTACAGGCAGTTTGGAGACTGTGTGCATCAGTCATAAAAGCCAGACAGACCCCCCCCACCCCCCAACTCCGGATGGAACGGACACAATGCTCCATAGCTGACCTGATTATGTTAAGTACATCTATTTTTAGCTTTTTATCCTATATGTCTATTATGCAAGTTTGCTGTCCAGGTATATTGTTATTTTGTATGAAAAAACCCAAAAATAATAATAATAATCACATAATTAAACACGGAGCAGAATCATTGTTGGGTTGCGACCAAGATTTCTCCAAATTGTTTTTATTAAAATTATTCATGATTTAATTTTCCATCTCTTATAATATTTCATGGGTCTACGCTTTGTTTCACACCAGATATTTTTACAAAACACTCGACGATAGTTTGTTATTCTGTTTCTTGTGGGCTACACCTTAATAAGCGAAAGACTTCGCTTTTAATTTTTGACCGTGAGTTGCACCAAATTAGTGCGAGGAGAATCTGATACATATTTAATAGAATTTACAAGGATGTCTCCACACAAGCTTTGGGTGACCTTGAGTTTATATTCTAGTGTATGAAACTCCCCCTGCTTGTAACCGGTCATCCCTCACAAAACATATAAGCAAAAGCCAATTCTAAACGTGCTCAGGTAAATATACAAGCCGCAAATATTTTATAATTCTCGAAAACCTCTTGTGTGTGTGAGGTGATCAGGTGCAATGGAAGATACTGGTGGCTGGCTTGAGAAGTCATAAGGTCACTTGCCACATCCTGAGTCCTCAAGGCCATAAGTGTCACTTGTGATGAACTCTCTCATCAATAGGGGCCCATTGTTCTCTCATATATCACAGGCATCCATGAGAGCCACTGGTAACTGCAAAGGGCCACTGCACCAAGCATTGACAGTCCCTATACTTGACTTGTGTGTGCTGCATGACCACTCTCCTTTCAATTGATTAATACGACTTTCTGTTCTCACGCTTTTGAAAATCACCAGTGACAAGTAGTGACACATTACTGTCTTCATTGTCACATGTAATGGGACTTGTGATTGGCGGGAGTAAACCATTTTTCAAACCTAACTGTATGTTCAGAAGACTGTGCTGATCAAAATAGCAAGGGGAACTATTGTGTAATATGTTCCATGTTTTGTGCAGGGCTTTCAAATCAATACGCCTCCATCATATGCTGCTGCGAAAGTGCACACAGTGATGGACTTGTTTTCACTCAGAGTTCGCCACATGTGACTGTGTAAAATGTTTTGTACAGGAGAGAATAAGCACCCAAGTGGAACCGCTTCTATTACAGAATTAAGTCAGAAATGTTTAATATCCTGTCCCCCGACAAATAAGCATTTTGGGCAGAAGCTAAATGTCTTCAATGTTTAGGTTTGAAGTAGCCCAAAGTAGATCAAAAACCATTTTGGAAACAAGGCGTGTACTCTTTAGGTAAAAACCTTCCCTTTATTTGAATATATATACTCTCCGATCTTGCTCTAAATAAATATAAATATGGTTACATACATAATAATGTCTCCAGTATGGCATGGTAAACAGATAAATTGTATAACATTAAAAATGAAGGAAAAAAATCTTAAGATGTTTATTTGTATTGTTATATAGTGTACCTAATGTACAGTAACAAAAAGTTGCTAACTCCATCAGTCCATCAAGGCAGAGATGTAGTACACCTGCCCTGTACATGTTTCAATGCACAATACGTCTACATGATTTTATGCACATACCTGAGCGGAACTTATAATGCAGTGTCTTCTATTGGGAATCCAGGTCAGATCCAAACTTTAACACAGCCTAAGTTACATGTAACAATGCATATATTATGATAACCTAGCCAATGGATGGAAGTGGGATAAAACTACATATAAGGGAAAAGACGTGTACAGGCAGGGCATGGGTCAGTGGCCTCAGGTGTCCGAGGTAAAGCCAACATTTTAAGGCATAAAGATGGCCTAGGAACAAAACGCATAGTGCCAACGGGGAACAGTGGTAATAGAAGGTCTCCTCTTTCAGTAACAGTGTAGTCCAGCATCCACACGGAGCTCCAGAGGGAGAGCTGTGATCCGACCCGCGGCGCTCTAAACGCTCCATGTCCAGTGTGCGGAGGATGTGGCGCACAGGCCTGCTCAGCCTGCAGCTGCTGTTGGGGAAACAGAAGCAGAATCTATGTCTGTGTCCTCGGAAAGCTCCTCGTCTGGCTCGACCGCCGTGACCTGTGAGTCCGGGTCACTGTGCCCCGCGTCCGGCCCGCTTGTTGGTACATTCTCTGTGGTTGTTTGACCCTGGGAGGACGCGTCCACTTGTTTCTCCTCCAGAGGATATGCGGGCTGCGCTGCGGTCCCGGTTCTGTTGTCCCACGGAAACGCGTGCGCGACAGGGTCCTGTCTGGTGACGTTCAGGGACCATCCTGACTGTGTAGAGTTCCACTCGGATGCGTTGCTGCTCGTGGACAGGTTCGTGGTGATGTTGGGACTAGGGGTGACCTCCTCTGGCACTGGCTTACCCACGGATGAAGAGCTAGTTGGTTTCCAGATCAAACTGTAGTAAATGGCCAAGATGATGGCTGCTAAGGACACCGACAGTACATAGGCAAAAACAGTGGCTAATCTCACCCACTTCTTGTTCGTCTTAGCTGCCATCTTAGCCTTTTTGTCCCCCGTGTAGGTGGCAGGTTTTCCCCTCTCCATGTTGGGCATGAAGTCCCTCTCTCTCATATTGCCCCTGTGTTTTCCTCGATGCTCCACCACCCCCTCCGTCTTGAAGGCTTCTTGTTATCCACAGCCGAAGAGAAGACAGGCAGCAGGGGCAGAGATGCGATACCACCTTGAGCGCGTCCTCAGCGCAGAATGGTTTCGCAGCTACACCGCGGAGCTGTCATTCATTTGATCCTATTGCACTGCGCCTTCTTCAGCAGCACCCCAGTGCAGCATTGCGTTTCATAATGGACATCAAGCATCCAACGTCCCAGCATCCGAGCGCAGCAGCTCAGACATCTATCCCGAGAGACATGTCCAACTAGGCCCAGGGCGCAACCGCAATGTGCGATTTGATGTCATTTATGAACGATTCGATGAGATCACACGGTCCACAACTGTCTTACCCACTAAATGAAGTGGCTGGCTCAGCTAAAAATACAGGAGAGGGGGCGGGCGGTGGCTCTTAAAGCAGCAGCAGCTGCAGCGGACCCACAACAAACTCCCACCAAAGCACAAATCACTGCAAAGAGCGCGGAACTAACACGTGTCATTGGCATTCTGCAATAAAGTTGGGTTGAACGCCCCTGTGTGGAAATAATATTTTTTTCTCAATATATTTCTAGAAAAAAAGTTGTTCATTATTTTTTATTTGTTTACATTAGGACTTTTGTATAACTGTAACTGCGTGTGGAACAACCTGGAGTTTAAAAAAAAAAACTGGCTCTTTCAAGAGTGAAATACAAATATGATGACAAAGATGATACATATGGATCACTTCCCGAGGACGATATCTAAAGCAATACATCTTTTGCCTTAACGAAGTCCATTGGTGTTCAGTGTAACTTAAAAAGTAATTGAATAAGATATTCCTTTATTCGTCCCACAGTGGGGAAACTTCAGAAACTTAGTGCAGTGGTTTACAAACCCAGTCATCTGGCCATCTTGCTGCAGGTTTTCATCCCAACCAAGAAGGAGCACACCAGACTGCAGACCCAGTTCATGGTTGTCTGGACTGGACACTGCAGTGCTCTTGTTGGGTTGGAATGAAAACCTGCAGCCACTACAGTAATGTAAATATTTGTAATTAAAATAGTTATTTGTTGGCTCTAATCAGATTTAATTTACTATAAGAATGTTGTTGTAACACAGTTAAACTAGAAAACACAGCTCACACACAGATCAGCAGGAGCAGTGGGTGATCTTTCTGTTATTGGTGTTTTGTTGGTTTAAGAAGGCCTTCTATTGTTTAGCAATACTTCAGTGTCCTTTTTAAATAAATCATAAAAGCATCAATAACTAGGGTAAACTTGTTACATTATAAAAAGTAATATCCAACATGTATTATTTAAGTCACTTACCAACACTGCTGAAAATTGAGAAACTATGAGACTCATAAAACGCAACGTGATTTATATCAAACTTTTTCTTGTCATGATGTGGATTGTAATGGCGATTTGTCCTTAACTTAACCTAAACCAACTTAAACCACAACAAATCAACAGGGGTTTGTCAGGTCGACTTTACAAAGTGGAGAGAAATTAAATGGCCAAACAAAAGCTAATTGTAGGAAGTTCATTTTCCCAAGTAAATGGCAAACAATTCACTTCTAATCTAATCTAACGCTTCCACCCTGGCCTCTCCAGCTATAGCCATATTTAACCCGGTGACCAAATACAAGTAAATAAGCAATACTAAACACAGAAGTATCTTAGACAAATTTCTAGCAAAATATAAAGAACTAAATAAGATTGTCAGAACAAAAATCTAACAATGGATCTCCAACAGTTGATAATTGGCTCACAGCTCTCAGAAACGTACAATATACAGTATTTTAAATCGAACTGTAAGCCATAATAATCAAAACATTTGACAAACAAAAGCTTGACATATGTTATTCTCTGGCAATCAGTTTTTATATTTTGGTTTCACATTTTAAGATGTCATTCATCTTAGGGTAGTTGTTTGGTCCAATCCTGTCTGAACCAGAAGAATTACCTGGGATCACGTGGCTTAATTTGCAAGGCATATGGTCTGGGTGCGTCCTGAGTGAGAACTTTGCTTGAATATGTCTTTAAACGCAGGCACTTGGATAGTGAAGGTGGTAGTTGCAATCATGGCTTAAAGTAAATAGTGAAAACTAATCTTGGACTGGCAAAATGAATAAAAAAAGATATTTCCTGGAGGCGCCGGAGGTGAAGGACTACCTGATCAAAGGAGAAAGATTCACAAAGTGGTCAGAGGTGAGTGACAGATTCACAATGCTGTAAAAACACATTCATTCGTTCTATGCAATGTCAAAAATCAACTTTGATCTATGATAATATATTAGGAATCTACCAAGACGAGTCCGGTCACTATGAAGATGGATGCAAAAGGATTTTACATATACTGGATCAACCAAAGCAAGGTAAATGGAAACACATTTTCAGTCACATTTCTATAGATTGTAAAGAATATAATTAATTCAAATGCTCCAACAATGGAGGTACAATTATTAACTATATAATAAAATATGCTAAATGCAAATGTGCAATACTCTTAGAAACCTTCAGTTCAAATGACATACCAACTTCTTTTTTGTAGGAGACAACATTGTTGGATGTGGCCACAATCAGAGATACCAGAGTTGGAAAGTATGCTAAACTCCCAAAGGCAAGTATACAAGACATTCTTATGTAAGAGAAGGGAAAGGATAAAAAATCTTTGCAAACTCTAGGCAAACTCTGAATAGATTTTCTTTGTTTGCCAGTAGAATATGCATTTGCAATGCAAAATGCTAGAGTACACCCCTTGCACACACTGCAGACAAACAAATGAACACAACCCAAAGTCATCATCAGAGCCAGGCCTGCGTCCAGGCTGTCAGTGGTGGATTTGGTTGTGGTCTCTAAAGAGGATCCACTAATGCACCATTTGCTCCCACAGGGAAACTTTAAAACAAGCACATGTTCTAAAATGTTCTCTCTAAGCTCAGGGGCTTTGTGATGCTTGTCCCAGAACGACTGCATCACAAACACATGATGACAATGTTAACATGCAATGTGTTATATAATGAGTGCTACTCACAGTGAATGTGCATATCTTTGAATGGTCCCACATTTGCAAGTGTTACTTTCTGACATTTATTAAAATCATATTAGTCATATGATAATAGTAGAGAAAGATTCATGCTTCTGTGCCCACAGCACCCAAAAGTACGCAACGTCTTCAACATGGATTTTCCAGACAGCAACCATCTGGCTAAAACTCTGACCATAGTCTCCGGGATGGACACAGTCAATCTGACTTATCACAATTTCTTCGCTTCCAAAGAAAAAGTAGTGCAGGTAACCACCTCTTTCTGTACAAATGTGTGACACTGCTCTTTCTGCTGCCTTTTCTTGACTGGACTCAAAAACAACCATTACACACTGAGGATTCACTTCCCATCATTAGACAGCTTCTCTCTGGCTTTTAGACCTTATTAGACTCCATGACTGCAGAATCCTGATTCAATCATCTGCGATGAAAACTCATTTGAGCATTGTTGAAAACCAATAGCCATTAGCCCAATTTCTCTAAAAGCAATAATAGTGCCCTTCTAATGGTGATTATCAGAATAGCTTTTAGTTGTAATTATCAGCTGCTTTTATAACATGAAACTACAATAATACTGCCTCTAATATGCATGAATTCCCTATGCATTCTCAGAACTGGGCAAGTGATATACTTGCTATTGCCTACAATGCTGCAAGAAATAACTCATGCCGACAGGTCTTCTTGGACAAAATGTGAGTGTCAAATATTTGCCAAGTTTTAGCATAACTGCATTTGAGTACAATTTTATTGTGTCTACTTTCTATTTCAGATATGTGTGCCTTTCTCTTCAGACCAATAAGGATGGCAAGATTCCTGTGAAACGGTGAGTGCCACTCTGAATAGACGGCTGACCCATGTACGATTTACATATACCTTCTTTTTGTTTAATCAGAATCTACAAGATGTTTCCTGCTGATAAGAAAAAGGTTGAGGCAGCCTTGGCAGCTGCACACCTCCCAAAGGGAAAGGTTTAACATGATTTTGTCTCACTCTAATTGATATGCTGTAAATTTATCAAGTAAAATTACATCATCTTAATCTTAAGGATCTCTTAATCTATATATGTTTGTGTTGAAGTATGACAGCATTAAGGCTGATGCCTTCACTGAGGCGGCCTTCAAAACATTCATTACCAATCTATGCCCAAGACCTGACATCTATGAGATCTTTACATCATAGTAAGTCATCCTTCAATGGGACACAAACGCGATCAATGGGCATATAACTAAACTCCTACAGGGATCAATAAAGTATCTATCTATCTATTTATGACACATGTTTGCTGCGGTCCCTGTAGCTCAAACAAGCCTACAATGACCAAGGAGAACTTCACCAAGTTCCTCAATGAAAAGCAAAGGGACTCTCGACTCAATGAGGAGCTGTTTCCACGTTTACGACAAGACCAGATCAAAGCTTTGATTGACAAATATGAACCTGTCTCCAGCAATGCAAACAGAGGTACACTGCACAGCATTGCAGCGTCAATTATTGTCAACCACATTGACGTCACATGTGTTTTCCACCTAGGCCTTATATCTCCAGAAGGGTTTCTGTTTTACTTGATGGGAGCTGAGACCTCAGTGGTCGTGCAGGACCGACTGGCTAAATCCCACGACATGACTCAGCCTTTACCACACTATTTCATCAAGTCCTCCCACAACACTTACCTGACAGGTAACCAATGGCAAATGGAGACTTTGATTATTTTTGGGGAAAATGACAAATGGCGTGTTCCTCTTGGCTTCGCTCAGCCGGTCAGTTCTCAGGGGTGTCCTCTCCTGAGATGTATCGTCAGTGCCTTCTGTCTGGCTGCCGCTGTCTGGAGCTGGACTGTTGGAAAGGCAAACCCCCAGAAGAAGAGCCAATCATCACCCATGGCTTCACTATGACAACTGAGATCCTCTTCAAGGTCATTTTATTTCACTTGGTCATGCTGTAAAGACAAATATTTGGAAGAGCACAAGTTTCCTGAGAGAAGGTTGTGCACTGCATCAAAGTGGCAGTTATAAACCACACTGCTTTCAGACGGATGCAGAACCTCTACCAGTCTCAAAATGAGCTTTAGATTGGGTAAAAACAAACTATTTAAAGCATGAAGCAGGCAGACACCTCTGGCCTTACTCTCTCACATTTGACTTCCATTTATGGTCTGAGCCATCTTCACTGCCATTTCACTACTGTCTGGAAGTGATGTCGTAAGGAATATGCTTTGTAGTTCAACAAATGGGAATAATATGAGTTTGCGTTTCCTCCAACCCCTTTTCGAACCATGTAAATGTTTACCTGTTGATGAATGTGAAAATGTGACATATGACAGTGATGATAAAGTGCATACATTCTGAATAAGTTTATTAAATTATTGTCTTTTGTATTAAAACATATTTCTTTCCTGTCGTTGACTTCACCTCAAAGTGATTTTTTTTATAGGATGTGATTGAGGCAATAAATGAATGTGCCTTCAAGACTTCTCAGTATCCTATTATTCTCTCATTTGAAAACCACGTTGATTCGTAAGTGGATAATTGAATTCATTAAATAGAGATGTTTTCATCTGCTTCATTTTGCCTTTGTTACAATATAAATGTGCCGTGTCTTTTGTTTCAGAGTCAAACAGCAAGAGAAAATGGCCAACTACTGCAAAACCATATTTGGAGATGCCCTGCTAGCAGAGCCCCTGGACAAATACCCCGTCAGTGCTCTGCAGCAAAGCCCACAATAACAGCCCCAATACTTGACAAATCTCTCTTACCCATGTTTTGTAAAATTCAACACAGTTCCTGATGACTATATTATAATTTAAAGTGTGCTTATTCATGACAGAAATGTTAAGAATGTGGGCTGCAGTATGTCGCATCACTGAGATATCTCTCTCGAGCCACAGTAATTTATATCAACATTCTGTCCGTCTTACCTTCTCGCAGTCACAGCTGTGTATCCAGGGGGAGGGGGAGTGCTTGCTTTTCAGAGGATCTGGGTCCCAAACAACATCAGTGACACAGCCAGGATTAGACCTGCCTGTCCGTAAAACACTAATTTGGTTAGAGAGAAATGTAGAGAAAGTACTTAACATTCAAAGTAGCAATTTGTAAGATTTTCATTTCAAGTCATCATTAAATGGCCCTAATATGTCAAAAGGCATTAATAAAACAAGCTCATTTCGAATACTTCTTTATCTTATAACAGTTGTTCAGTCAAGATATTAAATTTTCAAAATTAGTTGTACAGCCCCTAAATGAGCCCCTAAATGTTATTGTTTTCGTTTTGACATCAATCACATACTTTCTACCAGGCAGAAAGTCCGTGATCCGGGTTGCCAGAACTCACCGCATCGAGCTAATCTCACTGGTAAAGTAACATGTGGCAGCAGAACTAAAAAAAATCTCGTTATGATTCTCAATTCGTTAATGACAAAACAAGGAGTAAAACAAGGATTTCTATCGGGGGCCTTGTTAAAAAGGTGGTTTGTTATAGATTTGTTGTTGACAAAACTCTTGTCTATCCAGCTTTTATGGTCCCAGCCGGATTCTTTTGCATATCTGAGTCAGGGAGAGTGCATTACCACTTTTGGCCAAATAATGACCATTGTCAAAAGTATCAAAAATCAGATATTAATCTATGCTAAAAGAAGTATCCAAACTTGATTGAACAAGACTGAAAAAAGTGACATTCATGGGACAAATGATTTTGATTCAGAACTAGTATAAACCATTACTACCATAAAAAGCACTATTATTAACTTGAATGTTAAAACTCACAGCGTAATAATAACATTTTAGAATTATCACTGGGGTATCAAAATTGTAATTGAGAATTTTCTATTAGCATCAAAATCGAACCTTGACTTGGTTCATGTGAGCTTAATGAATGAAATACTTTTTTTTTTTTTTTTTTTTTTTTTTACTGTATTGCAGTTAAAGCCAGGTCAGCAGATCCCAAGTCCATCTGAACTCATGGGCAAGATCTTGATCAAGAATAAAAAAGGAAGCCATGAGAACCCCAAAGAACAGGCTAAGAAACCAGTCTCGGATCCAAGCGTTGCGACCCCTGACCCTGCCAACCCTGCGAGCCCTGCACCTGGCCCAGAGAACCCAGGTACCACACAAGCAGAAAATACTGTCCTCTGTTATAGTGAAGTCTGGCTGACATGTCTGTGCGTTATTCAGAGGAGGATGCCGAGGAGCAGGAGGAGACGGAGGAGCAGGATGAGGAGAAAATGAAGACGTCAGACGAGGTACACTGTGGAGTACTGTATGATGACATGGTTATGACAGCACATCTGAGTTGTATTCTTGTTACGTTCCAACAGGGCACAGCTGGACAGGAAGTGACAGCGTATGAGGCCATGTCTTCTATCGTCAATTATATCCAGCCAAACAAATTTGTCTCTTTTGAAAATGCCAAAAGTGTGTATATTGTTCATAAAAACATAACATTTGGGAATTTAAATTTATAAAAAAATTGTATAAAAAAAAAGTGGATGTGACTGTAGTTCAACTTGTCCTGACTTCACAGAGAAAAACAGGAGTTACGCCATCTCGTCTTTTGTGGAGACCAGAGGGGAGGCTATGATTGCCAAAAGTGCAGTGGAGTTTGTCGAATATCCTTCAAGATGAGATTCTAAAAACAGCAGCTTGTTTGTGGTGAAAATGTCAACAATGATGTAGCAATTTCTTTGACTGCACTGCTTAGATATAACAAGAGACAGATGAGTCGAATCTACCCTAAAGGAACAAGAATGGACTCATCCAATTATAATCCACTACCCTTTTGGACCGTGGGCTGCCAGATGGTGGCGCTCAACTACCAGACAATGGGTAAAGTTAAAATTATGGAAATATAATGGAAATTAAAGTAAAGCATAAAAAGGAATTGATTTATGAATAACAGTACAAATCCAAGTATTTTTTTCTTCTTAAAAATACCTTTAAAAATCTGATGAAAAAGGTCTTTCAATATTTGAGATATTCTGTTAGTCTCCACTCTGGGGCAGTGTTGCATCACTTGGTGTACGGACCTGACCATGTTCTGCTGCATCCCACACCACCTCTGCCTATTGTATTGAGGATATTTACTGCTACTGTATGTCTGTTTTTAGATTTTCCCATGCAACTCAACATGGCTCAGTTTGAGTATAACGGCAGAACAGGGTACCTTCTCAAACACGACGTGATGCGGCGCAGTGACAAGAAGTTTGACCCTTTCTGTGACAGAATTGACACAGTTGTGGCAAGCACCCTGACAATAAAGGTGAGCTCCACATATGGGTGTCCTATGAATTAGATCAATATATAATTTTCTTTCTTCTACCATTCAACAATAAGTGATTTAGTGTCCATTCAGTGCACTTGTTGTGTTCCTGTTACTGGCTGTATACAAACAGAATGTGTACCACCTGCAGTGAGCTGGTTCTGGGAATTTCTGAATGATCAAAAATCTGTGCTATTTATATTCCTTGATTGTGGTTCAACTCAGTAGGACACAGTGTTGACCAATACAAAAACTATGTGGATTTATAAAAGATACATTTCTGTTTTAGATCTATTCAGGACAGTTTCTCGCAGAAAAGAACGTGAAAACTGGAGTGGAAGTGGAGGTATTAGGGTTGCCCAATGACCCTAAGAAAAAATATCGCACTAAATGGACCACCACACCCAATTCTATAAACCCAGTGTGGAATGAAGAACCGTTTGTGTTTGAAAAGGTGTAGGACCAAGAAAACATGTCTATATAAAAATGGCAGTGACCTTCTCATGTTAATATCTTATTTCTGCTCTTATTTAGATCTTACTGCCAGAATTGGCGTCTTTGAGGATTGTGGTTCATGAGGAAAATGGTAAATTCTTGGGTCACAGAATAATTCCATTGGATGCTATCCAATCAGGTTGGTATGAATGAATAGTTAAAGAGCCTGAAGCCTAGGACATGTGCAGTCTTGTCGAGGATCAGGTGAATCTCTAATCCACCAGGGAAATTTGTACCTTGTAGGCTTCCATCACATCTGCCTCCGAAGTGAAAGCAACATACCCCTCACACTGCCGGCTCTCTTTGTGTACATCGAGGTTAAGGACTACATCCCTGCTGCTTTTGCAGGTTCACCATTAGTTCATATTTATATAAATCCCATCATGGTGCCTGCAGGCTCCAATTTAAACAGCAAAAGGATATAAGTATATTTAGCTCTTACTACAAAATAGCTGAATATAATTGAAATGTCTCTTTTGTCATGTCCTAGACTTCACAGATGCCTTATTTAACCCGACAAAAGGCACAGAGAAAACCACCAAGACTCCAAAGGAGGTAAAAAATAGCCTTTTAAAATGAGACAGATTATTTCTTAATCCTGAATGAGACACTATTCTTGGAAGATTACCTATCTTTTAAATGATCCTCACCTTTGTACCCAAACAGTCATCTGCTGACTACGTCTCTCCGTATGAGCTGCCCCTCGCTGTCCCAGTGCCCACTCCCAGTGCCAAGGCAACAGAGGCTCCGCCATCAGGTAACTACCTTCATCAGGTAACTACCTTCATCAGGTAACTACCTTCATCAGGTAACTACTTTCATCAGGTAACTACCTTCATCAGGTAACTACCTTCATCAGGTAACTACCTTCATCAGGTAACTACTTTCATCAGTTAACTACCTTCATCAGGTAACTACCTTCATCAGGTAACTACTTTCATCAGGTAACTACCTTCATCAGGTAACTACCTTCATCAGGTAACTACTTTCATCAGGTAACTACCTTCATCAGGTAACTACTTTCATCAGGTAACTACCTTCATCAGGTAACTACCTTCATCAGGTAACTACCTTCATCAGGTAACTACCTTCATCAGGTAACTACTTTCATCAGTTAACTACCTTCATCAGGTAACTACTTCATCAGGTAACTACCTTCATCAGTTAACTACCTTCATCAGGTAACTACTTTCATCAGGTAACTACCTTCATCAGGTAACTACTTTCATCAGGTAACTACCTTCATCAGGTACTGTAACTACCTTCATCAGTTAACTACCTTCATCAGGTAACTACTTCATCAGGTAACTACCTTCATCAGGTAACTACCTTCATCAGTTAACTACCTTCATCAGGTAACTACTTTCATCAGGTAACTACCTTCATCAGGTAACTACTTTCATCAGGTAACTACCTTCATCAGGTAACTACCTTCATCAGGTAACTACCTTCATCAGGTAACTACTTTCATCAGGTAACTGCCTTCATCAGGTAACTAACTTCATCAGGTAACTACCTTCATCAGGTACAGTAACTACTTTCACCAGGTAACTACTTTCATCAGGAAAATAACTTTCATCAAGTAACTTCCTTCATCAGGTAACTAATTTCAATAGGTAACTAACTTCATCAGGGAAATAACTTTCATCAGGTAACTACCTTCATTAGGTAACTAACTTCATCAGGTAACTACTTTCATCAGGTAACTACCTTCATCAGGTAACTACTTCATCAGGTAACTACCTTCATCAGGTAACTACTTTCATCAGGTAACTACTTTAATAAGGTAACTACTTTCATAAGGTAACTACTTCATCAGGTAACTACCTTCATCAGGTAACTACTTTCATCAGGAAAATAACTTTCATCAAGTAACTTCCTTCATCAGGTAACTAATTTCAATAGGTAACTAACTTCATCAGGGAAATAACTTTCATCAGGTAACTACCTTCATTAGGTAACTAACTTCATCAGGTAACTACTTTCATCAGGTAACTACCTTCATTAGGTAACTAACTTCATCAGGTAACTACTTTCATCAGGTAACTACCTTCATCAGGTAACTACTTCATCAGGTAACTACCTTCATCAGGTAACTACTTTCATCAGGTAACTACTTTCATAAGGTAACTAACTTCATCAGGTAACTACCTTCATCAGGTAACTACCTTCACCAGGTAACTAACTTCATCAGGTAACTAACTTCATCAGGTAACTACTTTCATCAGGTAACTTGTGAGGGAATAATTTCATTTGGAAACACATGTTTGATTTGCAGAAGGTGGCGTACACAAAACTGTTCCCACTACATTAAGTATGCATTGGAATATTGTCAGCGACAGCTGTTTCTTCTTCTCTTTCAAGTAAAACACACAATAAATACAGCAAGAACTACATATATATGTGAAGTAGTGTTCTAATTACCGACCTAAAACTTTTATCAGGAAATATTACCCATTAGAATGAATAAATACAGCAAATTTAACTCTGAATAACAAGATGCCATTGACACCACAAGTCAAAGACCAACATGTTCAAGATGCAATAGAATGTAGTAGTAGATACTAGATTTAGTAAAGTTTATTTCTATGTAAACTGTGGAGAATGAATCTGGTATACTACCAGATGCGGGCGGCACGGTGGCTGAGTGGATAGCACTCTCGCCTCTCAGCAAGAAGGTCCTGGGTTCGAATCCCGGCCGGACCAGGGCCTTTCTGAGTGGAGTTTGCATGTTCTCCCTGTGTCTGCGTAGGTTTCCTCCGGGTACTCCGGTTTCCCCTACCACTAAAAATATGTACAATAGGTCTGGCATGCGCCTCCTGTTCGGCGACCCCACTCCTGTCTCTGTGTGGAGTGAGAGGACAAGTGCCCAAAAAATAACAATTGTAAACCGCTTTGTGACTCTGGTCTGTGAAAGGCGGTATATAAATAAAGCTTACTTACTTACTTACTTACTATAACATTCACAAGGAGTGAAATTACTCTTACCATCTTTTTTAAACACAGAAGAGACGTCAACAACTTCAGACCCAAATGCTGAGGCTAAAAATACTGAAGAGGACCCTCCGTCTGCTGCTGAGAACCAAGATCCAGTGGACGAACCTCCAAAAGAAGAGACCACTGAACCAGTACAAGAACCAGAACCAGAACCAGAGGAAGAACCAGCACCAGTGCCAGACCCAGAAACAGTGGAAGAACCAGAAACAGTGCAAGAACCAGCCCCAGAACCAGACCCAGTCCCAGAGGTTGAAACATCTGATGCTACCGGGGAAAGTCCACCTGCAGGTAATGAAGAAACATCTGCACCAGAGTCTGAACAGAAACAGGAGACCGTAGAAGAACCAAAAGAGACTCAAGAAGAACCAAAGGAGGCCAAGACTGAGCCCAGTGCAGAACTAGTAATCCTTCCTGTAGTGACAAATGGATCTGCTGTTGATACTGGAGGTAATGTCCAAAGTGTGATGTTATTTTCATTGTTAAAGTAAGTCAAGCTGAATATGCTTTGTTTGCGGCTTCAGATATTAAAACTGTGACCACCGAAGAACTGACTCAGCATAAGAACTACGTGAAGATCATCAAGCGTCAGGAGAAAGACCTCAAAGAAACCGAGAAGAAGTTACAAAAAAAGGGAGAGGACTTAATTCAAAAATACTCAGACACTTTCAAATCCATCAAGAAAAAGGCTTCAATCAAGAAAAAGGAGTGAGTGTTTTAATGAAAACAGTTATATTAGTAATAGAACTTTTATTTTCGGTCCTACTTTGTATGCGTTCATATAAAGGTCAAAAGGCATATCAAATGATGATTAGACAGAGTAATTATTGCACAGGTCTTAAGCTGACCTCAATCAAATATGGTAAATTTTATCACACAATACAATTCCTCTGATGTTGATGGAGCAAGAAAATTGGCATGCTGACTGCAAGAATGTCCCCCAGAGCTGTGTGCTGTGAATTGAATGTTAATTTCTCTAGTCTGCCATGAAAATGTTGTTTGAGACAATGTGGCTGTATATCCAACTGGTCACCCAATGAGCATGCTTGGGATGCTCTGGATCACCGTATACAGTCGCACGGCCCAGTCCCTGCCAATATCCTGTAACTTTCCACATTCCACAGGTCAAAATAAACAACCTGATCTATGTGAAGGAGAAGTGTTGGAGTGCATGTGGAAAATGGAAGCTACAACTGAATATCTCAGAGCATCGTATTATTATGGCCTGTCTGATGCTCACCTAGTGTATGCAGTATTCTTAGCACAGAAACACAAACACACATTTTGGAATAATATCTATATACCGAGTTGTATGCATTTTTGTTCTGAGCAACAATAATGATAAATGTAGAAGTAAATCAATTATTTCCCTTCTTAATAGTAAGTCTTTATGTTTTCTCAGGGGAGCAACAGGAGGAGATTCCAGTGTAGCCACTGAGCGTGTGCAGGAGCAGAAGGAGAAGATGTCGAGTGATCTGCACGGTCTCTGGACCAGTCAGTACGACCAGATGAAAAAGAAGAAAGAACAGTTTGCTACAGAAGTAATTTCTGAATTTTTATAAAATGGCAAAAGCAGAGTATAGTCAATACTGTTGTAACCTGCATGCACAGAAAACCTAAAATCTATGTCTGGACTCAAACCGAGTCAAACTAAGGGTGCGTTCACAGTTACTCCCAAAGTTAACCAATTAAGGCAAATATGCTTCATCTGGGGAGATATGAAACCACTTAACAAGTGTACACTCTTCCAGCAGTCCTTTTGGTAGTTTGCCCTAATTGGTTAACTTACTGCAAACTCTGGTTCGCTTACAAGTACAGGTAAATAATGGTTTTAAATGGGGAACAAAACATGATATACTATATGTGACATGCATGTGCCATATTATTCCATTTATGCAATGTTGTATAGAATCCTAATCAAATAAGATGCATTTTCTTCTTTCATTGAACAGAGACTGACAAAACTGTTGGAATTAGCTGGAGATAAACACAGTAGTGAGCTGAAGGCGCTGGAAAGGTGCGAGGAAACTAAAGCTTTGCTCTCCTATGTTTGTGTGTGGGTGCTGTGAGGCTGATGAAGTGACATTTTTGACAGAGAACACCTCAAATGATGAATTATTCAACTCAGGCTCCAGTATGTCAGCGTTTGTTGTCCCAAGTTTTATCGAGATTATTTCAGGACAAAGCATTATCACATGGGTGTTTGAGCAGCTGTCAAAGGGAGAGTAAGGAAAGTATTCAGCTATATGAGTAAAAGTGAAAGAAAAAAGTTAAAATATGACCTGCAATACAGTCCATTTACAACACAAGGTGTATATAACAAGGGACACAGCAGCTAAAGATTCAAATCATTATTACACTGTAAATATGATTTTTTTCTTATTGCACAGTGAAGCTAAAGAAAAGAAGAAGTGTCACGGAAAAGGAAGTGAGAGAGCAAAGTAAGTGGGTAGAATGACCCGTATTTAATGTATCTATACTCCAGCTTTAATATTTAATGAAATTGAAGCTGGAGTACTAAACTTTGAATTTTCAATTTTGTAACTAGTTCCTTGCTAAAAAAAACTGGTTTGGTTCTGTACGATCACTTTCACATCAGAATCAAAGCCAGAGTCAGATTTCTTTGTATTTCCATTGTAAGGAAGTAAAACAAAAAAAATACAAAGACATGCATAAAACATTTAAATACAATTCTGATGTATAAATACACACTATATTTAACAGTGCAGATTGTCTCCAGCGGTAATGAAAGTATAAGGTGTCAGAAGTATAATGATTATACTTGCATATATGTGGTACGACGTGCATGTATTTGTGGCCCAGTGTCACATTAGATCAGCTTTCTCAGCTCCCAGTACGTAAAAGATAATATGGATTCAAATTAGATACAGGCAGCATGTTATGGTATGATTTGTTCACAACATTTTAGTTAAGCAAGACTCTCTGCAGAGATTTACAACATGTATTTATGAAACCATGCATGAAAACTCCGGCTTTAAGTATAGGAAATTAAATATCACGAATGGATGATAATGTTACAATCCTTTCTCAGGCTGAAAAGGGCATGCAGCACAGATGTTCTGGATGAAAACAATCCATCTGAAGTGAGTATAACCCAGTACTTTCACTCAAGTTGACAAAACATAAATATGGCACAATCTTCACACATTTCTCTTTGTTAAAGTCAGCGCTCACTCATCCACTGCTCTGCGTAGCTATGGTTACAAAGAGTCTAAAGACTGGAAAAACAGCACAGAGACATCACACCTGAGGCATGCATGTCTTTGATACATGTGCACACATTAGCACTCTCCTTTGGCCATGCTACCCACGCTGCATAAACATATACACTTTACCCAGAATACAGCAGCCCTGAACATGGCCCTGCTTTGCCCATTACTCAGAAGCTGTTTACAGAGAACTGCCTAATCCATGTGTGCAATGACTCATGCCTCTCTGGGCTGATCAACATTCAGCCTCTTGTATCAGGGTTAACGATTCAGTCTTTTCCCTGATCCTCTACCTTCGAGTTTGACTGGGCGTACTCCACGCTCACATTAGGGTCACACTGCAGCTTATTTTGATCTACTCAATCAACCCCTGAGCATTAATTGTAGCCAGTATTTATAACACTATCACTTGTTTAATCAGGGCTGCCTCTGTATTGAATGGCCCTCTACACTGATGGCTGTGTAACTGAACTGGACAAGCCCAACCTGTTGGCTCTTAACTGTATTGATTGCTTTCCTTTGGTTGCATCTCTTGGGTGTGTTCCTCTTCAGATATGAGCACATTTCCTCACAGGGGGAAACATGAGCCCACAAACCACTTAACGACATTCAAACAACCTTTATCTTACACGTGATACTGTGGGGACACTCTGCAACATTCTAAACCAGAACCGCCAATCAATTGTGTTGTCTAAAACATTGTCATATAGGTCCCTGACATTAATCCTCAGCAAGAGGCACTGATGAAGAAACAGGAAGCGACGCTGGAGGAGATCAAAGCTCTGACCAACCAGGTATTTCGAATATTAAAAATCCAAGAAGACCAGAAGACTAGTACATGAACACTTTAAAAAGTGCCATTAGAAAAGTATGTAAAAGGATTCAAGTACTTTGAAGTACAGTATTTTGTTAGTGCAATAAGTAAGTAGGTAAGTAAGCAATCTTTATTTGTATAGCGCCTTTCTCAGACCAGAGTCACAAAGCGGTTTACAATTGTGGGCATTTTTCCTCACTCCACACAGAGATGGGAGAGGGGTCGCCAGTACAGGAGGCGTATGCCAGACCTATTGTACATGTTTTTAGTGGTATGGGAAACTGGAGTACCCTGTTCCGACCCAGGACCTTCTTGCTGAGAAGCGAGAGTACTATCCACTCAGCCACCGTGCCGCCCAAAAATAAAGCAATAATAAAAAATAAAGCAATTCCTTCCAAAAAATATCAAAATATGTTGAAGATTGTAACGAGATGAATACAACTTTTAAAGAAAAATTCTAAATGGAGATACGTTTTATGGTCCTGGGCTAAAAATCCAGGTGAGAACTGGTTCAACATCTGAACATGGGCTCGATTCTGCACGGCTCTGCCCAGTTTACTCTTTTCTCACACTCTCAAAGTGAGTAGTTTCGAGCTGCTAAAGCGGGATCCCACATAGCCATCGGAGGAAAGTCACATGGTCTCACGCTGAACAAAATTATGATTTTTTTTATCATGTGCTAAAGTTTGAATTTGAGTTTGATGTATGAAATAAAACAAAAGGTGTTTTCGAGAGGTAAGAAGATGCTATATGTTAGCATTGGCTAATTCTTATTCCGGGTCTACCCCCATCGGCCCGGGGTGGTATTGCAAGCATGTCAGCGCACATCATTTTGGCCACTTTTGAGCCGGGACCTGCCCCCACTGGTCTAGCTATGATACATCTGTGAAACTCTGAAAATTAGAATATTGTTCAAATGTCCATTTATTTCTGTAATTCAACTTACAATGTGGAACTAATATGTGATGCAGACTCATTACACGCAACGTGAGATATTTCTTGTCTATATTTGTTGTAATGGTGATAATCATTGCTCAACTTTACACAGACATTTCTTTTGGACTGCGAACCATAATAATCAAAATGATAACCAACAAAGGCTTGGCAGGTATATACAGTTTCCCCTGTATATGCCCACTAAAAACGCCTTCATTTACAACAACAGCAACAAACAGCTTGCACCATTATATGAGATTATATTGTGGACACATTTCTGGCATATACATCATAAACAAACTTCTCCATTAAAACAGACTGTGCCAGGATATTTCCTGTTTGTCATTGTGGCCATCTGTCAGCTCGGTTTATTCACAGTCTGCAGTGTGACACATTCAGTGAAGTCCTCTTCTAAATGAGCTTTGAAAATACAAGACACTGTCCCACCACAGCTGCAATAGATGTCAAAGCACGATTGTCGACAATGCCATTGACTTTGACACTTGGAAAAAACAAGAACAACAAGTGTTACATAGTAGAAAAGCTGACGTTGGAAGGCCAGATGGATGGTGGTGGTATGAAAGCATAAAGCATTTGGAAACAAAAAGCACTCTCTATCGGGTCGATCAAATGGTGTCGGTGTCCTCATTTTGCCAGGCCGGAAACAGAAGTCAATCAATGAAACAATATATTGATTGGAAAAATAATCACCATATTAGTCAAAAAATATTTTAATCTTGGTTTAATTTCGAAAAACAAGACAAGCAAAACATTTGTATTTTCAAGACAATAGCAAATTTTCTTTAACTATTAATAATAATAATTAATGCATTGCTTTTATATAGCACTTTTCTGGACACTGTGGACACTCGATACTGTAGCCACAGCTGCCCTGGGGCACACTGACAGAAGCAAGTCAGCCGACCACCACAAACCATTCCCACAAACACCAGACTCATTCTAGTCAATATGGGTGAAATGTCTTGCCTATAAGGCACAATGACAGTTTGGTACTTTACAGCTGCAACCACCCCACTGTGGCACCTGCTGTTCCCGAAGGTCTCCCATCACAATATTAACCATGCCATGCCCTGCTTAGCTTCACAGGTCTGACAAGATTTCGCTTGCATGCAATAACCTTCAATTGACCGAGAATTTACTTACTCTCAAAACAAGATACATTATGAGCCTAATTTCATTACGTCTTTTCATACCTTTTCATACATTTTTTGGTTTAACTACGTCTGGCCAAGTCCTGGTGTACGTTGGTAGTAGCCCAGACCAAATTTTGTACTGGTTTGGCATTTAATTTACACAAAAAATATGAATTAGATACAGAATTTGTACAGAAGTTCATGTTAAATGGTCAATTCAATTCAATGTATTCTTTTATATCCCTAAATCACAACAGTATCTTGGAATAAACATCAGAGACTCAAAATGATCGAATTGGTGATTGATGTGTTGTACCATTATCTGGCCCAGAGCATATGGCCATCCAAAACAATCCCGCCTTGTGAAAAACATGTAGATTAGCCATATCCTATTGTATGGTATGGTCTGTCCACTTTACGATGTGATATTTGCGCCCACAGCTGAATCAAGACGCTCTAAAGGAGCAGCAGCAGAAGATGCATTCTCTGTCTGGGGATGTGGCTGAGGCTGTGAATGTGTGTGTGGGATCTCACTTTCCAGAGCTTGTGGACCAAAATGCCAAGAAAGTGAGTGAGGCTGGGGTCTACGGCGATGTTTTTCTTGGTTAGTCTGCAGATTTTTCAATATTTTTTTTAGAAAAAGTATAATTGTATTAAACTCTTCAACCTGAAAATACTCGCTAATTTTGAAAATGAATGAATTGTAAATTGTCTATTTATTTTGAGGGTGCAATTACATTAACACTTAATCATACTGTATTATTTTCATGTGTGGATTTGTCTCTATAGATCAGTTATTATAAATGTTCATTTAAAACCATGTGAAACTGTAGTGCACTCAACACATGGAACTCCAGAACTTGTTTCACACAAAGCAACATACTACATTTGCAACATACTACATTAGAAAGTTTTAGCAATGCACCATGTTTTTAAATGGAATATGCATAAACATGTCAATAGATTACTAGATTATGGTGATAATCAGTAGTTGCAGCCCAACATCATTAATATATTAATATAATATATGAATATATTTCATTAATAATCATTAATATTATTTTGTTTTGTTTTAAGTGTGATGTGTTATTATAAATTTCAGTTCAGAAACATTGATGTAAGGGATTAAATCATGATCTGTGTGTGTTATCCATTTGTAATGAGGCTTACTAATAAAGATCTGTCAGTAATCAGAATTAAAGTTACTATAAGACATTGACAAAACTTCTTAAAGGAATATAAAAAAATAAACTTAAATTGTGTGTAAGCAGTTTTTTCTTGATAGCTTTCAATGTGCATTTTCAAAGTGAGCACCATTATGTCATTCTTTTGACAGAAAGCCACTGCATTTAACTCTTGTGATTTGTGATTCTTGTACAAGCGCCAAATAATTACCATGAAAATAGCCCTTTCCAAATCATATTTGAACAACAGTGGTGGAAAGAAAAATCCAAATTAGTGTCCTGAAAACACTCAAAGAAACCAGTCTTATAAAACAGTGAATCAAATAGACTGTGCTCAAAGTTGGAACTTATCTTCCTATTTGCACACATTCTGTGACTATTTATCAATGAGCCGTTTGTCTGAATCATGGAGCTGTAAGAGCAATCTGTCCAGTTCCCTGCCTTCAGGGCTCCCCGACTCTGAATCACATGACATTAGTGGCATTACTGGGAAGAGCTGGATGGGCCAAGTTTGTTGGGGGGAGACAGCTTGTGCCTGAGAGAGCCGCCACCTCATGCACAACACAGACGGACTGTGAGCAATTGATGGGTGAGAGCAGTCAGCCCTGAATCACTGTGCTCAGTGTTATATAAGAGACATGATAAGAGGACTCTTGGGACTGGGTGGAAGCAGACCTGAAGCCTAAAAAACCTGTAAATGCTTACAATATTAACCATCACCCTGGCACTGTGATAAGCTTCATATTCCTTACTTTCTGCAGGTGGTTAGTATCCCTCTCTAAGGTCAGGTCCAGGGAGCTTGAGGGTTCGACAATTTTTGTATGAACATTGTGAGAAAAAAGCAAATCTGTAACCGTAGCAATTACTCATGGGGATTTGTATTTAATCTTAATCTTAATCTAATTGACAGCCTGTCAAACTGATACTTTGGCTGAGTCTTGGGGAATTTATTTTTTATTTACATCAAGATGTCAAGATCGACATAAGCAGAGCGTCACGGTCTTTGGTCCATCTTGGCTTTGAGTGGAGAGCATCCTGAATGCATATTAAGCACCCACACCACCCACATACACACCACCTGCTTGGCTAGCACATTCACAAGGCTGCAATTTTTGCCTGGCCTGCCAAACGATATGCTTTTTCAAAGACATATAGTCTGGGAACGAGCTTGATCTCAGCGAATTCCCGGTGGGCGTGGTTGACAGACTGCATCAACCAATTAGATGCACACAGGATATGACGCAGCAACTAGCGGCACCCAAGCCGTTTCAGTAAACACAAAACAAGGGATGGCGGCATGTCAGCTAGTGCAAATGTAAACGACTGCTGTCAATTTTGTAACAAAAACTTAAAGATACGAGGAGTTATTAGCAACTCAAAGGTGAAAGGAAGTCCCGCCTCTCGGTGCGTGATTGGACCGATGTGGGTAAAATCGTGAAATGATAGGCTAGGAAGAGGTGTCCAGACGGTTCTTCTTTTGAACAGAAAGGAGGAGTGTCTGGCAGGCCAGGCAACTGCAATTTAAGATGAACTACAGAATGAACTGTCATATACTGTTTCATTAAATATAGGAAAATGTGAGATTCTGAGATGACATAATAATTGCATATTGATTATTCTGGTGGGCTGTGTTCCAGCTCTTATGTCTGAGAGCCCCCTCAGTGATGCAAATCAAAATAGTACGTAACTCTGTTGACACAGTCACATAATACGTTGACGATATGCCACATTGGCAGGAGACACCACTCATCTGCCAATTAGTAATGAAACGAGGTGTCTTTTAATCAGCCTGTTTGATGATCTGCAGCGTGTTGCCTGGCGATATCTCTGTTTAGTCTGCACTTCTCTGGGATTAGGGTTAGAGCACCTGATGCAAATGCTGTATACATGTGCAGCTAACTGGATTTTGCGACAGGTAAAGGGCATGCCTTATGCAATAAAATGACCTGATAGTTGCATAGTAGCTGCCCTTGTAAGAAAAATGTTGTATTTTTCAATTTGAAATATACAGAGCCACAGTTGGTTCACATTCTTTCAGGTGAGTCACCGTTTGCCCTTTCCTAAGCTTTATGAAGCCTATTGGCTTGTATCAAAAGTGTTTTTTTATGCAATAGTTTGTAACAACTTATTACAGGAGGAACAACAACAAAACAGAGTTGTTGCAAATTATGTGTGTATGATTTGGTCAATGATGCGATTGTTGAGAGATATATGTCCATTCTTTTTGTTAAAATATATGATCTATACATGGTTGTGTTTTCAATTAAATTCAATGTAATATTGTATAGCGCTAAAACAGTAGTAACAGTAGTTGTCTCGAAGGACTTTGTCTCTTATTCTCTTATTGCCACTTTGTCTCTTATTCTCTTATTGCCTTGTGTATGACTTGTGCTATACAAATAAACTTGCCATGCCTTGCCTAGATTGAGAAAGTTCAATATAAAGTTCAAGTTTTATAGTGTATATTACTGGCTAAGTTCACACAAAGCACTTTACAATGTGATGACAGAAGTGAGACACTGAACACACCGGCACATCGAAGCTTGACCATCAACCTCCATCCACTCTCTCATTACATTCATATCTATTGTACATGTTTTAGTGTTAGGAGGAACCGGATCATCCAGAGGAAACCTATGCAGACACAGGGAGAGCATGCAAACTCCACACAGAAAAGCCCAATCTGTACTTTGAATATTAATCTGGCTTCACAACAGAAATTCTTAATTGTAATCGCAATGTTTATCTGAAAAATCACATTTAGACATTTCTTTCAAAACCTGCACAGTACTGAGAGCAGAAATAAAAGCCTAATTTCAGGGTTAAAGGAAGACCTTCTGTTTCCATCTGGTCACACTCTGCAAGAGGGCTTGACTCAGGGTGATAATTGATGACAATAAAACGAAAGATAGACAATTGAAGACAGAGTTATTGAGAGAGAATCTTCTACAAAGCATTTTACTCATCAAAAAGACACAACATTCGATGAAGCTGTGACAGTGTCTCACCTGACATTTTGCTGTAACCCCACTTGATCGTCGCCACTTATTCGCTATGGTTCTGCTCTTGACAGGAAGCCAGCTGCTGCCCCCTTTTCCTGGAAAAAACAACAGCTAATCACCATGCACGCACAGGATGCGATTTCCTTGTATCAAATCAGAGGGTATTAAGGAGCATCGCATGGACACTTGTTCTTGTTGAGAGTGAACACTATGATTTACTTATTTTAGAGTCTCAGCGGGAAGTGTTAGGCCCATTATGTCCCACTCCTCAAGCTACAGATAACCAGTGTTATCGTCTTTTATAACTGTCTGGGAATCGGAGCTTAGGGTGGTTTGTTTGAAGAAGACATAGACATAAAAATTAGGGATGCACCGCTACAATAATTGTAATGGATAAGGGCGTTGATATATATATATGTGTGTGTACACACACATACTTTTCCCTATGACATGTGTACTTTTCTGTCCAGCACTTTGTAAGTTGGAGTATTTGTATGTGCTATTTAAATAAATTTAGATTAATTTCAAGATAAAAAAGTAAAGTGAAAGAAGTGGAAAAAGGAAAGAAAAAACTATTTAATTTAAATCATTTGCCAAAATTGGGCAGCTTGAGATCCAAACCCTCTAACTATCCACTTTCTTCTGTTTTCTGAGCCGAGATTGTCAGACTTCTTCCCTTTCCTCATTCAGGGAAATCCTGAGGTATATACCAGGCCAGGTATAGTCCACACAGTCTAGTCTGGAGAGAGTCTTCCTTGGGGTCTCCTCATGGCTACACGTGTACACATGTGAGCTTGTATGTCATAAAGCAAGCCTGTCTGGGTTGATGTCAGATAGTTCCATGACTATTAATCAATTAGACACAAAAAAAACAAAGTTAGTGAGGACAAAAGTTGCAAACAATTGGTTGTTTGATTAAAAACAAACTATACTGAAACTCTATTCAACTTTGAGAAGGAGGTAATATAAATAAATAATGGATCTGTAATGACCTGTATAGTCATTTATCATGTGCACTCTAGCTGTCAATTTGTATGACTCTTGTTTCAGGGAATGTTTTTTTTTTTTACACACTTACACATTTCCATTTCATGCTGAATTTTTTTTGGTTGGAGCAAGGTTAAAATAACTATCTAAATCTAGTCTATCTGTTAAAAAAAATCGGTCAACTTGTTACACTAGCTAATGGTTCCAGCCCTAGCGTTTGTCTTATGCATGGATCCTGTGAGAGGCCAGGACGAGAGTAGCTAGCAACGACAGTTTCACATTTACTAAAACCTACATTTTTAAACTGGCCTATTCTTTGTAATTTTTTTTTTAGTTTTATATTCTGTTCTTTTGTGGTGTTTTTTATACATATATTTTAAGTACAGTCAATGATTGTAAGGTGTCATGAAATAAAATTATTATTATTAAAATATGAACGCATTGACTGTAAAGAAACTGGAAAGTGTAGCGTTAAATACATACCAAGCCCTTCACTAATTTCCACTTTCTGAACAAATGATGTGTTGATTTGGGTTCCGTGAAAAATCCCCAATGGCTCATTTACGAACGAAAGCCTGTCGAAAAACACTTGTAAATATCTTTAGACCCTCGGTTTTAATTTGACATCAGACAGTCATACAGGAAACCCGGGCTGCACAGAGCATGCGCTTACAGAGGCCAAAACAATTAACCAACACGTTCCTTCTCATTGCATACACTCTTCCAATTAGCATGTTAGCTATTAGCATTCGGTGTATTTCATTCATCAGCGGTGAGTGAATAATCATCATTTTCTCTTATAAATGTCATAGATGTAAGTGTACACAGGCCTACATTTACTTAGGGCTGGTTGTATTATTAAAGCTGGGATTCCCAACTTTTTTTTTTTTTTTTTTTGTTGCTTCTTTTATCGAAATAGTCATGTCAAAGTAAAATGTCAGTCCACAACGTGCTGTCTTCATCCTATCTTTTACATACTTAAGAAAGAGCACACACTGAGTCACTATTTGATGCTTTGGGCTAATAGCTGCTTAAATGGCTGTGGTAGGGTGATTTTTCTGTCTGAAAAAGCTGATCTAATAATAATGTGAGTCACAGACAAGAGGCCAAAAATGTGGAAACTAGTGACATAATCAAGTGGTTTTAAAGAGAGTAACTAGTTAGATGGATTTGATTTGTCTGTGGTTTGAAAGTTAGTTGTGGGCTACTTCAACATCAGTTCTGCATTTTGCCTTTCCGCTTCAGTTTTGTGGAATTTTGTATGAATTTTACACACAGTGATTGCTTAATTTCCATTCACTTTACTGTGGCCTGAATGAAATACACGATTGAGGATAATTCTGTTGCTAACTGTTGCTGCGTTGCATATGATGATAATTACTGCCTACTGTATTTAAGTGGTCAAAACATATTCCCATCCCTTTAATTAGATAATTCCTTAGAGAATTTGTTGTTTGTTCCAGGTTGTATACATCATGGAAGACAGACCAAACGAGGTAGAACTATGTGTTAAGCTGCTGAAAGTTCTATTTAAGAAAGTTTTCAGTACCTGTGAAAAAATTGTGTTTGTTGATGGAGCTGCTGTCTCTTGCGGACCACGCATTGTCATGTTGACTGCTGAATTCAACGTCAAAATGAATATATGCTTTTGCCACGGGAAAACAGAGCTTCTGAGGAAGCCACAATGTAGTACACACACTAAACTCGTCTCATTGCCCATTTTTTCCAACACTAACCCAATGACAATAACAATATTTCATCTCAGGGACCGAGAAAAGCATTATTATTTGTAATGTTGTTTATTAATATGAAAGGTTTGATATTTAGGTTGTGATGTTTGAAACACTGATAATTGGAAAGATAAAGATGTCACCATAATGTTTTTAATTATCCCAAGAGTCTCTTGGGTTAGGAGTTCTCTGCATCTTTCTTGTAAATACACATACACTGGCAAATAGGTTTGTTTTACCACAATACTGAAAATGTGCTGTAAAAGTGTTGTAACTAATACACTGATTTACAAATTGTACTTAGGACAAAGATTAAATTATATATAATTTTTTTCAAAATGTTTATATTTTTGTGAAACATATATTTAGACTTAAACCAGCCTACCTATCCATTCTTGAAAACACAGCAAGATATTTCTTGCGGTAATTATTTTGTTGAAATAGCTTATATTTCTCTCCAGGCAGTGAGTGCTCGAGCTGAATGGATGCTGCCACTGCATAATGGTTCTCAGACATTTGTTTCCTTGGCAACGTGGGGAGGGCATGTGGAGAGAGAGGTATAAAAGCGCTGGCAGCCTCTCGCTGAAGCTTCCTCAAGAGGTGAATGGGACAACTCAGCGAACACTTCTCCTCCCCACTGTTACTGCTGAGTTCTGCTCCACAAGTGGTTGTCTGAGAATGATGCGACCTAAAGATTTACGCCAGGGCTCTGGCACTAAGACCTTTCTGGATGCCATGCACGGAGGCAAGGTTCACCTTGCACGCTTCATTCTGGACGCCCTTGATGGACGCATTATCAACTCAAAAACAGAGAACAGTCGCACTCCTCTCATGCATGCAGCTTGTTTACAGGATCCTTCTTCTCGAGCTAAGTTTACTCATCTGCTTTTGGACAGGGGGGCTGAAGTAAACTGCCAGGATGAGGATGGCCGCACAGCACTCAGCCTCGCTTGTGAGATGGGTCACCTGGATGTTGTGAAGCTTCTGGTGCAGTTCAATGCTGATCCGGACATCTCGGACGTCTGGGGAAACAGTGCTCTCATGTATGGCGCCTTCTCTGGTCACAGCCAGGTTCTAGAGTTCCTTGTGCGTGCTTTTAAGAGGCTGGGACTGAGACTTGATAGAACAAACAACGCTGGCCACTCTGCTTTAGAGGTTGCCAGCTTCTTTGGACACAATCATTGTGTTAAAATTTTACACTTCCCATGCAGGAGAACCATTGTCTCAGATGAACCACTCACTGAGACGAGTAATACCAGGGAAGGAGAGTTCCGGCTCCCAAACAAACTACCACAATATATGTTGGAACGATTTACAAAACAGTTAAGTGCCACAGATGACCAGCTACCTGCTTTATTTAAAAAGAAGTTGAAAACAGGTGACAGTAATGGTCTGTGGAATCGGTTTAGATGTCCCAGGAGCCACTCGCAAGACAGCAACCAGGGCAACAGCTGGGGTCTACCTCCACAGATTGACAAATGCCAAAATGAAACGGATGAGAGTGTCCTTTTTGCTGCCAAACAACTGCAAAACTGCCAGCTCAGAGATTCTAGGATTACTAAAACACTGAACTCTGTCCCTGAAATCAGCCAGAAAGAGGTCAGCAAGGGTAATGCAGAGCCAAAACAAGCTCCAGAGACTTCATCTGCCTGGGGAAAAGCCAAGTCATTTAACATGGAACTTGTGAGTGGCAGAAAGCAGTCATATCAGGGTGACATCCGCGACTTGGGCCTGTCAGCCAGTAGATTAAAGAGAGCCTCATTGCAGGATGAGAGGTGTCTGCTGGATAAGAGGGACATCCAAGGCAACTCTAAAACTCTTGCAAAAGAAGCTGACATAACTGTGCCGAAGTGTCAGGTGATGGATACTGACACACCAGGCCTCCAGAGAGTGCATCAGAAGAGAGGAAGCCTGGGCCCCCCCACCAGACACAACAAACTGCTGTTTGCCAGAGATGACATAGATCCCGGTAAAGGTCCCAGCCGTGCACCTGGTTTTGTGGGGTTAGGGACCAGACTGCTGCGGAGATTCACCGCTCCAGAGTTCATGAAGACTGTCATGGACTGCTCCTCTAGCTCCTCTCAGAACAGGAGCCGCATCTCCCGCTCTGAGACCTTCCCGTTCTCACACACACACCAGCAGGTCAACAGCCAGCCCAGCGTGGACAGCATCAGTGCAGTGAAGTGCGAGTTTGAGAGCTGCTCTTCTCAGAACCCACTTGATTAGAACAGGGACACTATTGAATATCAGGAACAGTTCTTAATGGTACCTTCATTAATCTGACTATTGCTTTGTAATATTGGCTTTTCTTGCGGTATTAGCTTTTGCACTTTTTAGCACTTGTTTATATTTGGCTCTGTATTGTTTTTGTAAATTTGAAATATGAGCTGCTGAATTTGCTGATTTCCCATCATTTTAATATAATTGTTTTTGTAGTTTTGAAACATGTATTGAGTCTACATACCCAATGACTCTATGGTGAACTTGATAATAAAAAATAAATAACAAAACCTTGTGTGTGTGTGTTTTATACGTGGAATAGTGAAAGTAAAAATACACCAGGTGACTGTATGCATCATTTATTAATTTATACAAAATTAAAATAATGTTAAATTCTCTTTGCCATGAACCACACAGAAATAGAAATACATGACTCTGTGTCAGAATACAAAGACTGTGCAAAGTGGGAGCAGGTGGATGTCCTGCAGCATCACATGCCAGGCCTGTGTGCTTAATCCTATGCCAACAAATGCAAATACAGTCATACACATTTGCGAGAGCTGCGCACGCATACATCTTCAATTTTTTAAAAAGTCGAAATACAAAGAGGGTCTCGCACCACACTCCCACACTTACAGTACATGCACTCAGACTCATATCAGGACAGAAAAGTTAAATGTTATATCATTTACTGCAGTGTTTCTGACCTGTTATTCACTCTTGCTATTTACAACCTTTATTCAACCATGTCATACTTATTAACAAAACCTTATTTGTAAATTCATATCATACATACAACTCACAATACCTTTTGGAAACAGAAATAATAAATACAAATTGATACCGTACTGTTGTTTTTTCCCATTAGCCCAACAATAGCAGCTGGACCCTTCTCTACCATTTGTGATGCTAATAAAGAATTGTCTATATCACATCCCAGTTATCAAGGACTCGCCGTGGGCCAGGTGCGCATCTATTTGTCCAATTTGTCAGTAGCTGTAGACTCGTTTACAAAGCAAAGTGGAGGTCAATCCTGCACATGAACCAGTGTCAATAAGAAATATCCTGCAATAGGTGCAGTATACATGTACATAGTTGCCTTCCTATTGATTGATATGCTTTGTGCTAAGATGTGTTCCTAGTGAATGTAACCAGAGATTTTCCCAAATCAAGCTTCGAGGTGACAAATGAGCATGCTGCCGTTTACTCCTAAAGTGCTTTTAACATGCCCGGGACCATCCGCCTGTCAAAGTCCTGTCAATGGGCAGCAGCTTTTTAATCCTCCCTGTTTCTCCTAGAAGCCTTTTGGTCTGCGGAGTTCCAGAGGAGCCAGACCTTTTGCATTTGCTCATCAAGGCCCCTCAGTTTTAAAAATATTTTTTTAAGGGAATCTTGACAGCCAGTGTAGGGAGGTCAGCAGCGAGACATGCGTTTGCGGTACTGCTCCACCAGGGGGACCAGGCACTGAGGTGAGCCACACTGAAGCAGGAATGGGTGCTCCAGTAGGTCTGTGGCGCTGGCTCGTTCCAGGGGGTCCCGAGTGAGCATGCGGTCCAGGAAGTCTTTAAGGACTGGAGATATCTACAAACAAATGATTGATGAAAAGATCAAGTCATATTTTGAACACCAAGGCTCTTCCCTATTTCCATTGTTCTTCAATATCCCTTAAATGATTGTTGTAGTAAACTTATAAATCTCAATTTCATCCTTTAACCACCTTGCAAAAAAGCCCATTAGGATTATACTGTATGTAATGTCTAACTCTTGCATGCTGTATGGTCTTGTTATTACATGCAGGTATTGTGTTGAATTGATGATTGGTTTATGAAATTATTATTATTATAAGTATTTGAGCCATGTACTAAAACATTTGCATGGTTATGTTGATGTATAAATAGCTCCTTGCCACCAGCCCTTCTTGACCCTACTCTACTCTACTTGGCTCTTCTTTACCCCTGTTTTCACCGGCCCTGCTTGAAATGGGGCGTATATAATTTCTTTTTGTTTTAGTTGACTGTATGTGTGCATTACCTTTTTTGCTTAAATTTTGACATTCATTATTCATACAATACATACAATTATTCACCGTGTGTGGAATAATTGGAACAATATCTGAACTCTGAACATTGTAAAGTGCTTTGGGTGACCTTGGTCTGTAAAATGCGCTATATAAATAAACATTACTTACTTACTTACAATATTCATTTTGCTGTTTGCATGTTGCATACCTGGTTGATATTTCTCACACTGGGAGCTGGCTCGTCCCGCAACCTCTTCATTGCCGCCACTGGGGTTTCACTGAAATACGGAGGCTCACCATCCACCATCTCCACCACCATTATACCCATAGACCAGACGTCCACCTGGATCCACAAGCAGGTCAGTTACGTTTGTATGGCTGTGAAGGTTGCTAACATCAAAATTGTCATCAAACACTTTTCCACCTCAGTGCCATATGGTGATTTGGAGATGACTTCTGGAGCCATCCAATACGGCGTCCCGACCAAAGACTTCCTCTTAGGGATGTCTTTACTGATCTGAGCGCAGAATCCAAAGTCGGAAAGTTTCACCTGTACAAAAAAGGTAATAGTTATGTTACATTTGCTGTGAGAGCTCATTTTAACAAATAAAAGATGATGAAAATGAAATATAAATTTAATATATAGAATATATATTATTGATACAACCTATACTAAAATGGAGTGGGAAAAAAGTAGACTATGTTCTATAAAATACAATAGATTGTAGATTCAGGATATCTGTTTTGTGCTATGAGTCAATAACATTGTTCATAATTAAGTAAAGTAGATCTTGAGTCTTGTTGTTTCCTTCCAATCACTTCATTCTAGCACATGGTGATATTAATTTAGTATGTGACGTAAGTAAACATGGAATGTAGAAGTATCTATACATTTTCCGGAAAGTGCTTGACAAACTAGAACGCTACCCCACAGAGCACAGACCTCCACCACAAGGCATTCCAGTCCAATAATTATACAAATAGTATCTGGACAAGTAAGTGCAGTTTCTAATGTTTTTTGTAGCCTTTATATTTATTCTATTATTATTATTATGTACTAGTATGTATTATGGCAGCGATCTGCATAACCTTCAAAACACATGATTTGTTTCTTTTCCCATTTCTGAGGTTAAATTAACTATGAATTATGTAAGAATCCTAAACTTTTTGCTAACAGACAAACAAATTCTGGTGAAAGCATAATCCTGTGGCAAAGACTATTCATTGATTGAATTGAAATTATTATTAGTATTATTACCACATTCTATTCTTAGTGTTTTAGTTATTATGAAGTCAGAAGGTTCAAATAGCTAGTACCCTTCCGTCCAGTGTCAGGAGTATGGAGTCGCTCTTGATGTCCCGGTGGATGACTCCTTGTGAGTGCAGATAGGCGAGGGCTTGCAGAACGGCTTCACACACTGTGGCAATCTGCTCCTCCGTCAGCCTGTCCAAACCAACACAGCGTTTACATTAACATTTGAGCTTCTGGCAGGCACACTTTAACAACACACATCATGCCAAATAAACCTGTGGCTCAAAGCAAAGTTCAATTCATGAATCATAGCGTAGTGCGTAATACAGCTCTCACTTCCTGAGTATCTGATAAACTGACTTAAGTACACCTGGAAAGTCTTTTTATAGGGGTGTCCTGGTGAGGGTTTTATTATCAAAGTGTGAGATAGAAAGCTAGTGATCTTTTATGCTTCACCTATGATACCATGCAAAATGAGAAAAACACTAAACATATGACACTATTTTTGACTGTATGATATGTCAACACCATTAATGTGGTAAGGGGAAAATAATTACATCAACAAGCGTTTATGTATTACTCTGGAAGACCTTGTTAGAGTAATGAGTTTTTTCAAATGCTAGTTTGATGTTTTATTGCTTAGTTTCAAAATACAGCAGACCTAATTTGGACTATTGTTTTAAAATACAATACATTTCTTATGTAGCAGATTTTTTACTCTTGAATCGATATGTTTCTTTCAGACACAATGCATGATGGTCTGTATGCCCTTGAACATTATGAGCTGATACTACACTGCCCCCTTGTGGAAGTAGAGTTATAATCAATGCTCTCATAAAACAGACACTCCTGAGAACACTGAGGATTTGTACCTGGTTTCAGACACGATGTTGGTGAGCGCTCCTCCCTGCAGGTACTCCATGATGACCCACAGCTCCTCCTCCACCAGGGCAGACTTAAACATCTCCACCACGTTCCTGTGCTGATAGTCCCTCATGATTACCACCTGCAGCAAAGAAGTTTTGATAAACGTTTTTTTAAATAACATTAATGGGCCAATCTCTAGGTGAAATGCTCTGTTTTTCTTGCTTGCTAATCTTGATAAGAAATCAAAGTAATCAACATGATTTTGTTCAAGTGAGCTTATTCATGAGTTACAGTAAATTCTATTTAGTGATATGTACCTGCATGGATCTCACTCTCACTCAGTGAACAACAACTAAACTGAAACAATAATTTGTCATCCACTGCTTTATGTTTAAGGTTCTATATCTGTAGACATGAGTGAGGTTGACGCGCACATCCAAATCTGAGTGGAGTGAAAAAATTAGAAAATAGTAAGGTGAAAACATGGAGATGACTCTGCACAGCTTTAACTCCCAACGGATTATTTCATTTAGCACCACAAGATGTGACGTTTTGTGCACAAACTACCCTTCATCACACAAGACTTATTCTAATTTACAAATAAGATAAGGTCCTATATCTTCCACACAGAAATAAGGATTTCTGTTTGGCATGTTGAACGATTGATTTATTAACTTGTTTATTATTTTGAGAGATTTTTATAAAACTTGTGTATCATTTTTCCCTTTGTTATTACTATCGTTAGTAGCGATATAGAATTGTACTTTTTTATTTCTATATACTTACAACTATTTCATGATGAGGGTAGTTTAAAGTAAAGTGGTTCCATACCTCATTAAATAGGAGTTCTCTCCTCTGCTGCCGCCGCAGATCCATCATCTTGACTGCCACCTGTCTGCCGCTGTGCTTCTCTGTGGCAATGCACACTACCCCAGTAGAACCTTCTCCGATCTTCACAAAGTTTTCCAGGTAAGAGCGTGGATCTCCCTTGTCCACCACCATCTGCAGGGCTGCTTTGAACTGTTCATGTGTGACTTTGGGTGGGTCAGGGGGTGGCCGGGGTATGGGATGCTGAGGCGCCCTGAAGGCAGGTGAGCAGGTGCTGAGTGGACTCGTGGCCAGAGAGCCCGTGGGAGAGGGTCGAGGCTGAGAGGGACTATCCTGAAGAGGGTAAGGCGGGTTGGGGCAACCTGAATGTCTTAGAAATGGCTCAGGGACATTCGCTCTCAGTCCCATGTTTGGAGACAGGCCGAGGGTGTAGCTCGCAGATGATCGCACTGTCCTCTGGGGCCTGATGCCACCCCCCACCAGAGGACTGCTCGTGCCAGTGGGCAGGAAGCCGGAGTGGTACCTCACAGACGTCTCTGTCTGCAGGATAAGATAACACAGAGAGCAGTGAAAGCCTGTTGGCCGACCGCCTGCTGCAGATCACGGCCTACTTTTAAGTGAATGCTAATCAACTTCTTCACTATTTCACAGGACTATTCTCAATTCAACCTATGTGAATAATGTCAAATTAAAATCCATGTGCGTTAAATAGACATGCAGTACATTCAAGTACAAGCAGAGGCATCATTAGAATATGTGTTTACGCTTTATAATTCATGTTTTTACACAGATGCACATGTTTAAATGAATAATATATGGACTTACTTTCAGATCATAGGATGAGAAGGGCCTCCCTGGGCTGTTTTGAGGGTGCATGTACATGGGGGGTGCTGGTCGCAGTTCTGAACCAACAGTTGGTTGCTCTGGGTATTGTGGAGGCTGCTGAACAGTCATATCAGGATTGTAGAAACATGCTACGGGCCTGGGTGGAGGTGGCAGTCCTCTGGGCAGCAAGATCTCCCTCTTCCAGATGACTCTCTCTTGAGGACTGCTCATATCTGCACTCATGTATGTCATGTGACTTGATGCTTGAATATTTTGAGTTTGTGATAGTGGAGGTCCTTCATGAGGGAAGCTGACTTCATAAGTAGATTTAGCTTTTGGCAAGATCCCATTTGGTTGTAAAGTTATGCTCTTCTTCATACCTAGATAAGGTGTGTTAGTTTCACTGTGAATGTTTCGGGCCCTGTCCTTCCACTGTTCCTGAGCGTCATTGTCATCATCCTCGTCCTGAGTTAAGCTCTCGTACTGGTAGGTGTCGCACTCATTCTCTTCCCCAAGACGACCCAGAGACTGGGCCCGTTTCCGATTGGAGGGGCTGCTCTTCCTCAGAGAGTTTGAGCTTGTCACAGACAGGCGGTTCATATCGTTGATCATGGCGGAGATGTAGTCTCCGTGACCAATCATGCTCCCACGCACTATAGTCTGAAAGAGAGAAATAATGTATCCCAACCAGGCACGTGCCATTATCACATTATAGAAAGATTTGTACCATGGGAAGTAATTAGTGTGATATAATCATTGCTGAGAGGCATGTTAAATATAGACTTGAGAATTTGCTAAGGACATCTTTGTCACAGTACAAAGACATTTTTCCTAGAGCTATTTCAGGCAATGCACTCTGTTTCAGTAATAAAAAAATTGTGACAATTCTGACATTATGAAAAACTATTTTAGATGCCATGGTCATGCAAAGACATGATGGCTGTGTTGTTTTGGAAGTGTGTGAGGTGCTTCATTAGTGTGTCTATGGACAGGCACATTTAGTTCACGGTCAGTGACAGCTCTCGTTTCTCCTGTTACACATGCGGCACACAGGTCAGGTGACATATCACCTCACGGAGCTCACTGTGCATAGTGGTGAACAACAAATTCACATTTTCACGCTATATATTAAATGTATTTATTTTTGTTCTGTAAATAACACATGTTAATTTCACTCTGCTTTATGAAAAGTACACTCCAAAGTCTGGGTTGTGCAACAAAATGATATATTAAATTAAATATAATTATTAATATATTAAATGTAAAAGGACATAATCAATTGTTTGCATTGCTGATTAAAAAAGTCTTTCTATCATAAAGTTGCATGAACTAAACAAAGCAAAGTAGCTGTGAGACTTGAATCAGTCATCAGTGTTGGCTCTGCTGTAGAGCTGCTGTAGCTGCACTTTTACCTCTCAGCTTGACATCTGTGCGATGCTCTCTACTATTATTAATTGCCTATGTGGCGTAATAAATCTTGCAGTCCCTTTGAGTATTCAACATTGTAGAGTCAGTGTACACAGCGGGGTCATTAGCTCAACCTCAAGAAGGTAGAAGATGTCATCTCAGGCTTTTCCACAGACATTCCTCTGCTGAATTCACACTATTCTTGTCAATACATTCTGCACATCATCATAAGATTAGAGCCTGGTGATGGCATGCTGGTTTAGTTTGGGACGCTCTGGGGTTATGTGTGTTGTACCTTCTTTGGCCTGAGCTCCACTTCTGTGATCCGAGAAGGGTCGACCACAGGCCGAGGCCTCCGCAGGTTCTCTATGAGACTTTGCCATTGCATCGGTAGCCCTATAAAGCATCCTCTCTTGTTATCAAAGGAAGTGTGGACACGGTGCTCAAAGTTCTTGGGCGCTGATATATCAGGCCTCTTCTTCTTTTTCTTGCGAAACATGTTCAGTTCCACACAGGCCACAGCTTGCCCTCCTCACTATATCCCTGAAACGAGAAATATTTAGCTTTTAGTTGCGGACTGTTTTACTGGGTGATCAGGCAGGATTATCCATTGACAAAATCATTATTAGCCTTATACCAGAGCTGCAAATTTCCAGCATTTTTTTCTGACAATTTCCCTGAAATGTTGTTGTCATTCAATTTAAACAATGTAGTGGTTTATAATGGTGCTGGAATGATGATTGGAAGATCTCGTGCACCAGCTCTGCAGTACCACGTCTGTCTCTGTGTGGACCAAAATTGTAAAACGCTTTGTTTGACCTTGGTCCGTGAAATGCACTATTTAAAAAAGGATCATTAAATTCCTCACATATGCAGAGGGACAGATGCCTGTACAGTTCCAGATTTTGTGAACAGCACAGACATTATTTATAGAGTGCACTAACACACAAACCACGCTCTGTTACACAAAGTCTGTGATCTATAAAACAAATACTTTATGTAAAAGTGCGGACCGCTACCCAAACTTCAGATCTGCTTATGAGGTTCATTTCAGAGACTCGTCTCTTGTCCAATCCAAATACAGCTTCTTTATTACAGCCCGTTCATTTTTGCTTCTCTGGCTGACCTGGCAGCCCACGCCATCATTGAGTCTATTAAAAAGCACACTGTACATACAAGTTTATGAAACACCACTCATCAGCATAATTTACCTGCTATGCCTGTTTAATTAGACAAAGTTGTGCCCTTGATTGCAGTGTGCATAGCCATTTAATATTAGAATAGATTACCCTATTTGGTTGGATGGGTCTGCTATATGTTCAGCTTTTTCTGTCAATGCAGGGAAATAATCAAATATATTACACCTCATATACTCAACTGCACAGCTGTGATGAGATTATCTGTACTTATTCAATCCCAGTGTGCCCAGTGAATCCCAGGCTGGCTGCATATCACAACATGATTTTGTGCTGAGTTTGAGGGTGGAAAATTATAGTGTCAGAGGCCTACAAGGTGCCCTGATAGATCCAGATACGATCTCCCATCATACTCGGTCAAAGGGTTGGAGTGGAGGAAATGAGTTTTGCAGCGTCCACGGCTCAGCGGGCTCTCAGCACCTCCGCCCTCAGACCAGCACGCCTCTAATCCACACCACTCATAAGCCACACCGGTGACTAACCACACCATTGCCCCAACAACACACTGGAGGGCACAGAGGGGTTGGGCCTTTTCATATCAGTATAGGACAACCTTGTTTATAATGCTAGTGGAGGGAAGAGGAAGAAGAGAGCCCTGTGAGGAAACATGTCACCCCCTCCAAGGATAATTCAATCACACAGCTAATATTCTAAGTGTTACATAAGCATATCACTCTGAGCTCTCCCTATGTACACAAAATGGTGCTGAGAAGGACTTTAATTCTATCTGACAGGATCATTATACTGTGAAAGTGGAGCCGTCAGGGTCACCCAATTTTAGCAGAATAATAAATGATAATAAATGTATCCTTTTGATGATTAAAGGTTATATCAATGTCATTACCTCAAATCCACACAAACAAAATGCTCTCCTTTGGAAAGGCACAATACAATTCTGTAATGGAGAGCAAAAAAGCATTTCTCATTTTTGTATGTTTTTGTGAGGAAACATGTTTCTTTTGCTTCCATATAGTGTTTAAATGGAAACGGCAGATGCAAAAAGTAATCTTATTTAATACACAAAAACACAAACTTTGTATGGTTGCAAGTGCAATTTTGCATCAGTAATCATTGCTGTGTTTTAGACAGGACGATTCTGGCAAGTTTGATTGTAGAAGTATGCACTATGAGTGCATATTACGTACGGTCCCTTTAAAATCCATACTAGCAGCACCCCCATCTTATAATAATGGTAGACTGCAATTTATGTGTTGCACAATTTATTTCAAGATCTCATACTACTTTGTGCAAACTTGCAGTTCTGGTACAGAAGTTGGCAATGTCTGTAAAAATATTTATACAGGGCCCTCATGGATCATTTACAAGAGGATCAATCAATATTTACTCATGAGTGAAATGCAAACGGTTACACTTCTCCACTGCCAGCAATAATGGGGTGATACCAACACAAATAGGACAGCTGCCTTTGCATGCCACTTTATCAAGCCTCATCAGTTCAAAAGAGGCAACACCACGATATTCATTATTCATCCCAGTCCTGCTTGTGACTCAAGCTGCCAGAAATTTCAAACTGACAAATCTGATATTAACACCGTTCTAAAATATACGGACAATCTTTGTGTCTGCGTTTCATGGGAGTCATTCAACAGTTGATACAATTACCAATTAACAGACCTTAACCACATGCATCTGGCTCCACCCCGACCTCATTAACTTCACTAAGATGTTAATAACAATGTACTATTGATTTTTTTCAAAGGCTGCAATATTTGTGCAGAGCGCTGAACGTGCAGCGTGCATTTTCATGTTTTCTAGTCACACACAAACTGCAGAGATGTGACCCTACGCCTCAGTGGCTTGTCTTGAATCTATCAAAGTGCTGAAGCAAAAAACTCTGTCCAGCAGCTGTCAGAAACATCAACCACCGAAAAAGGATGAGGTCACTCGGAAATTCTGCTACATGGGGTGTTTCCATCTATGAGAGCACGTGCACTGGGAAACTTTGTTGATATTAACCAAATCGAAATGCAGCAGTCAAACGGAATAGTTATGTCACAATTTAAGAGATTTAGAGATCTCAGAGTGGGGAAATTCCAGTGTTGCATCACCAGTTACAGAACAGTAAGAATGAGGAGCACAGAGCAGTAGATAAATGAACAATAACTATGCTAAAATTAAATTAAATCTGTAACTCTAGCCTAATCAAGAAGCAAGTATAAAATTTCTTAACTTTAGCCAATAAAAATAAATGTATATTTGTTAACATGTACTATGAGTATAGAGTACAGTGAGGTTTTAAGTTAGTGGATCTGTTTTGTTATTTTTGTATTCCTTCTTTCAGCATTAATCAGCACTAATTTCACATTAAAATGATTTGCACAATTTTCCCTCCTTTTATCATTATAATACATAAGCGCACCTCTCCTTAACACATTTTAAAAAAAGATTGATGCTAAGACAACAATAATGCAAAGATAAAGTCAAATTAAACAATGAGTGCTATTAAATTGTGTCCAAAATTCGTAACTGAGATTTTTAGACATTTATTTTAGACCCACTTGCAGCTTTGCTTTGCTTTGGACAATCGCTGAGCTTTTGCTGTAGCTTGTTATGCATGTTATGTACTGTAACAACAAGTTTGTGTGAAAACCTCTGCCAAAGTTCTGCAGTTCCACCCAGGACCACACCAAAAGCATCATGACACAAATATTCTGAAATCATCCTGTTTTTGAGCGGCTTTTTGTTGTAATTCAAGGTAGATTTTAATAGAGATAATCTTGCTTTATTCTTCACATTGTGTTTCAAATGTTGTTTTTAATTTATTTTCAATAGGATGTCATTTAGGTCTTTGGTTTCTCCTCCATTTCCCCCTTTTATGACAAATGATATTGCAACAAGTATTGCATTTTAGAATCAGTCTAAATCTGTCACATTTTGCTTTTTTCTCCCCTTTTTTTCAAATTCACCTCAAAGCCTTTCACTCACTTAAATTCACTATGTTCCCTACTGCTCTCTGCATGCTGACAGAGGATATCAAGGCCTTACCCAGAGACGGATGGAGCATCTTCCCCTGGCATAGCAGCCTCTCATGCCACATCCAAACACAAGCCGTCCATATGTTTCCCACAGTCCAAATGTGAAGCTCTTTTCGCTCTCACGTTCCAACCCACCCGGAGGAGGACTCGTGGGCGAGCGGGATAGATATTGGATTTGCTCAATGCTGCTGGTCTGAGCTCTGTTGAATGATTTTTTTTCCCCCTATTTGCCCTGATTCCAGCGGTATCTCTTCAGTTGGCATGCATGTGGAAATGGTAGTGAGGCTGGTGCATGTTCAGGTGACTGTGCTGGCAGGATTACAGGCTTCCACTGATCTAATATTAGGACACATCATTTCACTCTGCTCCTCTCTCACACAGCCAGGCTTCTGTTTATTTTGCATAGGATTTGTGTAGTGAAAATAGTGGGGTTGAATATAGGGGACAATTGAAATGACATAATCCTCTTTTTTCTCATGTATCTATAATCCAGCTATAGTACATTACTGCAAGGACGTGAGCATTTCACACGGCATGGAGATGGCATGGAGGTCTGTTTTTGACTATATACTGCAGTGGCGAAGTGCTATTCTTTCAGCTTCATTACGATGACCGTTTTGGCCTTTGAGTGTAATGAGACTGGCTCTCGAGGGTGTGGGAAGAGGGGACCCGGATTGGTCTTGTAAAGCACACTCAGGATTTCATATCTAAGGGGAAAAGGTACACAGACTTTGTACGTGACTGGACAGTGCAATAGCCATGTTTATGAATTAAGTTGAAGAGCCTTTTCCCTTCGGAGTCACCTCTGTCCACATGAAGGCACCGTCAATAGGAACTGACATGTGATGTAATGAACTCTGCTCAATGACATGGAATAACATGGAATAATGTTGTTTTCATGCATATTTTATGCTGAGGCTCTAATACAGCATGTCCTACTGAGCACTGGCAACCCAAGGAACTTAGAAGAGAACGCATCTGCATTAGCGTGTTTGTATGTGGCTAAAGACAAGTATAAAAACACACACAAGTAACATACTTAATTTGATTAGGAAAGAGCCTGTTATGGTTATAATTACAGTATGGCAGTAACATGTTCATTAATTCCAATCAGTTTTAATTCAGTGATATTACTAAATTGATAGTATTTTTTAGTATATGAATAGTTCTGCTTCTATAAGCTTATAGACTTAAAGGGACAGTATATAATATGCACTCTAATGAAGTCTTTGCAATTACCGTCCAACTTGTTTTGCCAAAATCCTCTTCTCTGTTTCATGTGTAGGTCCTATGCCCTGATTACTGATGCCATCCACCTGCTGTGGTTTAGCGAGAAACGGTACAAACTCTATGACCACATCTGGTTTCATATAAATATTTGTGATTTAAAATTTTTAAGAAAAAAAAAAAAGCCAAAACTTGCAACCTTTTGGCAAACCAGATGAGAGCCTTATACTGCTCTCTGATTGGATAATCTGCTTGAAACATTTTATAGCCATCATGTTCATGATTCGTTCATGTGCACATATTGTCTTGGGGGAAAAGACGTTGATGTAATTTAAAATAAATATATTACATACAGTCCCTTTAAAAATGCAGAGAAGAGGTTTGATGACTTTGATATCCAATTATCATATTGATTTAATGAAAACAGTGTTTTTAATCAAACAACCCAATGTGTGACAAGTCGTCTCCATGAAGATTTCCTTGAGCTTTGAAATATAAATGTTAATTACTAACCTAGATTACTGATACTTTATAAAGTGAAATGGTCTTATAGCATCATCAATCATAAAGCTCATCTCAGTCTGTCTAACCATCTTTAACCTACATTTTAAGTTACAATAAAACCTGAATTGTGCATGGCTCCTTTTGTAGCGCTCTTGACCCTGTAGCGCCATTTAAATCCACGGTGCTGAAGGTTAGGTTTACATGATCCATTGTTATTTTCCGCTTTCACATTACACTCAAACATCTTGTGCTATCAAAGCACACCTGACCTGTTTTATGCGCCTGAGTAAGAAAATAGCCTCAGGTTTTTGAAGTGTAATATGTGTAAAGTATAATATATGACATACATGGAGGAGTGATTGCTGTCAGTTCTTCAAGGACAGCAGGCGTCCGTGCACTGGGCCTGGGCTAATATTGACAGGAGGGCACATAAAAGGAAGGTCAAGGTACCACGGTGATGGCTGGATATATATATAAAAAAATACATCACAATACAGGCCTCAGGTTTTGCATCACCTCCGTCTGTATAGTTTGCAACCATCTCTTTTCTCTCTGTGGCAGACAGTAAAGAAAAATCAGGTTGGGTCCGCTTGCATCAATGGAGGCCATACATCACGGTGTCAGTTGATTCATATTGACAGTGATTCTCCAAGACAACCCAATGGACAAGAAAATTTGTTTGCCCTGTCCTTTGGTGAGCACAGCAATCGCATAACAGTAAAGCCGCTATACATTTCTTATACATGAGGATATTCTAGAAGCTACACTACACACAGTAGAGAGCAGATAGAGTTTATGGGATGTTCTTCGCCGATGCTGACACGACTTTGTAAATGTATGAACGAAGATAAGAGGGGAAAAGACTACTGCCAACACTCTCTTTAATTAAAGATCTCATGGCTATCGAACGTGCTTTGAACAATTTGACGCTGCACTGTTAAAGAACGTACGTGTGATCTGTTTGAACCAATAGTACGAGCCCAAATCGTCTCTCTGGGGCCTAATTTATTGATGCGCCAGTCCGATCTTCACAGTACAAGACTATATTCGAGCCCTCAATGAGCACAAAGCACCTGCCACTTTTTAACCTGGGAATTCCAATGCTAGTATTAACTGTAAGTCCCCTCTGTACAGCTCTGTCTCCCAGCGTGGGTGCTGTCGGAGCCCAATGAGGGGACTCGTGGCACGCTGCCCTAATTTGGACTCAGAGCTGGTTTTAATCCATAGTGCTTAGCTTCTCGTGGCCAGAGGGGAGATAAAGTCGTGGATGCATGCTGTCCCCTGTTCAAACCGCGACCTGACATTTCTGAAAACAACAGGTCATGTGACATTAGTGAACCTCATGCACCTTTTATTTACCTCTTATCACGTTCAGTCAAGCCCACTGTACAAATACTATATTCCACTGTTGGAGTCAAGAAGTAGGTGACAAAAGGTGTGAGACAGAAGATTAGCATTCTACCTTGATTACTCTTTTCCGGCCTATCAATAAGTCACCCAAGACATTCAAAAAGGCAGTTTTAGACTTGCAGGACTTTACTCACATCCTACTCACACTTAGAATGCAGCCTTTACTTTGACCTCATATAAAGAATGTGTTACAACAGGCCACGACAGAGTTTAACTGGGCTCTGTTATGACTCACAACATACTTAGTAGAAAATCTGCACAGCTGTACATTTGCATTATTTGTGAATTGCTTTGAACGCAAACTCAGCAAATGTGTCTACAGACGATCTTAGTGCTTAGATTCTACATAACAGTTTAACAGTTACAACAATAAACATGTTTCCATCAAACAATGCAACATTATTTTACAATATATGGGGATATACACAGAAACTAGGTCATCTAAGGGCAGAGGTATGGCTGAATGTCTATCTATCTATTTATTCCTTTAATGAAATAGAGCTGTATCTGATAGCTGTGACTGTGACTCCTTCATAATTGTACATCGCAAACATTACTACTTGTTAATAAAGTTCTTGTTGAACAGGTTTCCGAAGGATTAGATTGTATTTACTTAAAATATTTCACGTGTCTCCTTGTTTTTCCACATACTCATTGAAGTGTGTCCATACTAACAGCAGTGGCGCCTCGTACACTGGTTGAATTGGGATCACCTGCACCCCATAGTAGTTTCCTGCTGGATTTCTTCTAGTCTAGTCTGTCTGAGGCACAATGACAGATAAACAGTGCTTCAGCGTTGAGTGGATTGTTGCATGCCTTCTCTTGACTCATAGGTTGAGGACACAGAGGCGTAGAGAAAGAGGATGTGGGGTATTTCAAAGAGGAGGGGTTAGTAGAAGGTGAAAGCTTGGCTACATCCACAAATCTTTGTAGTGCATCAACACCTGGACACAATGGCTCATGGCGTGTCTACATCCCCTTCTCTAATGCCTGACGACAACCCACTATTGAATATTCTTTATCAATGACGTTAAGCTTCTCCCCCCCCCCCCCCCACCCCCTTTCACCCCATTGCCTCCACAGTGGAAAAGAGGTACAAAATCTTCCATTCCACCTTACCTTGCCTTGTCCAGTGAAGAGCAGAACCCTCCTCTGGGAAGGATGTGGGGTGAGCACATACAAACTTGCATGCACTGTGATAGCACGCTCACACGGCGTGCTGCTAAGGATGAGGATGGAGGCTTGGGAGCTCAAGCCAGCGCACACTGCAGGCTGCCGCTTGCCTGGGAAAGCCTGATGCGTTCCTCCCTCCAGGCAGAAGCGCACACAGCCATCTCAAAGGCTCTTTGTTGGGCTTGATTCATCACCGGCTCCTGTGCTGCTGGCTGGGTAGTGGTCCATGCACAAGTGTCTTCTCTTCAGGACACAGGACAAGCAACAACGCAAAGGACAAAGCCATGAAGAGAGAAAATAGGCCGCGTCCGGGAGAAATGGGAGAAATATGACGACCACATTCGGCTCCTTTACTATCCCTGTCTTGTGGCTTCTGTGTGTGCCTCATACAATCTCACACCCTCCCACCTCGCTGTCTCTCCACTCTCTATATTCCTCCTCCTCCTGGTGCCTTTATCACTTCCCTCCTTCCCTGCCTCCTCCCACTCCCTCATTGGGCTGTCTTTTGCAAAAGGCCAGAATTGATAGCAGCATGTAACTGTGCCTGAGTGCTAGCGTGTTTTTTGAAGCCGGTTTCCAGTGACTGTCTGTAAGAAGAGAAGATCTCCTTTTACACCCATCACCTGGGATACCTTTCATCAGCTTGCCTCTGCTGCTATGTCTTTCTCACTGTCTGCTTTGCATGTTGCAGCTGGCATGTGCTCATGATTAATGCTTGCACTGTTATAGCAGTCACTACCTTAAACTATGCATGACTGAAGGGATGATTGCAGATATCGTTTGTGTGAAAATATGCACTATGCATCTATTTCTGCAGAGGAAGTGCTACCTTTTTTCAGACAACCATGACCTATTTTTCTTTATTTCTACTTGTTTTAATAAATATTCAATTTTTAGCTCAGTCGATCACTGAATAATTGATATTACAGACACCATGCCGAAAAATACAAGGGTCAAATCAGGGTGATGTTGAATGTTGCAATATGTGAGCTCGCAAGACATTATATAATGTCTTTGTGATGACAGGAGGTGAAAACATTCAGAATATAAAGACTAAACAATTTGCATAACAATGGTGGTTTGCCTGTCCGGACCCCTCCTTCTCTCCGCTTCTCATTTGTCATTATCATTATTGTCATAGATATGTATTAGCTTCATTAAACTTTAAATCATAGAGCATGCCTTTCTTAGGATTAATTTATCTGAAAAAATACAGGCTAAAATGAGTATATTGTATGTGACGGTATAGTATATTACTTTACAGTCTATGGCCCTTGCATGCAAAGTGACAAATTCTGAATATTTGTTTGTTATAATGATGATTATGGCTTACAGCCCATTTTCCAAATATTCTAATTTTCTCAGATATTTTATTTGGGTTTTTTACAAGCTATGAATATGAGCAACATATCAACAAAAGGCTTGATATATTTCACTTTGCATGTACTGAGTCTATTTTTCTTATTAGTTTCGCATTGTTAGTTGAACTACGTTGAAGTGAATTGACTTTTGACAGAGTTATATAAGAAAATCATGTTTGTTCTAACCAGAGCACTTTTATACTAAGAGGATTTTACCTTCTCTCTGTGCTCAACCATGAAGGAGAGCTGCTTGGGGGGTCGTGAGGTCAGCTAATGATATCTCACTGGGAAGCACTTTTACAACACAGAAAAACATCCATTCGGCAACTCAGAAGACGGTCGAGAATTGGTTTGTAATTACAATGGGAGCCTTAAGCCATGTGTCATTGAAATGAGAGGCAACAGGGTGCATCGTTGACCCTCTTAAATGTTTGCATTACAAAAATCCTGGCTATGGATTTAGTAGGATTAGACAGCATGACTGAGCTTTTTTATCTATTAACATGTAACTGTTCTACGGAAACATGTATCAATATGAAAGCAACATTGTTCCCTCGTCAAAAATAGACCTGTTTTTAGATCCGTCCATGCAAATATCAGGAACTTCAGGGAAAAATAATAAGCTTCTGTCTAAGTCCTGTAATAAGTATGACGTCAATGTACGACTATGACATTACACTCAGAGCTGTTTTTGGTCTTTTAAAACAATAAATTCCCATAAATTTAGTATATTGTTAGTTATTATTATTATTAATATATTAGTAAATTAGTAGTATTTACAATCATGGCTGTGTTTGCAGATAATTCTCTCATTCCTCCCTCTGGTGGTAGCATAGGGAGTTACAGGGGCAAATTATTTTTTATACTTCATTTTAGTTTCACCATACATTTTTTACTTAAGATATCATTTCACATTCTAAAACATGCAATAAACTGAGTAAACAGTCTCATCATCAAAAGATAATACACAACACTTTTGCTTTAAAGTCGTGTTAGGTATTTTTGTCCATAGTTTGACAGATGTTATGTCAGTATGGTAGATACCTTGGTGGAGTTTCTGTTAACTGGTGCATGTAAACACAAATAGGTTTAAGAGCAGTCTGTAAAACACGGCCCATACAAATCCTGAGTCTGTCAAAGTAACAGTGCTGGACAAAAGCTCTTCTCTGAGGGCCTGTCTGAAGCGCATTAAAGAGAAAGGTAGCTCGCCGGCTGGTCATGCTGCAGTTAAAGCGGGCTATGGATTTTCTGTCTGAGCCACTATCTCTGGCTGCTTGCTTTCATGGAGGGAGCTTTTAATAAGACCCGCCAAACTGCATAACTGATACACTGTGATGTGGTTATGCTGTGTTATTATAATGGGAGTGCAACACATACTCTATCATTTATCACAGACATCCAGTGGTTCTCTGTGCTAAGCCAAAAGCTGAGTTGTTTGGGAACCCACCAGTTCTTGTAAGATCAGATATTGTCTCATCGGCAAGATTTTGTCCCTTTTTATTACTTTACTATCGGTCACTGGATGTAAATGGAGCAGATTTAGCTCACAACTGCATAAATGTTTCTCTTGCTAATGAGAGAACTCCACTTCATGTCATTCATCAAAGTCTGCCTGACAAACTGTTCCTGTGTGAATTAAATCCCGTAATCAGTGGTTTACTCCCACTGCTGCAATTTACTTTCATTTCATTCTGGCAGTTGATTAACACCACATTTCAAAACAAATATACGACAAGGAAATATCAGAATTAGGTTAGTATTTAATTCAAACCTTTCAGATATATAGTTCAATCTACTTAATTCAGAAAGCATCTCTCTGCCTTAACCTCAACTCCTGGAGTTGTTATCTGTGGTGGGCAGCTCAAGCAGGTGAAGGCTGTGTGTAACTCAGCAGTCTATTTGTGCTTGTTTCAAAGCAGTAAAATGACATAACTTCCAAAGGAAAACTACTTGCGTCAACAAAAGACTTAGATTAAGACATTTATTGAACATCACATGACAATATGACTAACAAGCAGCGTTCTACACCAATCTTAAGATTGGCCGTCTCATGTCTGAAATCTGTTTTCTGTGGTGAGACTAGACTAGTGTCTAATACAGAAACACTGAACACTTCAAGGGCAGCTGAACAAACCATTAGTCAATAAGAAGAATGCAGCAACTGATCTGGGAGGTTTCAAAGTCAATAGTGTAATTGTATTCCATCTCACAGTAGTAGAATATGGCGGCGTTTGGTTTTTTACACAAATAGAAAGCTGCCATTACTCTATAAATGAAGTGAATGAAGGACAGAATATATACAAAAAAACAATTATTTACATTTACATTACATGGCATGATTACTGAAACATCAGCCTAGTTAAAAATAAAAGCGTTTAAATGTCAACACAAACAAAGCTCAATAAAAACACCGATTAGTTTACACTTGTGGAAACAGCCTCATTCTTTTGACCTCTGACGTGACCTTGGGACATCTTCTGGCGGTATCGCTCTGCTCGCAGCTCCTCAAAGCAGAACTCTGTGGCTCCGCTGAGCAGCAGCTCTTTACAGTACATACTCATTTCCTGGACTTTCTCTGTCTCACTTTCTTTCTGCTGTTTGTCTTGTAGCCTCTTTAGGGGCGTTTCTTCTTTGCGAGGCTTTCGAGCCGATAGTACAGTGTTTACAGCTGGATTGATCTTACACGGGGTCCTGGTGGAATAGCGATAACAAAATTAATAAACTCATTTGTTCTACGTTCACATTAAAATCATACATACGAAAAAACACTGCTCACATTGTTGGTGGTTGATCGGACTCCTCTACAAACGGCTGGAATGTTGGTTTGGCAGGTGGGGGCGGTGCCATAACTGTATGCCCATATTTTGTTTTTTGACGCATCTAGTTGAAAAAAGAATATCTGATACGATCAAATCAGAAGAGTTAACATGATACAAATTTATGGGTGGGTTACCCTTACCTTGACGTCGCACCACTTTTGAGGTTTTTGTTCATTTTCTTTGGTCCTTGAAGAAGATGGTGGTGCTGCCCATGGCTCAAATGTTGGTTGTGATGGATCTTCATCAGTTTTATTTTCATCGAAGATTACAAATCGGCTATTGGTGGCATTTCCGAGAACGGGAGCACCTTGAAGTTGTAAACCCCCGGAGACACCTTTGAAAATGTATATAGAAATAAATCAATATCTTGTTTAAAATAACAAAAATAGGAATGCATAATAATATAATACGAATAATTACCTGCATTTGGTTTACTTTTGACAGCAGCTCCGGTTCGGTTAACTGGGACGATAGCTTTTTTCTTTCCTCGATGTTTGAGATCAGCCAAAGACATTCTCTCAATCTGTTTGGACTCATCGTCGCTGTCTTCCTCATTCACATTCATCAACACTTGTCGCGACACACGAGCCTGCAGAGCCCTTTTCAAGATCAGAGGACATCGTTACTTTCATTAAGGAAAAACATTCGATTGTATATTAAATGTACGTACTTATGATATTGTGTAAGCTTGTCCAGTGGCTCGGCAAACTTTTTGAGCCCCTCCTGGTAAACCATATCAGCTTTACGACTGTTGCCTTGATTCTCATATTCTTCCGACCAAGCAATATAAAAAGATGCTTGCAAATTTCCAATTCCCTGAGCTTGCATGTACCGAAAGATATCCAGGGGTTCAGAGCAGGTCTTTGCCTGAGTAAACACAGTCCAATATGAATAATGAAATGACAAAGAGAAACCCAAAATATAAATGTGACTTACAAATTTGATCCACAGGTCAATGTATCTGGGGTCATTGTGATACTTTTCCTCTTGTGTAAATCTGGTCACGGCTCTTTCTAACAGCGTGTTGAGGTTACTTTCTTTTCCTCCTTGGGGAAATGTTTGCTCTGTCCAATCAATATACCTGTCAATACGAACAGCAAATTAGTTAAAGTACAAAGATGTATAAACTCATCATTTAACTTAAGAGGATATGTTCTCACCTGTCCCACACATCCAGTGGGTCATCTCCATCATTCACTCTCAGTTCTGTTTCAAAAGACCTAGAATGATGTATATATGGTATATAATGTTAAGAACCAAAATTGCTACTACAATGTCCAACAATAATAGCAGTCCTTACTGTCTCTGAATGATGGCAGAGCTGAATCCATCCTGGTGCTGTGTAAGGGCTTCCTGCAATGCTGAAATATGTCTTCCACGCCTGAGAGGCTGAATGTTTTCTTTGCACAGCTCCCATTCAACATCTCCCCCTTCAGCCATTATCAAATATGTCAGTTGGTATCTGTAGAAGTAAAAAAAAACATTTATTGTGCAAGCTATTCCTGACCCACTTATTGTATGACAACTGTTGCTTCTGATCCTTATCAAGTACCACACTACTATAAACATAAAACAAACCAAAATAAATGTTATGCCATAAAACCATAGATCCATGCATAAAACGGGGTGCACCTTAAGAAAAAAGGTAAATAAGACTTGTCATCTGTCCCAACATAAAGAAGGCCGTTAAAAATATATGTCAGACCACATGTCACTGTCTTAACAGTAACAATCTTTTGCATACTGTGCATCAGTATTTGGGAGCCGAGCCATCTTTTTCACTTTGTGTCTGAAAAAGCTATTCTAAAAATACTGTTGCACGTATTTTTAGCTCATCGCTAGTTCCCACATGCAACAAATGATGCATAGACCAAACTATTGAGAGCGTGGAGCTTTATATAATTTCTTAATATATAGTTGCGTTTTTTTGTGGTTTGAAAGCTCGATATTGTAGTTTAAAGCGAACCACAAGTTTGATTTTGTTTCCTCACTTCTGCAAAGATCCCAAGAGCAAACCTTTCTATACCAAAGCCCCTAACTTTCACCAAATGTATTAGTTCTAACCCTAATCAGACGGTGAAATAATATATTGACAATAATGAACATTTGCTAGCATAGCCACCAATGCAAAGCAAGGTGGGCTTCGGGAAAGAACTCAGACAGCTAGCTCGCTCGTCACGTCAAAGCTAGCTCGATAACGCAAGTGTGTTCCTTTGTGTGGTTAGTTAAGAAAATACACGATCAAAATCAATCGTTGAAGTATATCCATTGGTCCCGTACCGATTTCCGTGTATTTTTGTGTCCTCTTTCCAAACATTCGGCAGTGCAGTCTGTGGAGGATCCGTTTGTCTGTGTTTTGAACGCAGCCGCTGAGGACGCTGATTGGATTCAAAACCGGAAACAGGAGAACTGCGTCACGGCACGTTTTCCGGTACACTTCCTGTTTTGAGTGCAGACGCTTTCTCACTGTTCTCCCCTGGATTTATGATAATATACTGCACAGGCGCCGATATTTATGCCGTATTCGAGTATACACACTTTACATATTGGCGTTTCTCATGTTGATGTATGAGTCGTGGGTTTGAAGGGTCTCCGGCATGGACAATCGTTGTTATTCTTGCACTTCGAAGTTCAGCCTCTTCAAAAAGGAGGTAGGTGCCCTCTGCACCAGATTTATTAATGGAGAGTCCTTTGGGAGATATCTAATAAAACACAACATGAAAAGTGCATTGAGGTTGTTCTTAAACGTGCTCCATCATTCCCCATTGGCATTTCACCCATGTCATAAGAATGATTCATAGGTAGATGGAAAATGTGCTTATATAACACAATTGACAACATTGTATTCCTTTTTGTTTTGTAACATATTTTTGTAAGTTTTGTAACATATTGATATGTGCACCCCAAATTACATAGCTTTTTGCAGATTGATAATTGATTAAACCATGATTGTCAATAGAAGATTGGATAGGAAACTGCATAAGAGCAGTTTTGGGTATTTAAGATAAGATAAGATAATATACCTTTATTCGTCTCGCAGTGGAGAAATCTCAGTGTCATCATTGCGCACGTTATAGCAGAGAAAGAAGGAAATAAGAGCACTCAGATTGCACACATCAAATTGAGCCCATTATTTAAGGTAATAGACAACATAATTGAATAAATAAACTCTTTTTAAGAAGGATTTCAATGATGAAGCACAACATGTCATAGATCTTGTGGATGTGGATAACTTATTCCATTCAGATGCAGCGTTTGTATCCTTTGTTGTTTGTTCTCAAACAAAAGGGAGACACTGAAGACACTACGTTGTCTTTAAAGATAAATGACATCCAGGGAAATACAGTTGAAACATCAAACTCTGTGGTTTTGGACACGAGTCAAACATAAAGCATTTTTTGATACCGACATAGACTAGAATGGTTAAAATTGAATATGATTATAAAAAATGATATTTAATGTGAATATTTTTCTGACCTATTGTGTAAAAATGACCAAGGGCTTGTAGTAACTCATGTGTTGTTTTTTTCAGCTCGCATGTAAAAACTGCGGCCGCTCCTTATGCTCCAGCTGCCTGACTCTAAGTGCTGTGGTGCCTCGCTGTGGCAACACTGTACAAAAAGTGTGCAAGCAGTGCCACACTTCTCTGACAGGGTAAACAAAGGATAGAACTACAGACCACACAGCAATAAAACAACAACAATCGACTACAAAATGCAAAATGCATTAGTTTTATATTTACTTCAGTACATTCTTCACTAAATTCACTCAAATAGATACATTTCCGCTTTTTCAAGCTATTTTAACATGTTTTTTTCAGTACACAAACTGTAACATTGAACATGTGTAAAGTAAATATAGATAAACAGACATTTCTGCCTCCTTTTCAGTGGTGGGAATGTTCCAAACCAAAGCAGCAACAAAAGATGGTCTCCTCCTGAAAATTATAAAAGGTATAAAGAAAATATGAATTGTCTTTTTAGACAATTAATTTCAGTTAATTTGTCACTTTGTTTTATTCTCAGGCGTGTCGCTGCATTAGAAACAAGACAACAGGGTCAGGCAGCACAGGCTCAAGGGGGCAGCATGAATCCCATTCTGACCCCACCCATCCCTAAAGGCCTCTCTAAAGAAGACCAGGAGATTGCTTTGAGGCTACAAAAATTAAAGCAGGATGCCCCCACACCAAGTATTTTTAGTTCATTTTTAAAGTATATGCTTTGTGATTGCATTATTTTATTGAAATACTACTAAATACTTGTCTTTTTCAGAATCTATTCCTTCTGACAAAGAGCTTGACGCTCGCCTTGCTGTGTTGAAAGCTCCAAGCAAACCAGTGCCTTCTGCCAAAGAGATGGAAGACCGCTTGGCAGCTCTACAGGGCTTGTCTCCCCCATCACAAGCTCCTCCACCTGTGAGCTAAATTGCAGCCAAATCAGTGATCTAATTGCTTTAATCTTTTCACTGTACATGAACGATTGTTGTTATTGATGGGCTCCTATATTTGCAGGTGCACAAGCCTCCAGACAACAGGACACAGACAGAACAAGTCAATAATCTGATTACTCAAATGACAGAGGAAGTTGCCATTGACAACACACAAACAGACCCTGAAAGCAGTAGGTTTTCGTTCCCCCTACTGGTATTTGTTCGAGTTATCAACAGTTTTCAACGTTATGTATGTTAAATGGAGTACATTTTTTGCAGGTGTAAATTTGGACTCTATGAATGATTTAAACAAAGTGGAAGCAGGAATGTTGGAGGATAATCTTGAAGAAAATAATGAGAATTCCAAGCAGTTAGAGGCAGAGAAGACCCGTGTACTGGAGGAGGCCATGCAGGAGCTGAAGAAAGAGAACCACACCCAGGATGAAATACTGCAGATGGCCAAAAGATTAGCACAGTTGAAAGGACAGGACCCAGACAAAGGTGATCAATACATACGGTCTAGTCCAAGAATGTGGTTTGCCATGATTTACATCTCCAGTTATTGTAGTTACCAGGGAGGACTTTCAGTGCCCAGACAGTGATGAGGAGACTGAAGAGGAAGCTGTACTAAGGGTTTTAAAGCAGGTTTGAATTTACCCCAAAATTTGAAATGTAATGTATATGTAATTATTGGACTTATAAATAATTTTAACTCATAGACTGTCATTGACGTATTTGTCTGAGACCCTCTATTTGACTGGGGATTACAGGACAATAAAAATAGCTAGAAAGAAAGAAGACTGGATTGTCTACTTTATCAGATGAAATAAATCTGATAAAAGTAGATAATCAGATAATCCAGGAAAATGTCTGGGTATATTTTTTATAAATGATCGATTTTGTTACTAAGAGCCATTTTTACAATTAATGTTTTAATTTAGATTTCAGAAGAAGCTGCATTAGATGAGGCGAGTGGCTACAATATACCCCCAGAAAAGAGTGGGCCGAGGAACACAGATGGGAAAGCTGCCCCTAAGGTACAAACTGATCATTTCATCTATGTATTATTATAATTTTCTTTTCAGTATAATATTTTGTATAACTTGTTTTACAGGCATCAGCTCATAAAAGTAAAAATAGAATGGCAGCAATTTCTTCTCCGCAATCAGACAGTGATGACGAAGAGCTCCCATGGTGCTGCATCTGTAACGAAGATGCGTCTGTTCGCTGTCATACTTGTGACGGAGACTTGTATTGTCACCTCTGCTTCAGGTATTGCAAGAGTCATACACTATCAGTGTTGGGCACGTTACTTTGAAAAAGTAATTAGTTATAGTTACTAGTTACTTCTCCCAAAAAGTAACTGAGTTACTAACAGAGTTACTCCACTATAAAAGTAACTAGTTACCAGTAAAAGTAACTATTGCGTTACTTTTTTGTTTTGTTCTGGAACATAATGTGCACTCGACGTGCGCATTTTTACCTTTAACCTCAGTGAGTCTGAAATAGTGCCAATATTTCCATCTAGAAAAGTCTGTTTTGCTGCTGAAATCCTGTTCACTCTTTATCTCTCTCTGTGCTGTAAGCACTAAACACCAACACCCGCCACTGTGAATGTGGAAACACCGGTGAAGCACTGACTTCAGCCCAATCAGATGAACATACAGTGCCTTGCGAAAGTATTCAACCTTTCAACATTTCGCCACATTTGAGGCTTCAAACATAAAGATATAAAATTGTATTTTTTTGTCATGAATCAACAACAAGTGGGACACAATCGTGAAGTGGAACGAAATTTATTGGATAATTTAAACTTTTTTAACAAATAAAAAACTGAAAAATGGGGCGTGCAATATTATACTTTCAGTGCAGCAAACTCACTCCAGAAGTTCAGTGAGGATCTTTGAATGATCCAATGTTGTCCTAAATGACTGATGATGATAAATAGAATGCACCTGTGTGTAATCAAGTCTCCGTATAAATGCACCTGCTCTTTGATAGTCTCAGGGTTCTGTTTAAAGCGCAGAGAGAACCATGAAGACAAAGGAACACACCAGGCAGGTCCGAGATACTGTTGTGGAGAAGTTTAAAGCCGGATTTGGATACAAAAAGATTTCCCAAGCTTTAAACATCTCAAGGAGCACTGTGCAAGCAATTATATTGAAATGGAAGGAGTATCAGACCACTGCAAATCTACCAAGACCCGGCCGTCCCTCCAAACTTTCATCTCAAACAAGGAGAAGACTGATCAGAGATGCAGCCAAGAGGCCCATGATCACTCTGGATGAACTGCAGATAACTACAGCTGAGGTGGGAGAGTCTGTCCATAGGACAACAATCAGCCGTGCACTGCGCAAATCTGGCCTTTATGGAAGAGTGACAAGAAGAAAGCCATTTCTCAAAGATATCCATAAAAAGTCTTGTTAAAAGTTTGCCACAAGCCACCTGGGAGACACACCAAACATGTGGAAGAAGGTGCTCTGGTCAGATGTAACCAAAATCGAACTTTTTGGCCACAATGCAAAACGATATGTTTGGCGTAAAAGCAACACAGCTCATCACCCTGAACACACCATCCCCACTGTCAAACATGGTGGTGGCAGCATCATGCTTTGGGCCTGCTTTTCTTCAGCAGGGACAGGGAAGATGGCTAAAATTGATGGGAAGATGGATGGAGCCAAATACAGGACCATTCTGGAAGAAAACCTGTTGGAGTCTGCAAAAGACCTGAGACTGGGACGGAGATTTATCTTCCAACAGGACAATGATCCAAAACATAAAGCCAAATCTACAATGGAATGGTTCACAAATAGACGTATCCAGGTGTTAGAATGGCCAAGTCAAAGTCCAGACCTGAATCCAATCGAGAATCTGTGGAAAGAGCTGAAGACTGCTGTTCACAAACGCTTTCCATCCAACCTCACTGAGCTCGAGCTGTTTTGCAAGGAAGAATTGGCAAGAATTCCAGCCTCTCGATGTAAAAAACTGATAGAGACATACCCCAAGCGACTTGCAGCTGTAATTGCAGCAAAAGGTGGCGCTACAAAGTATTAGCGCAAGGGGGCCAAATAATATTGCACGCCCCACTTTTCAGTTTTTTATTTGTTAAAAAAGTTTAAATTATCCAATACATTTTGTTCCACTTCACGATTGTGACCCACTTGTTGTTGATTCGTGACAAAAAAATTTTTTTTTATATCTTTATGTTTGAAGCCTGAAATGTGGCGAAATGTTGAAAGGTTCAAGGGGGCCAAATACTTTCGCAAGGCACTGTATATATCATTTAAATCAAGTGGACAATTTATTTGGCTACAGCAAAATATGTTTCATGCCCGTATTGTTAGTTCATACAAAACGCAAAACTATGAGTTATGGGTCTTACCTTATAAATGACCTGCACAAGCCACTTCCGTTCAGACATACATATAACCTGTTCCGTGTTATATGTATGTTAGCCAAACCTGTTGCTGTCCTTAGCAGATGAACCAGGAAGAGAAAGGAGCTTATCGATGGAATTGTATGCAGCCGACTTCTGCGCTCACATGCGCTCCTCTGAGGCTGGCCTCTCAACTGTAGACATGTAGATTGTAAAGGAAATATGTTTTACATCAGCCAATAATTGCTGAGAGGTTTTCTCATCCTCCCTTCTCTCATGACAACACGCGCACGAGTCCTATCACAAAGTAAAAAGAGAAGTTAATTGTGCGTCTTGAGTAACGCGCAGTAACGGGATGTCGGAAATGATAACGCCATTATAGTTACAGTCAAAGTATTTAGTTAGATTACTCGTTACTGAAAAAAGTAACGCCATTATTCCCATCACTGCTAACTATTTGTATTTGTAGCAGTTCAAGAGTGTTCTTCACTTTCTCATGCATATTCCTTATCTAACTAAAACTGCTTTTACTACATATCTGGCTTGGGGATTTTTTAAAATCTTAATTACATGGAAAAAGCAGCTACAGTCGCTTTGGGCAAGATGCCTTTGATTTGAAATGCGACCTAGATAACTGTATGCAGGCTGCTTCTATACTGCTAAGTAGCACAAATATAAAGTATTTATTGTGATGAATTATCAATCCCCTCTCCATTATCTCTCTAGGGAAGGCCATGATAAATATGACAGGATGGAGCACCGCACTTCCAACTACACTGCACCAAAGAAGAAGAGGAAGACGTGATCCAGGGGTTTTCCGTCTGGTTAGTCATTGTTAGACTTAAGTGCCCTAATTCTTGTTTCTGGAGTCACTTCCAAAGCTGCTGCGCTCTTAACTTTATTTTGAGAAACTGAATATTTAATCTCACAGAAAATCCAAGTATCTTGCGTGCGTGTCCTGTATTTAAAAGGCAACAAAGGCTTATCAAAATATGCGCTTGCCATAAATAGATGTAGGATCTCAAAATAGTCAAACAAGTCATAAACACGTCCTACTATCACAACTGACAAAACGATTATTAATATCTATGTTTTCTCCAGAGACATGGTTTCTTCTTTTCTTCCTTTTGTTATTGTACAGCTAAATTTAGAGTAGTTTGAAGTTTTAATGTATAAATAGCTCATGTGCTGTTGCAATAGTGTCCACAAATTACAGTAACGATGACTGAGGCGAAGACTGTTTGTGTGAGATAGTGAAGGCCAGAGTGTGGTTTGATCCCAGCATTACTGTCCAGCTAACAGAGGAGGAAACCGTAATTACCGGCCTCTCCAGGGGGGCCTGCTCCATTACGGCATGTACAGAGGCTGTTACTGCGCGTTTTGGTCGTGTCATACACAATCACGGACAGGAAATGGAGGATAATGGATGCATACTTAATGGACTTTGCTGCTGTAGATTTCCGTGGGTATTCCTGGTCATCATGACATGCTGCTTGCATTTGTATTTCCATCATAACTGTCTAATGTCTGAGATTTAGTTTTTAGCTAAAACTGCTAGCATTTGTGTAGCAGTATAATTTTTATAGTTAAATGTCAGATGCCCAATATTTATTTTTTTCTTTCATCAATAAATCAGTTGGTACTATGATGCTGATATCTGAATGATGTTTCCAATTGTTTATAAATAAATATTACGGATTATTTTTGGCCATTAAAAATATAATGTGACTATCTACTTGTCATTTCATGCTTTAAAATGTGAAATAATATCTTGTGGTATCTATATGGTGAAACATGTATCAGGAGTAAGTAACGCAATCTACCTGCCCTATCCCTTTGCTACCACCAGAGAGAGGTGTAGATAAAAAACACCTCTGTTTTTTTCAAAAAAAATTGAAAATTACCAGCTACAAACACAGCCTTGTGATTGTAAAGAACATAATTTCTATTGCAAAAAACGAATTAATTGGCAATATTTTACTTTTAAAGACAGTACATTTCTCTGTGTGATGTTTGTGCCAGAAGTGTCGATGTTATCATGGATGGATCTAAAAACAGCTCCAGACCTGTTCTTGATGAGGGAACAAGTCTTCCCTCAGGCCAAATTAACCTGCCACAGTGATTTTTACCCTAAATAAAAAAATGTTTGACTTCCTAACTTGACAAGCCCTGGATCATTTAGGTCTACATTTGAAAGCTAAAACTTTTTTTAAATTGATACCACAGTCTGAGAACATAATATTTATTTACATAAATAAACAACTGAAAGTGTACACAAAACAGTCAAACAAGGTACGGTTGTTTCATCTTTTCATGTGTGCAATATTGTTATAAATGCAAAATGTAGCAGTCTTTAAACATAAGTACAAAAAAGAAAAAAAAGGACTTTCAGTCGTCCTCTTGGTATTCGAATTTTTCTTTTTGGGTCTCCAGCTCGACGAGGGATATGGGGAAGATCAAAAGCGCCTCATTTTGTTCTAAAGTTATTTCTTCAACGGCCCAGACATTTTGCGTAGACCTTTTATTCTGTAGAGCAACTCGCCGATAAAATCCTGTACAGCAGAAACAAAACACTGTTATTCATTCTAAGACAATGATCATAAATAATTTGTGTGATTGTCCTCAAAGCTCACCTCTTTTGGCTTCCCGCATTCTTGCAACAACTCCTAACCAAGAAAACAAACACGGATCTCAATACGCATCACTGGTTTCCACTTAGGGTCAGATGTTAAAGCTATAAGCCCCCACAGAGCAAACACTCAGGTGGAGGTCAAGTATTACATTCTTTCAGTACTATTGGATTCAGACTTTATGGATGAATAACAGCGAGATGGTGCAAGAGACTGAATGGGTTAAAATGTATTAAGAGAGACAATATTTAACTCACCTCCAGCCTACTCCTCTGCCCCTCGTCTGAAAGCTCCAGTAGTTCATCTATGTCAATCTCCAACTCTGGAATTTCCTCCTCCTGTGAATAAGAAAGAAGAATTGTTGTAAAGGATATAATTAGTTAAAGCTGTCTAGTTTAACATTAAAAATGTTTGTAATTCAAGTTTCTGTTCAAGTTTTGGTCTTGGGACAATACAAAATCACAGTTGACCCTCATTTTGGTTATAAGCCATACATATGCATACATACACACATGGCTCAGGGCCATTGATCAAGGCAGCAACAATAACAACAAAATAAACAATCACTATAATAATGGTTAAAATGAGACAAAGCAATGTTGGAATCAAACTAGCATCTTTTGATATAAGGCCATACTTGTAATTGTATTTTTCAATTCCTTAATTTGTCCAATGTTTGAGAATACCCTGGCTACCAATGATATCACAACCATGGTAGTAAAATCAATGTCAATGTTTCCCTTTGATAACATTTTCGAGCAGTGACGTGATTGATGAGCCCTGAGCCATGAACAGTGAAGACCCTCGGGGGCTGTTCTTACTGCATGCCACTATTTGATTTCATGCATGGTTTGCTCAGTTGGCATTCAGCTCAAGTGTAGAGCAGGGAATGTGCTCATGCTAAATGTTTTCCTGACAATATATCACATGTTTCTAAACCTTGAACTGGGTGAATTTCTTATGTTGTCATCTAGAATGATGATTATTCATCAAGTATACGAGCATGTATGTAAGTATGCATAGAATGAGTGTGTGTTAGTTTTTATGGCCACTCCTTTCTGCCCCCCTGAAAGAGGAGTGTGGACATGGCCTGAGCACAGCCATATCTGGCGTCAGCAGGTGTACTCATATTTGACAAGTGGGACTACTTTTTAAAGGGGGATATTTTCCGGTTGGGGAGTTTTCATGGCTGATGTGGATGAGGAGTTTTCTGGACCAGGAGAGAGCTAATCAATGTGGAAATGCTGAGTGGCAGAATGGATGGGCCCACCTTCAGCTCTGTCCCCAGTGCCCGCTCTAATTGATACATGCTGCCAGTTTGGACGTGTGTGATTCTGCTGATGTCTGCAGCAGCCATGTACTGTGCACCTAAAACACAATGCTTTATGGTCTGGAATGCCTGGTTCTTGTGTAGCGTGCATTTTACCAATCCTGGTGCATTCACCTTGTTTTAATTCACATGGTTTAATGTGTTCTTTAACCAGTAAAACTGTATGTCAATATATCCTTATAACAAGACCACTGTAGAGTTCCTACCAAAAATAGTTTTCATGTTGTGCAGTACAGGCATTTTGAGGCTCAGTAGTATTAAGGTGTTGTAAAAAGGTATTCTCATTAGTAAACATTGGCTTGGGTTTTGCTCCCGGCAATTCTTTTACCGTTTTATCAATACTTGATCTCCTGGTTTTAAAATGCAACCCTATATTGACTGTGGCCCAGGGGAAGGTTACAGAGACTGTATCTTGTGTGTTTTAATATTGATAGAATATTGGCAGACATCACTTGAGTTTAAAGTTCACCGTGATGACCCATGTTGCCTTAACATTTAACCTTCTCTAGCAAATCCAATTACAATAGTTTATTCAAATTTTAAACAATTTACTTTTGCTGTGGCCACTTCACATCATTGGATTCTGCTGTTTGTGGTTGCAAACCATAGAGAAGCATCGTTTTATGAAAATGTTGCACTCCTTAAAGTTCTTTTTAATCTTTAAAGATACATTGCACTTTCCTGATTGATCCGGTCCGCACCTACAGTATGTATTATTTCAATATTACACTAAGCCTCTCAGATTTCTTTCTTGTGTTAGCTAAGGGACTTAGCTAAGGGTCCAAACTGGAAGTGTTGATAGTATTCTCACTTCTCAAAGAACCTTTATTGCAAAAGGTGTGAAGTTTGTAAAGGCAGTGGGTGCTCCTGGCCGAGGCTGCACTTGTATGAATTAGAGATGCAGCTAAATAATTCAGAGTGTGACACAGGGGACTGATGGTAAATGCTTCCACGCGGAAGACTCTGAGAACCAACAAAGTAACCTTCCCCTGAGCCTCTGTAAAATGCATAATACTGGCCACGGAGAAGGAAGAGGTAATTCCACACAAATTACTCAAGAAATAGCTGTTTCAATAATAACACAGAAAGTATACAAGCCTATATTTGACTTTTAAACCAGAATAAACCACTAGAATAGAATATATAGAACATTGAAAAGTTGTATCAAGAGTAGATTGACTATCCTAATTACAATAGTTGAATGGCAACAGTATGTTGTGTATTTTGATCAAATTTCTATACATACATATGTTTACTTTCTAGAGGCGTTCACAGAAATGGACTTCTCCATCAGAAGTTCACATTTGAGATGGCCACAGTTTGTTTGTGTGTTTGGCACAAATAGGAGGAGGCCCTGTCACCTGATCTGGGACCAGTGGATGCCCTGACTGAGACATGCTGCTTCATGTGGGTGAGCAGACATCTGTTGCTATGGTTTCCCTTTACAGAATGCCACGGGAATCAATATGGAGCCTCTGACATAATTGAATTGTATCCCATATACCGTGCAGGAATGAGGAGAGATAAATGGTGAGTTTTAAGTGATATGGAGCCCTAATGTCCCATATAAAGTATATTAAATGTAGCTGTGTTTGTAATAGGGCCATTACTGCACATTACTTTCATAATATGGTCTTCACAAAGAGCTTTTAGTGTTTGTAAAGAATCAACTTTATTATGTAATGCTGCTGCAGCCCCTCATTTGTCCAGGACCACATTGTTTTATAGTGTATTTCTTATTTGCACACACAAATTAGGCCCAAGCCTAATTTCCCAAGCGGCATTATAATAGTGGACATAAAAGTTGAATCATCCTCTCTATAAAAGTTGTACTATATCCTGTAGCTTTTATTGCTTTGTTTTGTGCATTTTACTCATTAATTTGGTTAATTGCGCACAATTATAGTTCACTCAATCTGAAGTTTGTGTGTGTACATATTTTGCAGCAAATAATAAATATGTCAATACAGCACAGAATAACAGAATAAATAAAGAGAGCACTGCAGTTTTGTTGTCGGCCCAGTGTCACATGGGGGAGTCGGTGCCAAACTGGGCGAGCCTCCCACATACTCGTCCTCCAGACAGCAGTAATGTGTTTATCCCACTCATGTACGATGGATAGTTTACCTCAAGCCCAGTGGCCCTGACTCAGATCCTCCATGCTTTTCACCAGCTTAGAGATCTAAAGATGAAGTTAGAAGCGTGTGCCTTACCTCACAATCAAACAGCAAGTGTAGCTGGTCATCAATCCACTCTTCGATGTCCAGTCTTCTCTGGAGGTCCTTGCGGTTGTATTTCACTGTCAGTTTTCCCAGTTTGCGATGTGCTGGTTCTTCTGTTTTGTCTGCTGTCTGAAACATCACTCGGCACTGGGCACTCGGTTCTGAAGCCATGGTTCTGACTTCCACGGCCGGCTGTCACTGTGCTGCATACATACACGTTGTCAATGCCGCTCCTGCATAGACGTTCCTGGTACAGAGCTCTTCGTCTTCTCAACAATATAGCCTGGTGCTTTTCCGCCTGTCCTCTCTCTCTGTCTCACTCTCATTGCCTCCTCCTCTTGTAACACCCACTACTGCACTATCAGGACCGTGGTAATGAGATCTCCTGTGTGTTGGTGCATGTTTGCTTTTTGCTCTCTTCCTCTTCGTTACAGCAGGTGTGGCACCACAGGTCAATTGTATCTATAAAAATGAGAAAAGGGTAAAAGTGCAACTGCAGCAATAAGCATACATTGTAACAACTTTGTATTGCCAATGACATTATTTAAGCCTTTCTGACAACTATCTGAACACTAGTCAATTATTCATAGTGTAAGATCAGAGACATTGTAAATATAAGAGCTAAACATGTCACATCTACAATTACTAAGGAAAAAGGACTAGTACCTACAGTATCTACTAGTAGTACTCAAGGAATCAGCCATGGAAAAGACATCCTTTATAAATTATATTATCAAGTGTACGGTTAATAAGCCATGAACAATTTGGCATGCTCGGTTACACATAAATAATGGATGGATAACAGATCCCCATTTAGAAATCAGATGTCAAATAAAAGTCACAGCAGTTAGAGAAGAAAACTCAACATTCATAGCGTGTGTGTTTCTTAAGCCTACGCACAATACCAGGTGTTCACCGTATGTGTCCACAGATCACTTGCCACTATGAATACCAACTTGATCTCTCCCTCTCTCTCATTCTTTTAGGCAAGTCAGCTAAAGAGCATGTTCGACTCCTTATGCACCGTATGTTACAAACTCTGAATTATTGAGTGTCCCAGGGCAGCTCACCTTTCATTTCAAACACATTCATTCATCATTGTGTGAGGTTGAAATATAAACAGCAGTGGACTCCTTGTGGACCGCTTGTGTCATAACCACCACAGCTCAGGCTGATTACTCATTACAAGTGGGAGTGGTCATACTACTCTGTAAGCAGATAAGGAAAGCCCTGACATTATAAAAGACACAAAAATCACAATATGATCTAAAAATAACCCCAACTCATGGTAATCAAGCAGTTTTTGATTAGTCAATAAAAATGTGTGTAAACTCCTTAGATCCATGGTAAAATCCTGTAAAGATGCAGATGTTTTGCTCAGTGGCTGCATCCAAAGTAAGCAAGAATATCTCCTTCATTCTCTCTAGTTTTCCTTATGCTGCTCCAGGTTTTCTAAAGTGCAATATAAATACATTTTAAGTCAAAGATATATTTATTCAGATGCAAGGAGTGACTATTAATTTGTGAAAAGTACTTTATCAATGTGCTTTTGAATACAGTAGTAAGTAATAAAACAAGCATGTGAATAAAAGCTATGTGAATGTATATGTAAAAGCCTGTGTGTTTCTACATTGGACATTTTTATTATGTTTTTTTGTGTGTGTCATCAGTAACGCTAGATTGGAGGGGAAATAAACGTTCAAATGTAATTACTTTGTTTTGAGTATCATTATTAATTAATGCAAACATAATAATAATACAAACAAAACAGGTGCCTTGGAAATACAAAGCAAGTTCAACATGTAATATGCTATTAAGACAAACAGGGGCATAGATTTGGAAATTTAGATATTCTTGTTTTTTAAAGCGTCATTGAGCGTCCAAAAAAGCGCTGTGGAAGTTTAATGTATTATTATTATTATTATTATCATCATTATTATATTTGCTGTTGTCTGTAGATGTAAAGGGCATTTATCGATAAATGGAAAGTCTAATTCTTATGAGATAAAGTGAAGTATAAAATTCCTCATTCAACCAATGAATGTAGTTAGCAATAAATTTAGGATTACTAACACCAAAGTAAACTACTATAAAGAGAAACATCAAAAGATTTGCTTATTTGAATGTCCGCAGTGTTTAGTAGCGATATAGCGCCCTCATCTGGGCATTGACTGCAACTTCAAATAAGGGATGCACATGTACAACCCTAGACTGTATATATTAAAGTAAAACCATAGACTGTTTGTACAACCCATATCACCCGTAATTCAGAAATTGTAATTGATTTTCTCAATTACATTCCAATAGACAATTGGGAGGTCCAATAGTCTTGATGATCCACCCGGAAGTAGAAAATCCTCTTATATAAAGAGTTGTGCTATAATTAATCTTCACTTACCTTGTCAATCAATCAATCAATCAATCTTATGCACCGTATGTTACAAACTCTGAATTATTGAGTGTCCCAGGGCAGCTCACCTTTCATTTCAAACACTTTCACTCATCTCAACATCAACAGCTTGTGTGAGGTTGAAATATAAACAGCAGAGGACCCCTTGTGGACTGCTTGTGTCATAGCCACCACAGCTCAGGCTGATTACTCAGAGCACCTTCCCTACACAAGCCAACACAAAGGCATAGACGTCGGAACTAGGGGTGCGGGGGGTGCGGCCGCACCCCCTCCGCGTGTGCCGGGAGCGAGAAGTTATCACTATCCTGCGTTCCTTGCAGCCCAAAACCCGCTCCATGCTGTCGGAGGTGCTTATGAAGCTCTGTCTGGCTAATATCTGTCGCAGCCTCTGAGCGCTCTTTCTCAGCCTTGCGCAGATTAAAGACCTGGCTACACCAGTGACGTGCGGTGGGGGATCAATCATTTGTTCATATGATTATACATCATATAAACCAACAGGACCTACAGGAACAGGAGCGGCTTATACACAATTTGTTTGGCTACAGCAGAATATGATTTAATGTCTGCATAGTTTTCTCATACAAAACGCAAACGTTTGTAAAAAGTACAAAGTGTGTTATGGGCCTTATACCTTAGGTGTTAATGAACAGCACAGACCACTTCAGTTAGGACCAGTTTCATGTTTAAGTCCAGATAATAGTTTGAGCACAGACATGTAATCCTCCATTTGGAAATAAGTTCAATGAGTTTTAAAAAGTAAAAAAAAACGGGTGTCTCCTCCGTAAACTGCGAGTTTTGCTGCAGCCGACTCCCGGGTAAATCCAATTTCTAAATTCAACCTTACCCTTCACCTCTTTTTCTTATGATTCATATCATCATTGGAAGCAAAACATTACTCTAAGTGCATTTTAAATTATCTTAAAATGTATTATAGGTATGTTAGCCAAACCTGTAGCTGCCCTTAGCAGAAGAAGAACAAGAAAGGAGCTTTCTGATGGAATTGGATGCAGCCAAAGTTTGGGCTCACAAGCGCCCCCTTGAGGCTTTCCTCACTTACAAGCTGTGGTTGAGCGCGATTAAGACCCATATTTGCTTCAAAAACACAATTTATGAGCCATCCTCTTAAATGTAAACATGTTGATTGTAAATTAAATATTTTTGAACTTTTTAAACTGTGATAAACAGAGAAAACAGTTTGATAGCACCTCACAGGACTCTCCCTGTGAGCTGTTGCTTTTTACGTCTCCCAAGAGAGGCTTGCCTCACAGCGCCGCTCTGTCAAATCTGCGATTTCAAGGTATAAATAAATTAAATAAGGCACAGCACAAATCACTTGATAAAGTGACCAAACATTATTGATCCATTATATTACTTTTCTTTCTATGATCTTAGGTGAGGGCCTTACCTGCCTCATCTGACCGCACGTCACTGGGCTACACAACACAATGAAGCCACCGGAGAGACTGACGCATGAATGCGTATTGAAAAAAAAAAAGTTCAGTTTGATAAGTGACTTGCTTGATATATATTGTTTATTTTTTTTAACAATTAAGATGGTATGTTATTATCCAGTGTAATCCAAGTATGAGTCTCTCCCTCGACTCTCCCAACAAAAACCCGCCCCCCCTCTCAGAAAATAGTTCCGACGTCCATGCACAAAGGGCTTCACATTTCACATGACACAAGGCACAAATCATCACATAAAAAAATCCCCATCAAAAACATAAAAATCACACATCAATCAAAGTACTAAAAAAAAATCAGCACAGCACATAACAAATAGAGATAAAATTCTTCAGTTGTATGCACAGGCAAACAAAACAGTCTTTAACCTGGATTTGAACAATGTCAGAGGAGACGCCTCTCTCACATTTTCAGGAAGTTCCAGATCTAGCTGCATACATCTGAAACGCTGATATGTCCCCACTGTAGGACCGAAAAAAGATAGCACAATCCGTGCAGATCAAGCTCAACTAGACTTCTACAGAATCAGCCACAGATCAGCCTTCTTCAGAATCAGCCTCTCTCGTTATAATAACACACCCACGCCCCCCCTCCCCGTCTGCCCGGGGTGAAGGGAGTGGCATGCGCGCGGAGGAATTTCACTTCCTGTTTCCCAGGTGAGTCACGCAGCGCAGGTCGTTGTGCGTCTGAAACTTTCGACACAACCCGCTGGAGTATCGACTGCCCACTGGAAAATCACATTCGTCTGGAAGAAGACCGTTTTGATCGAGATTTTTTGGAGGAGATTTATTAAGAGAGAGATTTATCATGCGTCCTGTCTTGAGGCGCCTGGGACTGTGTTGTTCGCTTCTTGTGTTGATATTCGACCTCAGTGCTGCCCAGGCCACGGGGGGAGAATGCTTAGCCCGATTTAAGAAAGGACAGGATGATTTTGTCCTGGATGCTGACGAATCTGTGAAAGATGGGGCTACTTTTCTCTCCTCGCCACCGCTCACAAATTACAAGGACTGCGTTGTTGCCTGCTGCAAAGAACCGATGTGCAATGTGGCCTTCATGGATAGCAGAGGAGGCGAGGAGGGCCTGATCAAATCCTGCTTCCTCTTCGACTGTTTGTATAAAAAGAAATATGTGTGTCGCTTTGTCAAGAAGAAGGGATTCATCAACTACATTCTGGACTCTATGTATGAGAGTCATCTTCAAAGAGTGCTTCCTCAAGGTAAGCAAAGTCCAGCCCAGTCATTCGAAAGTATTGAAGGAATCTCACGCAGATAAACAAGAGATTCCCTAAAAACTGACAACTTTCTGATTTGTTTTCATGCATTAAATGGGACACTCATGGCACAAACTGCTTTCATAACTTTATCTCTGATGGATGATGACAAATGACATATTAAGTAATCAAAGTATTTGCATATATGATCTGCATGGCCATGTACAGACCTATTGTGAAATTGTGGTTTTCAGTTCAGCTCGATTGCACACATTCCATGGGCTCTGCGTTTTTTACCCTGTCTTTGTTGACAGTTGATGAGCTATAACTCCCAAACTTCTGGAAATATCTTTATTTAACGTGTATTTCCTTTATTTCCTCTTATTTACAGTCAAATTAAAACATTCTGGGAAGTTTGAAGACCAGTTTGAACTATAAATAATAGTTTTTATATGGATTCTGCCTGGGATTTTATTCTTTATTACAGATCCTTAAAGCATCGTTTTCAGTTAAATCTGTCTCATCTGTGGAACCAAACTGTTCATTCTATCAGCAATTGAACCCAGACATGTTTACTAAAGACTGGATCTTTCACTGCGCAGAGGTTGTTCCCACTTACAATTAGAGTGAATGAATAATCTGAGGCCAAAAGCTCAAGAGCCTCAGCTTTTACTGATTCGTTCAGGCATTTTAGAGAAACAGGCCAAGGGGTATAATGGGTAGTTAATCCCTTTGAGGAGGCTAAACATTGTATTCCATCAAAGTGTTTCTAATATGCCGTCTCTTCTGTACATTTCCTGTTACATCAAGGTTTTTTCCCCGCAGATAATTCTGACTTTCCACCAAAAGCCAATGGTGGCTTGGATCTAGTTGTTCAACCCCAGGACAGTGTGACACTGAATGGCCTTGAGAGCAAAGATGATGTGGAGATTGTCAAGTATGAGTGGTCTCTTCTGACTTCGTACCCTTATGCGATTATAGAGGTGTGGTGAACTACACATTGCATGGTTTGCCTTCTGTTGTAACACGAGTATTATCTCTGAAACATGTACCTTCTTTTTAATCATAGGAAACAAACTTTGAGGATCAGATCATTGTGTCAAACCTGACTTCTGGAGTCTACAAGTTCCAGCTGACCGTTACAGATAGCGTTGGACAGGCAGACTCCACTCAAGTCACAGTGCTGGTGTTATCTCCAGAACAATCTGAACGTAAGTTTTTTTAACATTTCCCCAGAATTGTAAGTGCATACAGAAGAAAGTCACAACAATGATCACGCATTCACCGGTTAAAAGAACCGCAACAGTCTCACAGAATAAAATAGGTTGTCGTTTCTGTATGCGCTTCATTTCCTGCACGTGAGCCATCTTAGTTGTTCTCATACTTGTTGAAACATGTCTGTTCAAGTTTTTCGTTTTAAGTGAATAAGGAAATGCATGATAGAGATAAACCACATGTGATGGCGTGATTTATATATGCACTTTCGGATTCAGAAAGTGGCTTATCGTGTTTAGTTTGCACGGCTTTCAAAACTTCTTATATTTAAGCAAGTCACAGATTTCTGCCTAAAGCAGAAGTCAGAACTACTATCCAAGGGTTTTACTGCCTGCCTGACATCCCACTCTCTCCACCCCCACCTCATGTAAACCTGTCATTCTGGTTTCAGCTTGGGTTACACAAACACCAAAGCACTCATCGGCATTGACTATAAGCAATCAAAAGTCAAGTTTGATTCTTTATTATATTACTCATTCACATTACAAGCACTGCCTTTGTTTACAAACTCCTGACCTTATATTCAATGTTACTTGGTCTGGTTAAACATTGTTTTCCCCTCCTTGAATGGCAGTATGAATGAGCCTGTATCTTCAACAGAACTATATTGTGTATATAGGATCACAAAACTGTTCTTTTGTGGTTGTGGCTTGTAATTTCATTTCTCTGACGCAGAAGTTGTGTCTGTCATCAACCGCATGGACACAATCAGCACTTCTCATGTTAAACAACATGATCTTTGTTCAGTGCCCATTTCGGTTGTGTGTCTGATCATCATCTATGACAGATTACTTAGGGGTTAGTAGAGTCTTCAACAGGTGTTGAAATGGAGAAACAGTCGATGTTCAGTTGTTATAGTTGTGGTGTAGACAGGAAGATGCATGAGTATTAGTTTAGGCTGACTGTCCACAATTGTATGATACATAATAGATAATATTATAATAATAATCTCAAGACTCTGAAAATGTAGATTATTGTTCAAAAGTCAATTTAATTCTGTAATGTTATTACAATGGAGTTGAAGAGATTTTTTATTCATCCCACAGTGGGAAAATGTCAGTGTTGCAACACACGTTACAAAACAATAGGAATGAGGAGCACACAACACAAGTGAATATTAAGTATAGCGCCACCCCATACCTTATACAATAAATTTAAATGTGAAACTAGTGGCTGATCTATCTCACTTTGTTCGTATTGAGTCATTTTGTTTGTTAAACTGAATTTATTAGAATATTTTGAAACTGGATTATGTAACCCAGAATCACATGTGATGGCAAACAAAGGCTTGGCATATTTCACTTTGCATGTAATGAATCTGAATCAAATACAGTACAGACCAAAAGTTCACACCCAGGCTGTGTAAGGGCTATTTGACCAATAAGGAGAGTGGTGGGTGCCTGAACCCAATCCAGAAGGTTTTGGGGTGAGCTGGACCAGAGAGTGAAGGCGAAAGGGCCAACAAGTGCTAAGCATCTCTGGGAACTCTTTCAAGACTTTTGGAAGACCATTTCAGGTCACTACCTCTTAAAGCTCATCAAGAGAATGCCAAGAGTGTGCGAAGCAGTAATCAGAGCAAAAGGTGCTACTTTGAAGAACCTAGAATATAAGACATATTTTCAGTTGTTTCATACTTTTTTTGTTTTTTTTAGTACGTACATAATTCTACATGAGTTAATTCATAGTTTTGATACCTTCAGTGTGAATCTACAATTTTCATCATAATCATTAAAATAAACTCTTTGAATGAGAAGGTGTGTCCAAACTTTTGGTCTGTACTGTATTTGTTTCACATTTTAAGTAGATTTATAGAAATAAATGGTCCTCTGAAATAGGGATGCACCGATCCGATACTGGTATCGATATCGGCGCCGATACCAGAAAAAATACTGGATCGGGTATCTGCGTAGAGAGAGGCGCCGTGCTGCCGATCCATTTTATTTTTTTAATTTTTTATATTATATATATTTTTAATACATACCAGGTACCGCACAATGTCTTAAAATACATTGTGCATAATGTACATATACGTATAAAATGAATTAATTAAAAGTAATTTATCAGATCTCACGTACACGTCACTTCCTCGTGGCGCTCTACAACAACAACAACACAGCATGGAGCGCAGGAAAGAATCAGCGTTGTTCACGCGGCGGTAAACTAGCGAAATACAACACGACTAAGCACCACGAGAAACAGCATGGGGAGTTTTTGCATTGAAAGGAGATTACGTGAAAACAACGAGACACAGATGACACTGACGCAGCGTCACAAAAAGCTTTTCAGCAACAACCCGAAAGTGCTCATCAGTTTGGGCTCGCAGCCCCATAGACCATTTGGAACCCAGGTACATGCCGTCGCCAAATACATATCTGAAATCCAGTTAAAGCTACGGTACTATTATTTATTTACATTTTCATGCAGCATGTTTTGTTTGTGTTTTTTTATTCAAACACAGTTAATATAAGTACATTTATATTCAATAAATGTATAAGGTATAATACAGTGTTGGAATGTTTAATGTGAACATTGAGCAGCTCTTTATAGTTGCATTATTGCACATTTATGTTGAATCCATTTTTATCTGGAAAGTTTAGCGCTTTAGTTCATCCACTGCTTTTGCAGTTACTTGAACAAAGAGTTCAATTATTAAATACATTTTAGCACGATCATTTCCGGTATCGGTCAATATCGGTATCGGCAGATACCCATAGTATCGGTATCGGTAGTAAAAAAGCTGGATCGGTGCATCTCTACTCTGAACGGTAATCTAATTTTTCAACTTACACTTGTAAACTAAAAGGGTTGTTTTAAGTTGTAGCCATAAATGATAAGGACAGGTCTGACCAACAGTAAAAATCTACATGGTTCAACTGTTTTTGTCTCTCTAGACCACTGTATGGCCCCGAAGAAAGTTGGGCCTTGCCGTGGAGCGTTTCCTCGCTGGCACTACAATGCTGCTTCAGAAAAGTGTGAGCAGTTCACCTTTGGAGGCTGCAGAGAGAATCGTAACAACTATGTGAACAAGGACGAATGCACCAAAGCCTGCTATGGCACAGGTAACACACATACTCTCATGAAATGATATGCCTTTTCCAACCAATGTATACTGTACATACTTGTCTCTTTCTGGTTTTCACAATTATATTTTATTTTAACAGTGAATATTATGTCTTGTGTGTTGTGTTTTAGAGAAACTGGACAAAACTGGCAGGGGTTTGCCATTGAATCCTTCTGGAGGTGATTCATCATCAAATTGATATCAAGAATATCGTTATGTATAAAGTGCAGTAATCTAATCTAGTTCCATCTTGTGCCATTGTTCAGGTGAAACGTGTGGGACCCCGTGTACCCAGGAGGAGTTCACTTGTGCAAGCGGCTGCTGTATAGAGAAAGACCTGGAGTGTGACGGGAGCCCACAGTGCTCTGATGACTCTGATGAAAAGAACTGTGAAGACCGTAAGTTGATCATATCAATCATCTACATTGGAAACTGGACAATTTCCATAGACTCTGTAAAAAAAAATAAGAAATACAAAAAAAAGTCACTGTCTGAAGTAAAAAAACAGGCTCCCCCTCCTATTTCCTCAATATGAATTCCTTTATATTGAGGAAACCTTTTATATTATTTTCTACAAGAAAGGACATTAATATGCTTATTATTGGGTGGAATGACTATTCAAACTATTTCTTGGGTCAAAAGTTTGAGAGATTCTTCCGCAAGCCTTTTTTACAAGTTTGCTGGCATTCTGGCTCGTTACTTTTGACCAAACTAGTACAGTATAAGTGAGTACTTTGCAGGCCGCCTCGATCACTACCCCTGATGGTCACTCCAAAACATTGACTTTTATTCTGAAGCCACTTTGTAAATACTTGAGCTGTGTGTCTGTGGTTATCGTCCTATTGGAAATCTTTTTTCGTCAGTTCCTCCTGCAACAAATCAGCCCCAAATATGACTACCTCCATGCTTCAGAGTTGGGATAATGTTCTCTAGCTGTAAGTTTTCTTTATTTATATAGTGCCTTTCACAGACTGTCACAACGCGCTTTACAATTATTATGGGCCTCTCCCTACACACAGAGATGGAAGAGGAATCGCCATACCAGAGGTGCATGCAGGACCAATTGTACATAAATCTAGGACCAGGAGGAAACTTATGCGAACACAGCGAGAACACACAAATTCCACTCAGAAAAGCCCTGTCTGTGCCACCCAACTTCCAAAGGCTCATAATTGCCAAACCATTTCACTTTGGGCTTGTGGACTAATATGGAACAAATATTAAGTCTTGGTCCCGTGAGTGTTTACAATCTGGTCAGTTAACGTTTCCTTTGGTGTATTGGCTTCTTCCTGGCGAGAGGTCACTCGGCCCATGTCTGACCTAGACTTGTTTCTGCATCATTTGTATAATGACGTTTTTACCAGCTTCAGCCCACATCGCAAGTCCTTTCTCATCTTTTGGCATGTATTTGCTCACTTAGAGAAAAGTATGCTTGAGTCTTAACCTAAAATGCGTCTGCAGTTGTACCTCCAATGAACTTGACTGTTGTTTGCTAACTTATCAGATGCTTCCATGGCCTTTCTGTCATTATTTGTATTTTCTAAAAGTGTTTGGATAACTATTACTGGTAAACGTATGACTTAATAGAAACCAATCAAACTTTCTAAAATAATCTTCTCTCAAAATTGTGGTATTAAGCTTTTGATTTAAATTATTTAAACGTCAGGTGTTGAGGTAATATTGTTTTATGCTTTTGGTTTCATCATTAATAATAATTTAAAAAGGTGTAAATAACCCTTAACTATTTTCCTTTTCTTTTTAAGTCAATAAAAACTTCAAGATCCTTCTACAAATCCCTCTTGATGAAAACAAAGGTAATGTGTAAGCCCCTGTACTCACTGATTGTAGTAATCTACTTTTTAATGGTTTTTGCTAATGGACAAACTTGTCTCCCGCAGTGCGTTGTACAGAGCCTCCTATCACTGGAAACTGCAGGGACAGTTTCTCCATGTGGTACTACAACCCCATGAAACTAGACTGTTTCCGATTCAACTACGGGGGTTGTCAAGGGAACGAAAATAAATTTGTTTCAAAGGAACAGTGCATGAAGATGTGTAGAGGGGTCACAGGTGAGTAATCTGTTTTTATTTAGGCAGCATTTTTGAAAAAGAAATGTGAAAATGTTCCATTCCCATTTACTTCAGAAGTACTAATGAACACCCTAAACTTTCGTACATTTTGTCATGTTTACAACCACATGCATGCATATATATATACACACACACATACATACAGTGGGGCAAAAAAGTATTTAGTCATCCACCGATTTTGCAAGTTCTCCCACTTAAAATAATGACATAGGTCTGTAATTTTCATCATAGGTACACTTCAACTGTGAGAGACAGAATGTGAAAAAAAAATCCAGGAATTCACATTGTAGGATTTTTTAAGAATTTATTTGTAAATTATGGTGGACAATAAGTATTTGGTCACTTCAAACTAGGAAGATCTCTGGCTTTTCAGACTTCTTCTTTAAGAAGCTCTTCTGTCCTCCACTCTTTACCTGTAGTAATGGCACCTGTTTGAACTCGTTATCTGTATAAAAGACACCTGTCCACAGCCTCAAACAGTCAGACTCCAAACTCCACTATGGCCAAGACCAAAGAGCTGTCGAAGGACACCAGGAAAAGAATTGTAGACCTGCACCAGACATGGGAAGAGTGAATCTACAATAGGCAAGCAGCTTGGTGTGAACAAATCAACTCAATTATCAGAAAATGGAAGACATACTAGACCACTGATAATCTCCCTCGATCTGGGGCTCCATGCAAGATCTCATCCCGTGGGGTCAAAATGATCATGAGAACGGTGATCAAAAATCCCAGAACCACACGGGGGGACCTGGTGAATGACCTGCAGAGAGCTGGGACCAAAGTAACAAAGGTTACCATCAATAACACACTATGACGACAGGGAATCAAATCCTGCAGTGCCAGACGTGTCCCCCTGCTGAAGCCAGTGCATGTCCAGGCCCGTCTGAAGTTTGCCAGAGAGCACATGGATGATACAGCAGAGGATTGGGAGAACGTCATGTGGTCGGATGAAACCAAAGTAGAACTGTTTGGTATAAACTCAACTCGTCGTGTTTGGATACTGAGTTGCATCCCAAGAACACCATACCTACTGTGAAGCATGGGGGTGGAAACGTCATGCTTTGGGGCTGTTTTTCTGCATAGGGGACAGGACGACTGATCCGTGTTAAGGAAAGAATGAATGGGGCCATGTATCGTGAGATTTTGAGCCAAAACCTCCTTCCATCAGTGAGAGTTTTGAAGATGAAACGTGGCTGGGTCTTCCAGCATGACAATGATCCCAAACACACCGCCCGGGCAACGAAGAGTGGCTCCGTAAGAAGCATTTGAAAGTCCTGGAGTGGCCTAGCCAGTCTCCAGACCTCAACCCCATTGAAAATCTGTGGAGGGAGTTGAAAGTCCGTGTTCACTGTTCTCGAAGATCTGCATGGAGGAATGGACCAAAATACCAGCTACTGTGTGTGCAAACCTGGTAAAGACCTATAGTAAATGTTTGACCTCTGTTATTGCCAACAAAGGTTATATTACAAAGTATTGAGTTGAATTTTTTTATTGACCAAATACTTATTTTCCATCATAATTTACAAATAAACTCTTTTAAAATGTGAATAGTGATTTTTTTTTTTCACGTTCTGTCTCTCACAGTTGAAATGTACCTATGATGAAAATTACAGACCTCTGTCATTATTTTAAGTGGGAGAACTTGCACAATTGGTGGCTGACTAAATACTTTTTTGCCCCACTGTATGTATATGTGTATATACATATATATATATATATATATTTTTTTTTTTTTTTTTTACTGAAAGTTCTCAAACAAGTAATAAACAACTGACAAAATCAGATTTTGCTTTCATGTCAATTTAAAAATGGAAAAGTGGGATGTGCAGACAGTTCACACCTTGCTCTACGATTAAACAGTACGCACCCGTGTGTGTGATCTACTCTTAGTATAATTGTAGCTGTTCTGTGATGGCCTCAGGGCTCTGCTTAGAGTGTGATGGTCACTAAACAAAGTTAAAGTTGTGGAGACTTTGATGCATGGTTTAGGTTATACAAACCTTTTCAAAGCTTTCCATTTTATTCAGAAATGTGACGCCCTCGAAGAATATGGGGGTGACAGTAGCTCAGTTGGTAGAGCATTGGCCTTTGGGCCTGAAGATCGTGGGTTCGAGCCCACCGTAAGACCTACTTCACGACTCCCACTGATGACTGCTGTCGTTGTGTCCTTGGGCAAGACACTTAACCCTACTTTGCCCAAAGCCCCAACTAGAAGAGCTCAGCTCCTGTGGACTCACCACCTGCAGGAGGATCAGTGAGGGGCTGGTGCTATGTGTCCTGGGTGCAGCTCTGACTGCCACCCCCCAGAAATGGATTACGGGGAAGAAAATGGATGGATGGATGGAAAGAATATGATGTAACTGCAAATGTACCACGGCTGTTGTCTTCCCAAACTCACAGCTCCTACAGGGACAATATTGATCAGATGCAGACACAAGGCCAATGGTTACTCTGGTTACTCTGGAGGAGCTGCAGATATTCTGTATGTCCTACACTACACTAATCGGGCCTTTCTTAATGAGCGGTTAGTAGAAAGTCTGTCAAGCTAAAGTGGGGGACACGGCCAACATGTGGAAGAAGGTGCTGGTGTCAGATAAGGCCAGAACTGTAACTCTTTGGTCCAAAAGCAAAATTGTGTTTATAGGTCAATACTAACACGGCTCATTACCCTCAGTGCAACAACCAGCATCATATTATGGGTCTGCTTGCCTTAAGCAGGAACAGTGAAAAGTTGATGGGAAGGTGGATGGAGCAAAACACAGTTCATTACGGTTCCTTGTGCTCACCCTACTTTTTAGTTTTCTATTTAAAAATCCCCAATCATGTCTGTCACAGCTTCGTGTTACTTTTGTATGAACTTTCAGTAAACATGGCAAAATGTGCAAAAGTTCCAGGTGTATTTAGTATTTTCAAAAGTCACTACATTTGTCAAAGACGATAGGCAAAAGTTAGCCTTTTTCCCAGAAAAAATATTCATGGTTATTTAAAATGTACCTCCATCCTGGTTGCAATCACTCTAATCTAAAATTGCCATGATCTTCTCCATTTCAGAGGATGACGTGTTTGCAAGAAAGGAATCTTTTGAGCGCAGCGTCGCTGACAGTCAAACGGGTATATCTTTTCAAATATTACCTGTAAAATGAGCTCTCCTTTTCATGTCTCTCAGCAGTCCAGTAAAGCCTCACTCTGCACAGTTCACCTTTCCAGTTCACTGAGCCACTAAACCCACTGTGATTTACTGATGCCCGCTTTCCTGCCTTTTATGTTATTGTCTCCCTATTACCAGCTCCTAGTAAATCTCTTTCATTGTATTTTTTTTCTAACAGGCGTTATTGCCATAGCAGCTCTTCTGGGAGTGGGCATCTTCATCCTCTTGTGCATCATGGTGTACTGCTTTGTCAGAGGGAAGAAGAAGGCCCAACACCACCGCGTGCCCGTCAACAGCATCCCAGTGTCCACAATGGAGGACAGGGATCACTTGGTGTACAACAGCACGACCAAACCCATCTGACCCCAGAGCACGTCCTTTGAGCCCAGGCCTTGTGCTGGCTGCAGCTCTGTCTGCTTCAGAATGAACTCGGATTGATGAGTAAATAATGGTTTGTGTTGTTTGAATGCTGATGGACTCCTGACATTATTGTGCTCTACTACTGACCTGTTTGGTGTTGTAGTTTTGTTTTTTTTAGAAGACACACGTGAGTTGAAATTTATCTAATGTTTGAATCGTGAAACTTTGTGTAATCCAGTAGTTTAACGTTGATAATAGTTTTGTCTCAGGTAAAATACAATATTGAAGTTGTGGTAATAATACTTTTTTATTGGCAATTATGCATGTAGAAAGGATTTAAACCTTTTCATATTTTCCAAAAGTTATTTTTTTAAACTTAACCTAACTTAAAATGTGAAACCAATACATGCATCTCAGTACTTGCAAAATATCAAGCCTTTGTTAACAATTTGTTTATGGCTTAGTCAATTTTCAAAATATTTTATCGATATTATAACAAAATGCTTTATTTCACTTTGTGTAATGATTGTTTTATATCGGTTTCACATTTTAAGTTACAGAAGTAACTTAAACCATAGTCTCCCTGTTTTAGCATTTGTTTTTATTCTTTTGTTACACATCACATTGGTCTATATTGTACATATTATGTTTAGTTCACAATTTGCCTCATTCGTAAAGTGTTCACAAATAACCCCGATGCACAAAACTTTCATATATTGTTGTGCAAACACATGCAAAATTTAGACCTGTCACATCTGTAAATATCATTGTGTAATGTGTTTGTTGTCAATAAAAGTTTTAACCACCTTAAGAGTCTTCTACTCCTAACAAATGTAAAAATGGCTGTGCTTACATAGATTAGGTAGTTTAAATAATGCAAATGTCACCCTCACAATGCAAATAGTTTCTGCTAAACTTTATAGATGCAGCAATTCATTTCCTCACTGGTTCTCTTGCAAGTTTTCGAATCTCTCAAGTCGTTTACTCAAACTGCTAAAAAGAATATATTTATTTTGTTCAGTTTAAGTGTATGTGTGTGTGTATGTGTAGGCATAGTTCAAAATTGCTCAATAAGATTCATGTCTGGCTTTGCAGTGCAAGCTCTATCCAGCAGGTGGCAATGATAATTAATAATAGACTGTTGTGATTGCTTGAAAAGTCTGTTTGGATTGTAATATACGCTGTTGTTGCTTTCCTCATATGTTTCAGGGTTTGAGAGCGCCGGCAGGGGCATTTGGGGTCGCACAAAGCTAAACCGCCCCTTTCTATTTCGTTAGACACGCATAAATCAGCACCCACCCAATTGATTCTCCGAGTCATCCTTTGTTTACCCCTCTTTCTTCTGACTTGACCCCCATAAATGTAATAGTCAGGGTTGCAATTTGTTATGGCCCTTCACAAGAAAGTCAGAGACTGTCAAAGGACATCAATATTCTGTTTCTTTGCGCTATGGAAATTTAGATACTTCTAAAACAGACAAAGTAATTCATGAATAGAAAAGAGAAGGCAGAGAAAGCTGTTCATTTAAAGCTGAGGTACCGACCTTTTAAATTAAAGTGACTCTAGTGTATTCCAATGGATGGAGTCTAGCAAAAGATTATATTTGAATTGGAAACAAATCAAACACATTTCAATTCAATTCAAGATTTCGTTTTGTATTGTCCTAAATCACAGCAGTTGTATTTAGGAGGACTTTAAAAAGTTGTAGCCACTTATGCTGATTGGCTGAGTGAGGATGCCTCTCATGTTTACCCTTCTGTCTGAAAAGGCGGATCTAAAGATGCGACAATGGCGGAAAATACATGCGGCAGAGACAGAGATAGAACCAAGCTGTTTTAGAGCCAAGAACTCGAAAGATAGATTTTGTTACATTATTCCATTTGTTTTTTGTTTAAAGTTTGGTACCCCAGCTTTGGTACCAAGTTGAAGCGCTCATATCCCTGCGCTGTCAGAATATCAGTCTACAAGTACTGGGATGCTTTCATGACAACATTGTCATGAAAGCATCCCAGTACGGCACGGTGGCTGAGTGGATAGCACTCTCGCCTCTCAGCAAGAAGGTCCTGGGTTCGAATCCCGGCTGGACCAGGGCCTTTCTGAGTGGAGTTTGCATGTTCTCCCCGTGTCTGCGTAGGTTTCCTCCGGGTACTCCGGTTTCCCCTACCACTAAAAATATGTACAATAGGTCTGGCATGCGCCTCCTGTTCGGCGACCCCGCTCCCATCTCTGAGTGGAGTGAGAGGACAAGTGCCCAAAAATAACAATTGTAAACCGCTTTGTGACTCTGGTCTGTGAAAGGCGGAATATAAATAAAAGCTTACTTACTTACTACTTACATTGTAATCTGGAATGACAAACTACACCAACAACACTATAATTTTCACGTGCAATTAACTCCACTAGAGTGGATTATCCTATTAGATAAAAACCAGCAAAACAACGCCACTATTCTTTGTATTGCTGCAGTTTTGTTAATCACGCTCATTTCCCGTTGTTTGCATCGTAGTTGTCAGATTTCCCACCTCCTGCGAACGCCTCACGCTTTCTTCACAGTTTTTCAAATGCTACAGTGCTGCGGCGGTGGGACCAGGGGCAGTCGATGTTCTGCCTCTTCTGGGATGTGTCCACGCCATGCTCCGTGTGTGTATGTGCGTCTCTGCCATGTGATGACACGTGAAGAAACCCACGGGATATATTAACGTTATTTGACCAACTTTGGAGACGCTCTGACGGAGGGAAAATCTCAACTCAATCGGTTCGTGTGGTGCTTTTTGCAACTTTATACAACATGCTAAAGCTAAAGTCCGACACAAGACTGCATTTATTTTGGTGTAGATTTAATTGTGGTTTTTTTGTTTTGTTTAAAGACCCTTGTTTTTCGTTTCATGTCTGGTTACTTTGTTGAGATTGTCCAGTCTCACTTTGCTGCACCGTTTCTTATCACCGCTCCCTACAGTAGTGTTTCCCAAAAGGGGGTACGCGAACGCTGATCTTGGGTCACTTACAATGGTTTGGTGTCATATTTGAAAAGAAAGTGACTTTGAAATATGTTTGTATGTATATTTTACTCATAGTTTTGAGTTCCTAACTATTTGTTTCAGTAATATAATTTGCTTGTCCCTATTAGATAAAACAGTATTGTTTAAGTTTGTGAATAAATCAGACCACAACATGCTGTCATTATCTTACTAGAAGACATTGAGTTTCTACATACTTAAAGCTTATTGCTGAATGAGGGTTGGTTCTATCTTCCACTGAAGAAGCTGTTCTAATTTGACCAAAAATGATATTTATGTGAGAACTAGTTACATGGTTTTTATTACATTGTTATTTTGTGTGTGTGATTATTTCAAAATAATCAAGTCCAGCTTTAGAATGCATCCACAAGAGAACACATCTAGACCATAGACTGTAACTATTACTACATCTTTTCATAGTATCGTTTTATATCACTCTGTGCTGGATTAGTGAGATAGTGCTACAATAGTGAGTGAAAGTTTCTCGAGACTAAAACTTCCAATTACTTGCCTTTCCCCCTTTTCTCAAAAGTATGATTCTTCTATTTCCTGCAGTTTCACAACCGTTAGTTTTTGAAATCCGGAGGAGGCGGTGGTTTCAGTCTGATAAGAGATGTTTGTTTTGATAGAGACCACTTTCCGTGAACTGGACTTTGATCTGATTTTACCCATGTACTTTTCCCCTCTACTTTTGAGAGTGTGTCTTCGTGCTTCACCACTTCCTGTATCCATCCAATTTGACCCCCTGTCGTGCTCTTTGGAACTCAGGTTCTTTTTTAATGGGCCTCCCATTGAGAGACTGTGGTGCTTTAAACGTAGCCTGCTCATTGGGCCAACAGGGCGCTGACTTACCCCACCAGCTGTCATGGCATAGACTGAAAGAATGGAACAAAATCAATCAGTTACCAATGAAAAGTTTGATCTTGTTCCTCTGACCTCTCTTGACCTCTATAACAATAACGCCTAAACTTCATCGTGTAGATAAATGTTTCTTTTCAGTGCCAGGAGCTGCTCTCCTCTCCCAGGTGGTCCGGACAGGAAACGGCTTGAGTGTCTTGGCGCTTTGACATCACACTTCACTCGTGGTATGCTGCAGCTGTTATACCAGTGTTTGAAAGCAGACCTGGAGTTTGCTTTGGATATGCCTCTATTTCAATTGTACAATTCTTCTTTCTCTGACTCCAGCTGTTGCCAGTTTCATCTAAGATTACACTGTGACTGAAAGGTTAAGTCTGGAGTAATTTAGCATTCCAGACACCATGTGTTGGTCTTTATTTTCACCGGTCACATTTAATGATGGTTATATACCTTTAAGGGGCATTGGTCCAAGACTATTTGACGTGCAGCTCTCTCTAAAATTACTTGTTTACCCCTCTTACTTATGTTTCTCACCATGGACAACACAGCTCTTCAATCTTGGAAATGTTTCTTGATTTTGCGCTCAAAATGGCCTCTACCAATTGCAAAAGTATGCTCATTTGGATTTTTTACAAGGAGGTGAAAATTCCACTTTCTTCTCTTTGACCACAGCAGGGAATGATTATATTGCCATTAAGTGCTGTTTAGAAGTGCACCAGCACCATATGGGCAAACGTTTTCGTGCAATGCATTCAGTTTGGTTTCGTATTTTACTTACTCTCGCCACATCTAAGCATTGCACGTCACAATGCATTCTGACCAGAATAAGTGGCTCGTGCAAGTGTGGGAAGCCTACGTTTTTGTTATGGGTTTTTTAAAGGCCTGAAGAGAAAGCATTGGACCATTTTTATTGTTTTCCCTAGAGAATGAAAAGCTGTTGGACTCTTAAGGCTCTGCGTCGGGGGCAAACCACACGAGTAATGTGGGAAACCAAAATGGCTGTTTGTCATAGGGTCTTTCTGCTGGTGTAAAAGGGGGTAAGAGGGTAAGACAGAGGTCAGGACACATAAACATGGCACCAATACTGAAATAATTAAGGCTTTGTGTCTAGGCTTAAGCTCGGATCACCCGGAGCACACCGTCTCATGTCGGATTTAATTATATTTTCTCCTGAGTGTGAATGTTGTGAATATTGTAAAGGCATCCACTTTGTCTGCATCTCTGGAGGAGTATGTCATAGAGATTCCTAAAGCCTTGTTTGGGCAGACGGTGAGAGGTGCAAAGGGAATGTACTGCTGACCTATTTTTAGTCACCCGTCCAAAGTAGTGGTTTAGGATTTAAAAATAATTAAGTGTTAACTCTTGTAAACGCAGGATGATGATGACGGATGTTGAGGATTCAGAACGAGTTAGTGAGTTTCTGTCACCAGCAATCGGCACTCCTTTTCTCTGTTGCTGTATTTATATCTGTGTTGGCTCAACAAAAGAAAAACATTGAAAGAGCTAAGGATGGGATTTATGTGTTGTCCCACAATTTTTTTTAATGCAAAATATATTATTGCGTCCAAAAAAACGGGACAAGACTAAGACAAAAGTGAAATTGGTTATTGATTTTGTAAAAACAATTATACATTTATAATTAGAGTGGAAATGTATAATAATTAATAAACATGTATCAAATAGTCATCCAAATATTACTTTATCTTATGTTCATTGATAATATTATTGTTTTCTATGTGTTTGAAGTTCTGTTTTGACACCATAAACTCACTGTCAATAAAAAAAGCATGTAGGGGGTGCATTTCCTGGCGATGATACACAGGTCACAATAATGATTTATATTCACATCAGATTTAAGGAAATTACTATGATTTCTTTTGTACAGAATAAGATGCTGGATTGAGCAATCTTGTTCAAAATGATGTGTAAAATGAATCATCCATTCGAATTGATACAAGATTGCTAAACAAATTTCTTTCTCATACCGTTATGTCATTTCTTTCCTGATAACTTTCACGAGGATATGCATGTGCATGCTTGTGGTCACATTGCTAAATTACATCAGCGACAAGAAACGTTTTTCATTACTTTTGACGAGAACCCATTTTTTCTACAATACTTTTGACATAAAATATCATACAGTACGTTTTTATGTACGCTTTTCTGTTATTTTTTTGTCTTTGTTCTTCAGAGACACTAAGTTGAATTGAGAGCCAAGAAAGACCTCTCTCTCCTCCATAGAAAGTGCAACTTTAGAGCTTTAACTTCTCCCATAACACTGAAAGTCCACTGAGGCTGACGTCATCCTTCATGGATTATAAGCCTTGTCCAGCCTGACCCACTGTATGCTTTATTTTCCCAGACCAAATCTGTTCACGCTGTTGAAGATCTCTCAATATCTTAATTTGAACGAGAGCCATCTTAGGGCCACATCTGTAACGTGTACTTTGTGGTGGCTGGGACTTGTGGATGAGTGTAAATCTGGGTGATCAGAAGAACAAGGAAGTTTAGGAAGCAGCTGAAGAAGTGATCCACTGGCCTTCTTTCTGTTAATAAGTGTCAGATTAGCGTCCTCCTCATCAGCACCTGTTTTCTATTCAGTTTAAAATTGCTTTGGGGGAAGTTCATAGTGTTTGTAATGTAGTCATCCGATGTGCCTGGGAACTAAATGTAGCTATTTGTGTGAAATTGCAGATTGTGCAAGCCCAGGTGGCTTGCACAAATGAGAATGTTAACAAAGTCATGTTTTTCCAAAAGTTTCAGTATGCCCAGCACACTTCTCTTCAACACTAAATTCAAAATATTTTCAAGATGGATTTAGCTTTTTTGAATTCTCCTCTACACCTGGCCCAGTCCAGATTTCTCTTGTATTACTTCTATTTCTATTATTAATTTAAGTATTCTTTTTTTAGTTGTATTTTCTTTTTTTTTGCACATAACTCATTTCATTATCAACCATGGTAAATACTTAATTTATCGTCTTTCAGAGATTTAACGAAGTTTATTACTGTCTATGAAACTTATTAGCTCAATAGATTTGAAATGAATGGATCCAACTTACTGTTACCTAGTTAAAAGCTCTGCATACCGGTAACATTTGGGACCCGGGTTTAATTTCCAGCTTTGTATATTTGGACGTTTCTCATAGTATGGCTCACAAACTGCATGACACTCTATTAGTTCAGGTCTACGAACTTGAGACGATTTCATTATTCAAAAATGCTGGAGCTGCTTGGACCTTAGATAAATGGATTTGGATTTGTTGTGCTTGAATGCTTAGAGATTATGGCCAGCAATGTGCGCCAGTCAAGACTGTTTGACGAGACATTCCACTCCATTCTGTCTCTTCTAAATGTATAGCAGTCAGATATATTCCTAAATAACAATGGCTATGAGAATTGTTGCAAATCACAACCTCTGCAAGTTGACATTCCTTCCTTAACAATCTTCAAATTAGCATGTCACATTATGGAAAAAAAATGACTAACTCTGCGGGTTCAGAAATACAAGAACACTGGACAAGTTTGGAGTGAATTTGTATGTTGTGAATATTGTTATTCTTGTTTGTCTTACATGTGAACTTTGTGAATTGTATCGTAGCCACAATGTTCTAATGAATTTGCAATTGCAGGCATTTCTTTAATAAGGGTTCCGTTCTAGTTAAAAGTTCTGTAGTTTAGAGCAGTTCTTTTACGTTATGTGGCCTCTGCCTTGCTAACCTAAAGAACGATTGAGATCATATAAACACAAATTCTTTGTCATTCAGCCAACATCAGTTTCGCCAATGTACCTTGTTGTAAAGCTCAGAACCTCTTGAATACACACCTCCACTCTCACAAATGCATCATACCTCATTTTACATCTCAAAATGGGCATATTACAGTAACAATAGTCAAGTGAACTAAAGTTGCTCTCACTAAAAAGTTTGGACCCCTCTGGTTTAGAGTAAAGAAAGAAGACTCAAGAAAAGCCATTTTAATTGGCAAAGTGGACTTCCTCTATGGCCACAGCAACTCACCAGCTATCTCAGCCCACTGGCCAGCCACTGCACCAGGAACAATGCCCATCCTAATCCCTGAAGAATTCCAACTTCTCTGATCCAGCCAGTCCAAGAATACAGTGTTTTTAAAAGGCCTGAGGCACACACACAGTTGGGTTCTCATGCATGCTTGTCCATGTTAATTTGCTGGAAGGAGCAGCAGAGGCACTGATGTGCGAAGCTGGCAGCGAGTCCACAGGGAGAGGCTGATCATTAGGAGGTGCATAGACTGGCATGAGGGATTACAGGACTCATGCACCAGGCTGAACCTGTAATCTGACTGTAGCAATAACGCCTTCTAATGACCACTATCAAGAGCCACAGACTTGATTAGTGATTTTGATCAGATGCCAATACTTAGGATATTTTGATTTTATCCAAGCATTGTTTATTTATTCATATTTGAGAAGTAAAGTGTTTATTTCTTTTCTATTGTTACAGTAAATGGTTCACTATAATGATAAACAAAACCCATCATACAAGCATATACAAAGCATGGGACCTTCTCTTTTTCTGGTCACCTGTTTGCCTGTGCCAGTTTGCGAGTTCAGTCACTGTGTTTATATGGCAGAGAGTCATTCTACCCAGATCCGCTGAAATTACCCAGAAGCTAGCATGAGCCAATGCAGTGGAATGGGAAGAATTTCCCTTTGTATAAGGCTTGGCCAAACTGCAGACCCTTTTCTATTTTCCTCTAGTGAGAGCAAAGCATTAAAACTGTTAAGGAATCAGTGGAGGTGAAGATCCACATTGTTTGTTCTGTAAGTCGTCACATATTTGATCAGTTCTGTTTGTATTCGCAGCTGCAAAAGCAAGAGTGCCATGCCAGAGGGGTCCCAGTCTGCTCTCCACCAGGACCCAATGGGGGAAGGTAAGATAATGGCCTATCAGACTCGCACATTCAAAATCTCCCACAAAAACGGCTGAATTCTTGCCTTGGAGGCAGGGATACCAAGGACTATATGGAAAAGTGGAAGAATAGGGAGAACTGGAGGCGCACTGTACTGCCCTCTTCTGTAGGGGTTGGCAGGGGGCTCTTTGTGTGGGAGGGAAGCCGGCAAGCCCCCTTGGACATAACTGAAACCCTTGCATACACGTACAATCACAGGCACAAGATGACCAACTTTGTATAACTAACTACCCGCCAAATTACATCTTATTTTAGCGTTCATTATCTTCAATCACAGAGCCAGGCCATTGACACAGGCCTCTTTGTATCACTTTGCTCTGGCCTGTCTCTCTCTCCCCTCCTCCCCCACGCATCCACTGTTTTCTGAACACATTTGGGCTTGAGCTCCACTTTGAATGAAGAATAGCAATGTGTTAATGGATCTTTTTTCACTCTTTTTGCGGTAGTTTGACTCAAAATGGCTTTTGAGGGGCACCCCATGGGTTGGTACAACAATACAAGTTTGACATCTATCCATTTCTGAAAAGGAGAGTAATTGTGGGCAGAGGGTTTGTGAGGTAATTAACTGACTGGAGCCCTGGTAAGAGAAAGCCTTTGGTACACACAGAAGGCAAATAAAGGTGGCAATGACCATTGAGCTTTAGAACTTTTCAAGTGGACTGCATTGCTGTCTTTTTGACGACACTAATGAGAATTTGGCCTGACTCCAAACGGGTCTTCTCCAAGAACAATGAAGGGATATCTTCTCTGCCTAAAAAATAATTGTAAATGTATGAAGGCGCAACATTTTGAGTTTATAAACAAGCATAAGGACACACTCAAGATGCAGTGTGCGTGCCATTTGTGAAGAGATCAAATGGTCTTCTTTTCCCACTCCAGATAGATTGTATGACGTAATGCAGTAGTATTTTGAGAGTTTAGTTAGACCATGCTCTGTGGTCACTATACCGGAATAAGTACAATCATATTCCAAGGGTAAAAATCTAGTATGGAGCACTGTAAGATGAGACTTGGCCCTGACCTACTTCATCCTTGGCAGGAATGTAGCTTTGTGTGTGTGTGTGTTTGTGTAGTGTGCACAATGTCCCGCTCCAAAGGGGTTCTGGGGGCACAAATGGATCATCTCCATTCACTTCAGATTTTCCACATCGCTGAGCATGATCCAGTCCTGTAGATGGATGATGGCAAGGAAGACTGCGTGCCTTGAGTGGATTTGTTAACACAGCTCCTGGGCTGGAACCTCTTTAGAGCATCATTGTCTGTTGAGTTAATCACCGGTCGTTCCTGCTCCTGGATTTTTCTTAGTATTTCTGTGTTTCCTCCTTCTCATTGGGATATAGAAGCATATGACCAACAATTCAATGAACAACAGTTGATATTTACATGGAATCGATGTTTATACCGTTACCATGTCATTTACTTGAATCATTTTACAGTCTGAAACGGCATTTCCTCAATAAACCGTTTCCTGTAGATTACTCAAAATTAGTCTTAGGACCTCCGCTCTGTCTACAACTTTATGATGACCTCATTTAGGACTAATTGAAATCCCTACTCTGACAGTCAACTTCCAGTCAACTTAACAGCAGTTTCAAAGCAAAGTCATGTAATGTTTTGAAAATGTCAGTGATGCAGACACGAGTTCAGTCAATGGTGACAAAAAAGAATGACATCTTCACAACGGTAATCATCCTGTCTCTCCTACAAAAGGATTCTTGTAATGAGAAGCAAAAAAACATTACTGTGAAATGTGGTTGGTTTTCATGGTTGGTGGCTTGCGTTTCCCCTAAGCAACAGGAAGGGCAGCATCACAGCTTTTCGGATGTAACATTTAAAGCTGGCGAAATACGTGTTGTTTGTACCAACAGAAATAGTCTTTGTATGAGGAACATTTTGCAGATACTTCAGACCAATAAATTCTGTATTCCTCTCTAATTATAAATGCATAATTTGTAAGAAAATTTCCAGTGAGTCACTTATTTGATGCTTTAGGCTGAGAGCTGATTGGCTGAGTGAGGGAATATCCTCTCTTTTTCAGATGTAAAAAACCCATTCAAAACTCATAGACCAAATTCATAGTATAAAACCTATAGAACAAAACAGTTTTGAGATGGAGGAATTGGTTTCATTGCAATTGGCCATTCATTTCAAACATGCTGCCTTTTTACATTCCTTATCTGAATCTATAAGTTAGCAGTGTCAACACAACTATTCCAAAATTATCTTTTCTGTTAAAAATTGAATTGTACCAGCAAATTTGAAAATCTCTTGACAATTAAAAAAACCAAACAAGTTTCAGTTTTTGATTTGAAAGTTGGATACCCCAGCTTTGCAACACTTAAACACAAAGTATACTCTCTTCCTCCACACAGTCAGCAGCTGTCTAATCACTAGCCTGTGTGCTCACAAAACCCAAAAATGTGCTAACAGGACGCCTGCTTGGTTGTAGACTGTCAAATTCCCGCTAAACTTCTCACCTCATCCCACTCCATGAGCCTTCTTTGGTTCAGAGGAAGTTCAATAGATGTCAGGTCCAGCTTTGGGCTCGTCTATCGGGGGTCGGAGCAGAGGGGAGGCTGGGGGCGTGTGGATGGAGGAGTTTCCTTAAGTGGATCATCACATGCCTATGGTCTGAGGTCAGCTGGCACGACGGGGTCCTTTTGAGAAGCCGGGGGTCCAGCGTAGAGAGAGTTCATTGGATTATATTTGAGCTTTTGGTGGTTTTGTCCCTTTGCAACTTTCAGACTTGTCACTCACAATGTGGCTTCCTCATTAGGGCTGCAATGTACGGTTTATCAAATCAATCTCAGTGGATGCAATTGTGAAAAATCCTTTGCTAACAGCGTAATATTCAGTCTTATTTCATGTAACTTTTTTCTAACTGCATAGGTTCTTGTTAGAGCTGAAATGTATCATTATCGTAGCATATTAAGATGTGGACATAATACCATGTTGTTTTATTGTCTGTTATTTAACCAGGAAAGTCCACTGTGATTTCAGAATCTCTTTTTCTGCTGAGTCCTGGGCCCAGAGAGAGGGGAGCTATTGTACATATTTATAGTGGAAGGCGAATATGCAAACTCCACTCAGAAAGGCCAAAGAATATGAATTAATAATATGAACATTATTAATATAGAAAAAAGCAACAAAATGCATATAGAAATCCCCTGTCCTTGCCCTGCAAAAAAAAAGTTTTCAAAAATGTTTTTCACCAATCCTGTAGTTATTGTATTGATTACGAGATCTGACATGAATCTAAGATAATATAAACTTGATCTCACAAGAGAAAATTTACATATCAAGACATTTTGTCTATTGTGTCTAGCTCCTCGAGTCCTTGTTACAATATTTTACTAGTTAATGTATTTTTCTTTTCCTTCTGTCTGTGTAAATTAGTATATTTATACAGAAATTAGTTTCTTGCTTCTGTAATGTGAATGCTGCTGCAAAATGTATTAAGTTACTTTAATTCAGGTTAATATCCTAAATGTAAGTATTTCTGACCTTTTCACTTTTTCTTTCGTATTTATCTCATTCACACCAAATGATCTAGTAAGACTCTATGGCACACACAAAAACCACTTAAACACTCATTTTTCACAAAGTTCACTTTGAAGCCAATCCAACTAATTAAACTCACAAATCTAATAACAATTGCTAATCTGTCACAATTTGATATTTTGCCAAAATCGTTCAGGCCTTAATCTTCGCCTCCCTGTGAACTTTTTTCTCCTTCATAGTTCCAAGTTCACCACTGTCGTATTTGCTCTCACAAAGTAAAGTCCAATCCACACCAGAAACTTAAACAGTTGTGGAATGTCTGTTGATGCTATAATGTGTCGTCGGGCTTTTCCATTTCTCTATTGTACCTCACAGAAAGCTTAAATATTAACATTCATAGACCTGTTAGGATAATTTTTCAACTGAAAAATAGCATTTCTAGAGACAGAGCGTAATTATGAATATGTTCAATATATTAAATCAAAAAGAAAAGTGTGGGAGAATTGTTTATTTTTCTTAAATTGAGCTGTTGAGCCTCAATGGATTTTCTTAACTACCATTTTGTTACAATAACTTAACAGATACATAAGCAACATTCAAATTCCTTCCAATAAAAACAATACGTTTGTGGTGGAAAGGGAGTGATTCCCTCAGTCAGAACAGAGCACGTGTTGGGGGAGAGAGGAGTGTTTCGGCCTGTGTACATGTATGTTTTGTATCTGGTTGTGTGTTAGTGAAATGGGTTGCATTCCTTTTTCCATTATTTACATAAGATTGAAAAACATTTCTTACTACTACTATATAATATAAGATTTGGTTAATTAGGTGTAATTTGCATAAAGGGTTTGAATGAAGGAAGCCTTTATTACAGTGTGTTAAAAATCGTGTTTTGTGGAGAAACATCTTCAAGTTTTGTTGTCATAATAGCTGTAAGGCATACAAATTCACACAAAGGATAATGTGAAAATCTTTGAGGTTTTAGTAAACTTTTACTTTTTGGCAATGCAGAGGTCATCTTGTCGTTTCTCGAAGTTAACTGAATCTGAATTGCTGATAGGTCAAGTTTCTGCCCGTATGATTTACATGTACACACTACATTTAGTCCCAGCACAGACCTGAGCACTGTGGAAAATCCCCACTTCACTTCAGAATGACAACCTTTACCTTCAGATCAAATTGTGAAATACTGAGTTGCACTGAGTTGGCCCCTTTTATCTCGGGCAGCGCTTTCACGGTAGATCCACCACTGTTGCGACCCATGTGGTTTGATAATGGCCTCGGTGGACGTGGACCCTAATCCCAATAGCTTCCCTTTCATATAACCGCGCCCTGCCCTTCATGTGGGGTCTTTTCACCAACCAACTGGGAGGAGTTCTTCTCAAGCGGATTAGAACAAAAACATCAGCTCCCTCTCCATCCACTGTCTGGGCTTGTGAAGAGGTCTGCGAGGGCCGGAAAGC